GGACATCGACCAGCTGCATGCAAATCACTGGTTAGTCCCCTCACCGTTTGATCTCTTCCGGCAGACTGGTCCTTGCGGCACCTTGGTAGCTCGACACGTTTCACTTCACGGCTCTTTTCCAGCTCTTCTCGACGGACATGCCGCTGGCGCGCCCCCAGGGAACAATCCAAGACAGAGATGTTGACTCACTTATTGTCTCGACAGGCCTATCACATCTCATACATCCAGGGCTACCTCCCATGGTATCCTCGTCAGTGACTCGACTACTCAGTATATGTTGTGCAAGTCCGGCTTCAGCTTAGACGGTGGGTGCTCACTGCTCATTTATCTACGACTTGCTGCCCTGGGCGGAGCCATCTTGTTTCTGTCCAACCAATCCAACTTCATTGGCCCCTCTCCTCCTCCTTCCCATCAGCTCGGTTGCCCTTCCGTTTCTGACACGTCTCTTCTCTCCTCCTCAAAGAGTCGCATACAGATCAAATACTGTTGTAAATCGGTCAAAGTCCCCCGTCAGCCTTCTTCTCCCGCTTCTGGCCCCCAGCCAGTCAACGACAACGCAGAGCCAATCCGTTCGTGATCTGCAGCAAGGTCCAGCTCCTCACGACACACTCTTGTAGGCGCCCTCGACCCCGCGGCGATATCCCCCATGGTCCCCGGACGCGCCCTTATTGTCGAAATCCACCAGCAGCAACAATAGACCGCGAATCTCTCCGTCCACGACCCGCTCTCCACGAAAGCAGTGTAATTCACCAGCCAGCAAAGACCCAGCAGAGACCTACAGCCCTAGCCTGCCGCCGACTGGCGACCTTATTAGCTCCCCGTCTACCGTGTGGTCGTTTTTGACAGAACGGGACGCCTTGCCTGGCCGATTTCATCTTCTACCTCACTCCCCGTCTGGCAGACAACCCGGTGGCTGTCGTGCTTTGCCATCAGTGCTCACACCAGACGGTTGCAGAAGAGGGATAGCGCCTCGACGACGCAATACTCACCTTTGTTTTATATAACCGCCTCCCTTAGCGGCCAGCTACAGTCGCAGGTCGGTTTTCTCCTTCACCAAACAGCGCTATATCGTACCTCGCCAGACCCTTCCATCGAAACGACGCCAAACGCAACACTCTCCGATCTTGGGCCCCAGCCACACCATGACTCGATTTCACTAACTGGCTTTCTTGAAAATGAAGTTTTGATTTGATTCGACGACCATAGCCCCTCTCGTCTCGCGATTGCTTCTCGCCTGCACGCTCTGCAGTTACTGGCTGCAGCCCAGTGGCTGTTATCGAGCACGCTGGAAGCAAGGGACATCTACCGAGTTTGGCGGCCAGGCTTACCATGCCTTGCGTATAAGCCAGTTTGCTATATCGGTACCAGGAACACAGCTCTTCTGTCTGAATTCGAGCACCGCAGGCAAAATGGCGGGGAACTACCCTCAGTTTCTCTCCTCCATGATGGCTGGGGCAGAAGCGCACGCCCCCTTGAGTCCTGAAGAGCTAAACCACCCGTTCTTAACCGGACCACATATGCTTGCCAATACTATGCCCATCAACTACCAGAATTTCGGGCATTTTACCGGGTTTCCGGGACCTTCCTTTGCTTTTCAGCCCTCAATATCCAAAGGAAGACGAAAATCGACGTCTATAGCCTCGGCGGAGACAGAACAGGTTAAACATCGCAGAACAAGATCCGGATGTTTTACCTGTCGCGGCCGCAGAGTCAAGGTAACTGTCATCATGGTCTACTCGTTGCAACGATCCTAACTATTCTATAGTGCGATGAGGCCCGCCCAATTTGCGAGCGTAAGGACGTCCAAAGCTTTCTATGTACACGTGTGCCTCTAACTTTCTCCCAGGCTGTCGCAAAGGCGGCAGAGACTGTGTCTATCCTGATCCATCAACCTCAAAGGGTAGCTCAAGGCAGAAGGAATCTGCGTCTACTTTGGCTGCAAATCAGAGTCCGACATCGTCAAACTCTGAGGATGTGGATCATGATGATGCTAAGCGTTCCACAGCGGCGCTCGATACGATACCAGACGAGGACGAAGAGGACACAAAACCGAAACAGCCGCCGAAAAACAAGCTTGTTCTTCAGATATCAGATCAAAATTTATACGAAACTAGCAGCTTATCACCATCACCCTCTACAACGACCCCGGGCGACCAGCACTTTCCTGGGAACCAACAACCTGATTTTCATTCCATCACTGCTGGAGACCAGAATCTCTCCAACCTACCAGGCGACTACCAGATGCATTTACAATACCTTTACGAAAATGTCACTTGCCATCACTACTGTCTTCACAACGATACGGACAACTTCTTTGTTCGTGGTATGATTATTGAGGCTTCCAGGAATCAGCTACTACTCAATGCTGTGGTTGCCTTTGCCGCGTACCTTCGAAGTACCGAAAACCCCGACGGAAAGCTTCGAGACTTTTTACTTTACTACAATCGCAGCATTACATTGCTGTTAGAGTGTTTAAAAGAGGAGCAGACGCATAATCTTCCGACCCTTCTTAGTATTCTTCAATTGGCAACAATAGAGGTTCGTTGGTTATCTGTCCTTTCCACCCCGAACAATCTCAGGCCCAAGTACACCTAACACTTTTGAGTTACAGGAGTACCTAGGTGACTGGCTGAACTTGATGTGCCATCAAAAAGCGGCTTTGGAGCTTTTCACCCAGTTGTTCACGCCCCAGACGGTCATGGAAACGCGCATTGGCCAAATTTGTCTATCTTGGTATTCCCGGTTCGACAGCAGCCTGTCCCTCCTCAGGAAAGTGCGGTCGACGCTTCCACGTGTTTGGCTTACAGATGCCGCCAAATATTATCGAAACAAAATCAACCAGGAACAGGCAGAAATCCGATGGCGTGCCGAGGAGCGATCAATGCGACTTCAGATCCTCAAGTACGACGTATCCGTCTTGGTCTCCAGTGCTGCCAATCGAGAGATATCCGAATCGAGGTTTTCCGAGGAACACGAGAGGATCAAAACTCAATTGATTGATTGGAGAGATACGTGGGATCCTATACTAACGGCGTCGACTTACGCTGTTCAGGATTACTCATGGTGTCCAGCACCAGATCCGGATGGCATTGTCGGCCCTTGCAAGCCTGGAATGCTCTTCAAGCCCCCATTGATTAGCTCGACGATTGCATCGGTCGAATGGCACTCATTAATGATATTACACCAGTCATTTTCCAGGACAAGTCCGCGAGAAAAGCTCATGGAGGAACTGCTAAGGCACTGCTATGCCTTGTGTCGACTATTTGAAGCGTTGGAACACTGGCCGTCGACACCAAAAGGCGTTTTTTCAAGCCTTGGGGTCCCTCTGGTCCTCGTGGCATTTGTTCTACCCCGGAATACGCGCCATAGAACGTGGCTATGGCGAAAGTTTGCGCTGCTAGAAAGCATGGGGTAAGATGGCTCCCTTTACAACGGTCGACTAAGCTTTTTCAGGCTATAGTATCACCTTTCTCTTTTAATGGGACGAGGCTAACAGAGGGTGGGAAACAATCAGATCGATGCAGACGCTCTTATTCCGGTCTAAAATGGCAACCCTCTTCCACGATGAACGCGTCATGCGATGGTGGCTTCCCGACGACGAAGGATTCAGCCCGATGCTGCAGAGTATGCGGAACTTTGCCAGCGAGCGTCACAATGCGGCAGCCAATGCGCAATTAGATTACGGGCAAAGGATTGGGAAGTTGTTTGACACGCTTGATCTTGGAGCAGACATTCACGAATAAACGGCTGGGGGAGTTATCTAACACGCTTGATGTTGGAGCAGGTATAAATCTATAAACGGCTGGTGATATATGGGGGAACAAGCGTGTTCAGCATATTCAGAGATATCCATACAAGCTTCACGTCGAAGCCCATAAAATTCATTCTCAATCTAACTATACCAGCATTATCCCCGTCTATGTTTGATAACAAAGCTGGGCATTCGGAATCAGGCGGAAGGGGGAGAAGTTTCAACAATCAGTGACAGACGATAGCAAATTAGCGCAGTGGGCTTGTCCGAGAAAGATTGCCCCTCTCTGTTTCTCTCTTGAAATTGCCTAGATGACGCGCTCAAAATAGACAAATGGTCGCTCGCTCAGACAAAGGCGTCGTCACGAGGGCACACGTATGGTCATCAACAATGCCGCATGCAGCATACTTCCTATTCCCCTCCTCCGTCAGCCCCCCAACTATGATCTCAACGTCGAATCCATCAATAAACACCAATTACCTTTTCCCCTCTCCCTCATGAGTTCTTTTTGCGGAAAGGGAGGGGGGCCGGCCCGGACGAGGTTAACAAAACAGGCAGGCGACGCGAGTAATTTTGTTTTGTTTTTTTTTAACGAAAGTCCGCTAACTAATCTATTCCACATTTGCAACGTCGGTTACTGCATTCTGTGGGGAATGTTGCTTCTTTTTTCTTCCCCTGCCCGGGGGCTGGGATCAGTTATTGTATGATCCAAAACCCATATTGCGGGTTTGGGAAGGGGGGGCGTAGGCGTGTGCGGCGTTGACGTTCTCCGTTTGGCGCATTATTACTGCGTAATATCGAGGCTTGGCTCTCTCTCCCTGAAAAGCGATCCCAAAAACTTGATTGATTGACAAGGCCACCGCCGGCTTGGTCCGCTCGGACGTTTGGGCTTGACAGGCGGCGGAGGGAGGGGGCGTGAATGTTACCCATGTTTATCACGATAGAAAGAATCAGAAAAACCCCCCGTGGTCCCGGGGGGGGGTGAAAATGGGCAAATCCGGACACCTGGGTCTCTACCAGGCCACTGGGACAAGGACAAAAAGCGTGGCTGGAGCGTGGCGCCGCCGCAACTGTCAAAACGCCAAAACCTCCATTGCTGATTGGCAGTCAAACGAGGTTGGATCGTGTCTATAGATGGGAAATTTGGGGGCGTGACTTGCTGCGCTGGGGGGGCGAATATCTGGTATATATTGAATGAGCTAAGTTTGTGCAGAGATAAATGGTCGCTTCAATAGAAACAAGAAATCTTTTACACTGCGGCTTTCTGGTCATCTTCCTTTGCCGCTACTTCTTCCGTCGCCGAAGGCGAGTCTGCGGCTGTCGTCGCCGGAGTCTCAGTCGTCGCGGTACCCTCGCCGCCACCGCCACCGGCCGAGGAGGGGTCTGCTGCTTCGTTAGCGGCCTCGATGTCTTGTCCAGCCGCGGCTGGCCCGTCCCGGTCGGCAGAAGTGGTGTCCGCGCTCTCCGCTGCTGGCTCCTTCGTCTGTGCCTCGGCGGAGGGCGGGTCCGTGGGCGACGCTGTGTCTGGAGCTGCTGTGGTGGCGGGGGGTCTCTCGGCGGGCTCGGCATGATTAGCGCTCTTTTCAGCAACTGCCGGCTCTACCTCTGTCTCCTCGGTGGCGGCCTTTGTTGCGCCAGTCTTTTCAGGCTCCTCGGGTTTATCGTCAGCCTTATGTGTCTCGGTTGATCGTGCCAGTGGTCTTCCATCCACTGCCTCCTTCGCGGCAGGCACTTCTGCAGCTTCTGGTTCGTCTGAGAACCCGGACAATTTCGGCGGTGATGAAAACCCCAGGTGCATGTTATCGAGTTCTCTTGTCACTGCGTCCGTCTCCTCCTCGTCCGTTTCCATCACAGTCATCACGGCGCTGCCTGTCGAGGGGCTGCTTCTAACATGCCGCCTCGTCGTAGTCCGTCCATGCGGCTGCAGGTTGTCTTCGGAAGTTGTTGCGCCGCTGGTGTTTTGTTGTGGCTGGGAGCTTGGCTTCAGGATCCTCGAATAAGGTCTCGGGGGTGCAGTCGCGCTGGATGACTTGTTCGAAGCCTTGTCAAGGCCAATATCTGATGCTTCAAGGCCCTCGGCCTCGGGCGGGAGTTTGTAGTTCTCGGCCGGTAGCAAGTCATAAAGATCGCATACTGTCTTGAAGAAGACATATAGCCCGCTCTGCCCCTCAACCGCCCAGAAAACACTGCGATGCTGGAACCACGCGTGAGCAAAAATGCGGTGCAGACGGCGAAAAACGTTGACCAGATTCTTGAGGCCAACATTCTTGCTCTGCGTGTCGTTCAATATCACAAATCGACTGGGGAAGATATTTTGATCCGATACCACGTTAGCAGCCCAATCGAGAGTATGGCAACAATAGTCAATTGCGCAGCAGCTCTTAGGCTGTTCGTGCACGGCGCACAGGAACTGCCATTCGGACGCGCGCATCTCTGGACAGGTAGCGGCACTGCAGGGCGGTGTGTCAAACAAAAACCCAACAATAAGTGTGTTGCATTGCGAGATGAGGAATCGGCAAAGCTCGTAGAGCCACAGGGTTCGATCGATGCCCGTCGGCGGTTGTGCAATTTGGTGGGCCGTCGCCCTCGTCAGCGCTCGAGTGCCCTGCTCTGTGAGGTTGTAATGCAGAGCAGCAAGGTGCTCCTGGAGCGAGAATGCCGATTCCAACTATATTGAGCCTCTTGTTAGCTACTCCGTGGACAATTGGCGTCTAAACGGTCACGCGACGACTGGGAAGAACGCGTTTACTTCGCTCAGAGGCACCAATGGCGGTCCAGCAGCCATATCAGCGGCCTTGGTGCCGGGATGTATTCTTCGTTTCGAGTTGGCATCGAGTAGAGACTGTTCCATTTGCGTTGCTTCGAGTGTCACAACTGCGCCGCTGGATGGTGAGTTGGGGGTCATCTGGATCTCCGCAGCTGGCGGAGGGCTGGGCAGCCTTGGCGAGCTGGGTGCCAGTGCCATTTTCACAAGGAGAAGTATGCCTATGTTCAGCTCGAGTCGGCGCAGTGTTCAATGTACAAAAAGCAGGTTGCCTGTGACTGTCGAAGTGCTGTGCCACCGCACGCTCTGTCGTTTTGGCCGTTGAACGCCACAGTACAGAGCTCAACCTCCCAACTCACTAGTTGCATATTTTGGCGGGTAAAGCTTGGTAAATCCACACTGGGCTGGTGTGGGTCCAGCGTTGCTCGCGTCTAACTCTGGTTATCTCATCAGCAGATCAGAAACAGCCCGCCAGGCTACCCTTGACTTATTAGTACAACTTCCACCACTCAGCGATTCAGGGCCCGTGCCAGATTTACAAGCCCGACTGCATTTTTTGGGCTTTGGGTGCTATCGAGACTGTAACCCGTTTGGATTAGATCCGACGCCATGGATTTTGATGATGATGCCCCTCCAGAGCTGGTTGACGTTGCGGGGCTGGTAGAGGAAGAAGAACTGATTGTGAAAGTCCCAATCACAATTGTCACTGGTAAGGCTCTTAATCAGACTACAAGAAAACGACACCCCTAATGAGATTAGGGTATCTCGGAGCGGGAAAGACGACCCTTTTAAACTATATCCTTACAGCACAGCATGGCAAGAAAATTGCAGTGATAATGAATGGTACGACGCCAAGAAAAGAAATATGGTGTCCAAGATATGCTAATATGCCCTCATATAGAGTTTGGCGATTGTATGGATGAAAAACAGCAAATAAAGCTATTTGAAGATACTAACAGAATGCAGCGTTGGACATTGAAAAATCACTTACTGTCAACAAAGGCGACGAAAAAGTGGAAGAGTGGCTCGAAGTTGGCAACGGCTGTATCTGCTGCTCAGTCAAGTGAGATACCAAAGGGCTCCCCTCTCCAATGAAAAAGTGATGCTAATCAAACCAGAGATACTGGCGTGAATGCCATCGAGTCTCTTATGGCGAAGAAGGGTGCATTTGACTACATCTTGCTAGAAACAACTGGGCTGGCTGACCCTGGCAACCTTGCGCCTCTGTTTTGGGTCGACGAAGGCCTCGGAAGCACTATCTATCTTGACGGAATTGTAACACTTGTGGATGCTAAAAACATTTTGAGAAGCCTCGAGGACGCCAGTGGCAAAGTTGAAGGCCAAGATCATGACGGGCATGGCCCTGTCATGACCACGGCGCATGTCCAGATCTCTCATGCAGATGTTATCGTCATCAACAAGGCGGATCTTGCCACTGCACAAGAGCTTCAAAACGTCAAGGATAGAATACAATCTATCAACGGGTTGGCTAAAATCCATGTCACGGAAAAGAGCGTCGTACCGAAGCTCGACGGGTTTCTGCTTGACCTGCATGCTTACGACCAATTCCACGAGCCAGAACCAAAAACGAAGGCGCACAGCCACCTGGATCCCGTAAGTTCATATCGGTTCTGAAATGGTGTTGTTGCACGCTGTTATGCCGCATTGGGCTGACCTTCCGAAGAACTTATCAACGATTACGATTCCCGTGGAGACGTTAAAACCTGCCCAGCTGGAACAAGTTGACAAGTGGCTGCGGCAGGTTCTCTGGGAAAACGAGCTCCCGGGTTACGAAGGGAGTTTGAAATTCGAGATTCATCGCTCTAAAGGACGGCTTCTGTTCAAAAATGGCGATGTCAAGATGCTGCAAGGGGTACGGGAAATTTTTGAGTTGATTGATGCCCCAGCTGGTGATGAGCCCAGTCCCACTTCTGGAAAGATTATCTTTATTGGTCGGCACGTGGCTGGGGTACATTTTGAGCAGAGCTTCAGGCAATTTGTCCATTAAGAAGTATAGATTCTCCCCTGCCAATTGAACAGAGAATTCAATAGATTTTATACTGTGCGCGGTAACCTCGCACAAATAAAAGTAGACATCAATAAACTGCTACAGCACGAAAGTAAGCGCTTCCACGAAATGTGGTGTGCCCTTGACACCCTGGTTTACCGTCCTGTGATTGGTCCAGATTCACATATCGGGGCGGGCCCACTTCAATCCGGACAGCACTTCGATGCATCACGACTCGTGCTACCAGAGCAAACGCAAGCGACGTCTACGCTGCTCTCTTGCGCAATATCTGCTCGGCCTCGCGATTACTCGAAAAACCCTTCTTACGCTTCCATATCGACGACTGATTATTGCGACACTAAATCTATCGACACACGGCGCGCCAACTCTTCGTCATGAATAGACCTGGTAGGTTTTGCCTCGTCCCCTCATCGAGATCTTGCGACGCGACGCCACCTGCCCTGCAGGCCCGATTCTGCTCTCTCGCGATTTGATCGGCCGAAATGGATTAAAGCGCCGCCGTGATAGTACGACGCTGTCCGCTACATCTGACGCAACACCAGCCTCCCATCTAGTCGGGAGTGTTGGGGCGAGATGCGCGCCAGAGCGGACCGTAGTCGTTAAATACATGAGGCGGATAAAAACAAACGATCAGAAATTGTGCAATGAATCGGAAACTTCTTTTTGAGTATCATGGTTGCTAATATCATGGTGATGCATAGGTGCCGTACCACAGACCCTCCGAGGGGGGATGCCAGGCAACTTCGGAGGTCAACAACAACAGCCTCAGCAGCAGCAAAGTCGTGCCGTATCGAGTCGATTACCGAACGGAAAATTAGGTACGCCGATCTTCTACGACAGCATCCCCTGCCGCTAGATCTACGGGAACTGATCATGATACAGCATCTGGAAACAGCAACTCTGGCTGGGCCTTTAGTGGAGCTGTGCCCATGGGCAACAGCAGCAGTGGCGGCTTCCAGACCCAGAACAGGCAGCTGGGAGGAAGTGTCAGCTTTGCTCAAAGCCTAGGAGGATCTCAGCAAGCAGCGCCCATTGACTTATCGTATGTTATTCTGTTCCATCACAATCTTTATCCTTGCCCCTCATCCACCCCGTCGCGCCAAGCATCGATACCCATACCTCGAGACCTGCTGGCAGAGAGACCGTATAAATACTATCATGGAACCATTCATATCGCCGTGGGACAGGGGCCGTGGTCGGGGCCGTGGCTGGGACCGTGGCCGGGACCGTGGCCGGGACCGTGGCCGGGGCCGTGGTCAGGACCGTGGTCGGGGCTGTGATTGGGACTCTGGCCAGGGACGTGGCCAGACTGAAGCACCTTTGCTAATCGACGATCTTAGCGAATTCCCTTCTCTGTCGAATAACCCCCAGCTGGGCAACCCTTCGCAAGCATCGATGTGGTCCACAGGTGGCTCACGGAATGTGAGCGCACCCGTGCAACGAAATCAACCAACGCCTGTATTATCCCAACATGCAGGTCAAGAAGAGCTTTACGCCCCGACCTCGAGAGCGACGGCAAACGGCTCTCTTCGATTTGGAAATCAGACAGGACAACAGGCCGCACCTGGCAGCGTGGATGACTTCCCTCCTCTAAATCGAACCGTTAACGGCGAAGAGAGGAGTGCCAGCCTAATGTCGTCACTGGGTATCAGTGCGCAAAGCGCAGCATCCCAAGGTGTGGCAGGCAACAGAGGGAATGGACTACTCAATGCGCTTTCAGCAAACAACCGCGCGAATGACCCAAGATCGCAGTCCCGGGCGAGCGGTGCAGGTACTGAAATACACGAGTTTGATCATCTTTAATGTCGTCGACTGACCATCATGGATAGTATCTACGCCGCAACCCTCAGACTATGAGAATCAGTCCCGATCGAATGAACGTTTAGCCAAACAACTTGCAAACCTCAGCACTGGAGAAGGCTCGTCGAAATTGTCGTCTCAGGATGGCATCGTCAGCAAGGCGAAAGAAGATGAGTCGCAAGGGCTTGTAGATCCTCTCGCTGGAATGCCCGATGTCGACAAGTGGGGTCTTAAGGGTCTTCGAACGTTGATGAATAACTTCCCTGACTACCATGCCTTGGTACTTGGCATGGACTCAAGCAGTTTGGGCCTGGACCTGCAAACACCAGAGTAAGACGACGACCTTGGTATCCAAGCGGCACTGTACTAATTGTTATAGCCTGATTTCAACGCAGAAGTATTCTCTTTTCGACGATAGCCTGCCAAAACCGACGCTCCCCGCCGGCAAATTGCGTCTGCCTGAATGCTACAAAGTTAACAACGTTCAGCCTATCAAGGATAAGATAGCAAGTTTCAGCGAGGAAACATTATTTTGGATTTTCTACAGCAGCCCTGCCGATAAAAAGCAGCTTTTGGCAGCGCAGGAATTGTACGTAACCCGTCCTCTCATGTAACTGATATGCTTACGGTTTTTTTTCTAGGCATAATCGCAACTGGCGATGGCACAAAAAACTGCAGATTTGGCTCACTAAAGATGAGCAACTGGCCCCTCAACAGCTCGGCCCTAGTCATGAGCGAGGGTGGTATATTGTGTGGGATACCAACCACTGGCAAAAGGAGAGAGTAAGTTGTTCGGCACCGACCGTTATCCGACATATTCTGACGTCTGCGTAGCGGGAAATCACCTTGAACTACGGGGACTTGGAAACGGTCGTAAACCCCCTTGCGGGAACGCCCGCGATGGATTGATTTTTACTCCTTGGCTACCTGCGAAGTGTATCTGGAAGCTAATGGTTTGGATTGCATTGCCCGGTTCTCTTGACCACTCGGTATTCAGCTCTATTGGCTGTGGAAAGGGTCTTTACTTGGTTTATTCACGGCAAGCAGGTGTACGGCTGGATTGGCAGGATGGGGGATTCAATAACGCGCTCTTTGCTTATGGTTTTACTGGTTGCAATCTCTAGTAGGAGGAAACGTGCTGTACAGTAAGATGGTGAGGCCTTGGCAACCTGTGTACATCGGTTTTTAGGAGGTATTGCTTGCACGGGACCTTAATCAGCGCATTGGACAGCGTCAAGCCCTTTAACGAGGCAATAAATTTTAACAACCACCCATTTCAGATTGCTCTTGAACCTTGCCCGCGAACTACCAAGCCTTTCTAGTAATGAGCAAGGAAGGCCATCCATAGCTCTGTAGTCCACAAGACGCATGGAACCCCCATAATTACTTGAGCCATTGAATAAGTAGCTAGCAGTCGTACAAAGAATCGCAACGGGCTATTAGAAGCTCAATATAGCAAAGTAAGCCGTCAAACCCGTACATACGGCCATAGGCAGTAGAAAATATCGCGTCCCGTTTGCTCCGCTGAAATCAAGCTATTGACCGGCAGATTAGTAGTTGGGTCGGTGACGACCAGCGAACACCGGCTGCTGTATGTTCTTTTTGCTTTATTTTTTTTGTCTTGTCCTCTGTCGCGATGGAGGCCTTCGTCTACTAGTAGTTACAAGCGTTGCAGTCTTTGTGACCGTGGCGAGCTGTTGCGGATGGATTTTGTTCCACAGTAGCCTAACTTGGACGGTTTTCATGACCTTCGCTATCCCTTTTTGTGTCATTCGGTCAATCACTGGATGATGGCGCTTACAAGGTCACCGTTCGCAGGTCTTGCCTGTTATGTTCGTGGAAGTTGGAGGTGGGTCGTTTGAGCTGCCTGATATAGGTACTTGCAGCTTGGTACTATTGCACTGCAAAATACAAGTACCTACTTTGACCTACCTAGGTAGGCAAAAAGCGGGACGCGAATATCCCCTCGTGCCGTGGCGAACCGGCGTCACAAGCTCCGACAATCCCATGCTATCCGCAACAGCGACGTCGTCCCGGGCTGCACGGACATCAAACTGACGCACGATATTCCTCGTCGTATCTACTACAGTTAGATTTTGCTTCCCCCCGTTTCTCTACTCAGTACTTGCGACTGCGACGCTTTGTCCAGTGTCGATCGCAACTCCCCGATCCCGCTCGACAGCATGGCCAACGAACAAATCTCCCTGCCCTACTTTGTCGGTGTGCTGGTGTTCGCCGGCCTTGTGATCCGCTATCTCTTCTTCTCCGGCACATCAGCGCAATCGACCACCCGATCCCCCGAGGCCTTTCTGCGGTCGAGGGAGGCGGCCGTCGAGCGGATACAACAGATGTTTCCGCAGACGGACCGGCGAAGTATCCTCTGGGATCTGCAGCGCAACGGCGGCAACATCCAGGGCACCACGGAGCGCATTCTCTCCGGCCGCTTGGAAACGGTTCGTACCATCCACATCACATTGCCCATGTTTTTTTTTTCCTGGAGCGTACGTGTGATTGCTAACCGGAATTCTGTTTTGCCAGCCTCCCGTTACCTTCCAGCCGCCGCCGCCACCCGGCCAGAGTGCCTCGGCTCAGGGCGCGCCGGCGACGCGGCCGGTCGACAAGCAGCCGACGCAGCCCGATCTCATCACACGATACAACCTAAAAGACAAAATCGACGCCGAGGCGAAGGGCAGCGACGACGGCAAGAGCAAGGGCTGGAGTTCCAATCGCGAGGAGAGACAGGCGTCTCTGCAGCGACGGCGAGATGAGATGATCTTGGCTGCGCGGAGAAAGATGCAGGCCAAGATAGCAGCGGAGGCATCGGGGGCCGCTCAATAACGGAGTATTGTCATATCGCAGTCACCGTGTATAAAGTACATCTACTTTGCCCTCATGTATGCCTGTTTCTTTTTTTTGTTTTGTACAGCGAGTTTATGGACTAGTACAGTACGTAATTATTCGGCAGGTTTACCATGTGAGACTGACGCAGCACGTGATATGTCAGAATGTGCATGGTGATGTCAAAACTATTTCAGGAATCTGTAGCAAGCGCCTTGGATAGCAATCGGGTATTTGCGCCTGCAGCTCAGCCTTGTATTCTTGAGCGTTGGTCGAATCTTGGCCAACGCACACATGCCTTCGGCGCTAAACTGCAGCGTTGTTCGATGGCCTGCTTGTCTGAGAGCCACGATTACCATAATCTGGAGCGGCTTTTTTGTAGAACATCTATTGATTAATCAAAGCGCATTACGTATACATTCCAGTGTAAATAAAAACCTCTGTTGAAGTCCTGGTGGTCAATCTAAGGTCCAAGAGCTCAGCCACGCTGCGCCTCACACAACCCACCACGCCCTGGCCTGCCTGCGTCACCGCGGGGACAAGCCCCACGCTTCATCTGACATTGTGCATTCGCATTTCAACTCATGCAGCTCTAACCTGGAACCTGCATGCTGGCAAGTTTGGAGTTTGCCTCCACCATTCACTGCAATACACCACACCGAGGTGCAAATTCATTCCTTCGAAAGACGTTCAGCTATCGCTCTGCTGTAGCTGGGCTCCTTCATTCCGCGCCGTCTTGTTTTGCATGGTCCCTGGCGCTCTGTTTGCCAAACCCGGGCTCGAGTTACACTCCCTGGGAATGCAGAGAGCTGCAGACGGCCTCGTCGAAGAGATTATCTTACGATCAAGCACCCGAACCTGCGAACGAGTCGAAGTCCCTACACGAAGCCTGATGCCGATATTGCTTCCAGTCCAACACCCCTAACGCTTCACCTTTGCTCGGCCGACACAGGACTGGCGCGCGATGGGTGAGACGCGAGATTATTACGCGGACCTGGAGATATCTCCAACTGCCGAGATAGCAGACATCAAGAAGCAATTTCGCAAACTTGGTGAGGACAATCTGCCCGTCATAGGCGCAGGAGCCTTGCTAACTCTGCCAGCCTTGCAATACCATCCCGACCGAAACCCTGGACGGGAGCAAGAAGTGAACGCTCAATTTCAAATTATTCAAGCCGCCAACGAAGTTCTATCAGATCCAACCAAAAAAGCAAGATATGACGCGTCGTACGGCGGTAGAACCAACCGCTATCCCGCAGCCTCTGGTCGCAAAGGCAACCCGTGGTCCGAGGCGGCACAAAACTTCCCCCCGCCTCCACGTCGCAACCCTCCTGGTGGCAAGCCAACAACGTCCGGTGGGGGAGCTCAAAGATGGTCCTCCAGATTCTCAGCTGGTGTTCCTCCCACAGCCAAGCAGTATACTAACGCAGATCCCGAGACCAAGAAGAATGCTGCCAAGGCTTTCGACACTATGCGCAAGTCGCAGGCAAAGAAGCCCCAGCCGAAGCCTGAACCACCACCACCTCCTCCTCGTACGCAAACAGGAAGAGAGCGCGCCGAGGCGTCATTTGGTACGAGGAAGGCCTCCCAAGCAACTCGTCCACCGACAAGTCAGCATGACCCTTCCTACAGAAAACCTGCACCTCAGCCGTACGATATCGGGTCGCAGACGCAAACTCCTGTGCCAGACCCTTTGAGCCAGTTTAGAGATAATGGTGCACACTCACACGCTCGCTATAACTCGCAATATGCCACGCATGGAGGGGAGAAGATTGACCCATTCGAGGGCATGCGGAGGACTCCCAGCATGAGAAATGCGGAAGATGATACTACTAGGCCATCGCGGGCCGACAACTTGAACAATGGCACGGCCGGTGCCTATGCGAAGCCTAGTTCACAGCAACAAACTCACCGCAGCGGTGGTATGTATCTCGCTTGCACCACAGGCCTTCAGTACTGTTCTAACGATTCCTCCAGGTGTTGACAGCGCCCAGCAAGATACCGAATCAATGTATGCAAACCCTTCAACACCATATTCGAATAAGACCTCTCCGTCACATTCGTCCAAAAACAGACCTACGATGTCCTCATCCTACTACGGATCGTTGTCAAGTGTCTACAATCCTCAGTCCGACAATCTGGCATCCAGTGAAAGCCAAGCTCTACCGCAAGACAGTCCACACTTCGACAAACAGCTGCAGGATCTACTCGCTCGTTTGATTTATGCCAACTACCCCTGCCCATTTTATCCACCCAACTATGACCATACACCACGAAGAGGGTATGCTGACAAGGCTCACCATGACAGCTTCAGTTTTAGAGTCGACGATGATACATTTACCCCATCGGATAACAGCCGATCACCATCACGCCGACGCCCGGCTCATCAAAGCAGTTTCGATAAGACTAACGTAGATGCGATCAACACCAAATTCTCGAAAGAGTTTGCGGATAAACCCTGGAATTTTACCGCGGGATCCCCAACCGCGGACAAGCCGGGTGCTCAGCCGTCGAACACGGACTCACCGAACCCTAAACAGAGCAATCTGCCGGACGATGGTACAGCAACGGAGGCACCCGTACACGAAACAGGCTTTAATCCTGGTGGCTGGACCGACAAGTTTGGTCCCCAAACGTTTGTTCCGCAACAGGCGCCAGCTGGTTCGGCATCGCCAACTAAGGCATCGCGTACAAATTCAAGAAAGAACAAGCCTGCCAAGTCGAATGCAAACAATCCCATCGTCATAAATGATAGCGATGAGGAAGACCTGTACGAATGGACGGGACGCAAGCCCCAGGCCCAAGAAACGTTCACGGACGGGCCTCAAGAGATGGATATAGATACTCCTCCCGCAGTTCCGCCCCGACCCCCGCCGTCCGCCCGTGGCATTTATGTTGAGCCACATCGACCAGAGTGGCGATCAGACATCGTGCAGCCCGCAGCCCAACACGCTGCGCCAGAAGTTAGTGCTGGAGAGCCTTCAACACCGCCTGTGGGAGGCTCCGAGGATAGCGAAGAGTTCATGGCGAGCTTTGAGGATTTGAAGAATGTGGCTCCGTTTGCGCAGCAAAAAGGTGGATTGAAATCGTTTGCTGACCTGAAGGACAACCTTCCCTTTGAATCGAGGGCGTCTGGGGAGGTGCCTTTGCGAATGCCTCCCGTCCAGGCTCTTGTTTTTCCCACGCCACCCACTGCGCCCCGCCCACCTCCAACAGTCGCAATTGACAACATGAGGCCGAGTGATCGTTCATGGAACAAGTACTTTGACGACTTTGTAATGTACTTCCAAGAATGGGAGCTCTTCAATACGCAAGTTGTCGACCATTTTGCGACGAGAGATGCGCACACTCGTCGAGATCGTGAGTCCAAAGGCTACGCGTTCCTAGGCTCGTGCTCAGAGAATGGGATTCAAGAGTACTCAAGCTGTGTACAACAGGATAACGATGTGCGCCGACAATGGAGAGCTGCTTGCGAAGGCCACGAGGAGCGGTTCAAGGAGTTTATGGCGTTTCGAAACAAGATGAAGGAGAAGGATGGTCGAAAAGACGATAGGGGAAATGCTCATCATCACGTTGTTTAGCGTAGTAATCACGGTGTTTTATATATGCACGGCATTATTATCGCATTTATGGCAGCCTTTCCGAAGATAAAGATGGCATGGGGTGCACGAAGATGGTTGGTGTACAAGGGCAGCGGCGTGACAAGAGCACTGGAGTTTTGGGCAATGTCAAAGAGATCAGCGATTCAAGTCGGTGAGCAATTTAGATTAGCGTCTTGGAATTGACTTTTGATTGCTTGTTAATGACATGGAGATTTGGGTCAGCCGTGCTGCTGCAAAGTAAGCAGTGATTGCACTCGGCCGAGCTTCAGACGGCAGTTCACCTTGCTTTCACTCTGCTGTGCGCCAGGTGCCCGTGTGATCTGCTAACTTGTACCTGTATAAATGCTCTACTCACCTAACAAGTCTCTCTCCTGAACCTTCAAGAAACACCACTCCTATTTCTACAACAACGGCCCAGTTCTCTGGCCAGCCTCGCATTTTTGCATTTCCTTGATCAGTAGTGCCACTCAGTCACTCCTCCGCCCTCCTTGACATAACTTGTTCAGTCACGACTCGCCACAAAATACCACCATGTCATCTGAGTCGGGCACCGTTTCAATCGCCAACAAGGGCAAGGCGAGTGTTTGGACGAGGAAGCCAAGGCGAGTCGAACTGCCTCGCAGCAGCCTCCCTCTACGCGCCGTCCACTAACCCCATCTCTCTCCTTTGCTAGTATGAGCTCTTGCTGCGCGTCATTCACCAGCTCAAGCAAGGAAGAGCGATCAACTGGAACTCCATCAAAATGAAGGATCGCAACACAAAGTCCCTCACCAACCAGTGGACCAGAATCGGTAAGGACATGGCGGCGCTGGAGGATCTCGAAGATGGCGCCGCAGCGGCCACTCCCACTCCAAAGAAAGGCACCGGTAAGTTCCTGTTCCTGTTTCTGCAAATGGATCCTGTCTTGAGAAGCTGATATTTTTGCCCTTCAAAAGCTACGAAGCGCAAGTCGGCTGTCAAGCAAGAAGACGAGAATGGGACTTCGGTCAAAAAGCGAGGTACGTACTTTCCCTTGTCAAATGAAACAGAATGTATCTATGGGGATCTTTGGATCTAACATTTACGTCTAGGTCGAAACGCAACTGTGAAGACAGAGCCCGATTTGCCGGCTGTGAAGAAGGAGGACGAGGCTGACAGCAATGACGAGTTTTGAGGCGCGACTACACGAGAGGGCAGAGATGTCGCGGAGAGAAAATGATGCAAACGACAAATTTATTACAATTTGACTAATTTAGCTTCACCACAAGAAATTGCTGAAGGAGATATTATAGGTTTGCTGTATGAGGGTGACACAGGTGGAAGGGAAGCAACCTTGTCCAAAAGATTTTATAGGCCATCGAGAGGAACTGGGAGAATCCAATACAATCATCTATCTTTCTCGGAAATGCAAAAATTTCAGACTGAGCCTTAATCGCCTGTTATTCTAGCTAACCCGGGTGACGTTTCGAGTTGCCTTGCAGGCCCCCGCCCAACCCTTGATTCACTCTCACCTCACCTCCGTTAACTGGCAACGTCACTGCACCATCTCCTAGTCTATTATTTTTCCGTTAGTCACAATTTGTATTACTCTATTCTGTGCAGACTATTTTATCCTCCTTGTTCCTGGTAAGAGTCAGCTTGGTTTCTCTCTTACACCTCACCGCCGTCCTCGACCTTGCATCTCTACACCACCACTCTGCCCATTCCTCCCACACCCTTTCCGCGACCAAGATCAATACCAACACACACACCGACATTTATTTCTCTTTCAAGCTCAAGCAAAATGGCCAAAACTTTAGCTGATGGTGGAGCGGTTTGGACCGACGAAGCCAGGGTATGCGCTCCCAACCTAGCCAATTGGTGGTACTGAACTAACCCATACCTCCCTCACAGTTCCAGCTTCTGCTTCGAGTCATCGCTCAGCTTCAGAGAAGCGGGCAGGGCATCAAATGGGATGAGATTAACCTGCCCGGCCGCACCCAAAAGTCTCTCCAGCACCAGTGGGCCAAGATCAAGCTCCAGGTCGCTGAGTTGGAGGCGGCCGCTGGACAGCCCAGCACGCCCGTCAAGATTAAAGGTATGTTGAACAAAGTTAAGCCCAATACCCGTGCTGCTCAATGAGTCTCCGTTTTCATTGCTTTTGCCATGCATTTTGGTACGAATACTAACAAGTGGTGCATAGGCAAAGGCGCGGGCGCGAAGCGCAAGGCAGAGGTCCCGATGACGCCGGAGGGATCGCCTCAAAAGAAACGAACTCGTAAGTGCGGCAGCGTCGTCCAAGTAAATGGCATTTTAAAAACTGACACGGTATCAATGGCAGCACTCCCCAAAAACTCACCCGCCAGAAATGAAGATTCTGAGTAATAGGCTTGACCCGATGACTGAAAAACGGCCAAGTTGTGCCGTCTACCCGAGGCAAACAGGAAACACAAGAGAGGGGGCAAAAATGAAACTATTAATCATGAATGGCTGGAGGAAACCACTTTGATCATGGGGGGGGGGAACTGCATTGCTGGCTTTGAGGGCGAGGGAGATGGAGCGTGAGAGGATGCTTTCTTGCTTGACAGTTTACTAAAAGAGACAAGTCAGCTGCTTTTACAGCGATGGGAATCAATACTACGAGCTTGCAATTTTGCACAAAACACTTCATCTTTACTGGATACTCGCTGCAGTGTTGTTCGTTGTCTTGGCCACGGCCGCCGCTGTCATCACATGCGCCGCCACCTCCCCTTGCTACTGAACGACTGAGTTCGTTTGGTAAAGTGCCACTATGATTTGCATCATCGGACGGGAGCTATATACGAGGCGACGCATCTTGTTGATCCATCACGTGGACCTAAATGCCATGCAGTGAGGAGGACGCCTTGGGGTTATATCGCTTGGCGCAAGCACACCATTAGGGGAAGATGAGGTGCGCATGTGCGTGCCTTAGCTGCATCGCGGGAAGGCTAATGAAGCTAGGAAGAGGAAGGGGTTGCGTGTGGGTGTGCGTGGAGGGGAAGAGGTGGTCGATGATGGACGAAAACAAGAACCGGGATGGATGGCGATTTGATGGTTCAAGGCCATAGGGGTGCTCAGCAGGCTGGCGAAGGTGTAGATAGAGAGATACCTCTATATTGCAGATGAGGTCATTGTGAGAGTAGTACCTCTTTAGCAAAACTCGTCCTACAGTTCCAAGGCATCAATCATAAATGATGTCGATGGCGATGGTAATCAATACCTGCAATTTTATGCTAAAATCAAGGCTGCTTACTGGCTACGAGTAGATTCTATTCGCCATGTTTCCGCTCTGTACCTTTTTCCAGCGCAAGTAGTTCTGGTATACATGCATATGGGTACCACGTATGTACCTCTTCATAGGTAACTAGGTGGTTAGGTACTTGCCCAAGTTACACCCGTCGGGAACGTTGCGAGGCTTGAGAACAAAACCTCACGTTTCGCTTGTATTTCATATGATGCCATGAATTCCTAAAATCAGTATTCCCGGCATCGCTCAAGTCTCAGCTGTATTTCACGAGTTACGCATCCATGGCCACTTGTCCAACTCGAAAGGCAACGACTTGTTACAAATAAGAGCAAGGTAGACTTGTTCCCTGTGGACTCTGTGGACTTGCCTGGTGATCCACCCTCCAACATCTAAAGTCGCATCGTTTTTTATCCCCAGACTCAACCAGGCCGCATCACATGGGCTCTCGCTGCCATCCACAATCTTTATTCATCTTCTCTCCCGACTCATCCGCCCCCTTTATCTTTCCCCTTCCTTTATTTTACACCGTCTGACCCTTTCTACGCCGCAAAACCAACGAACCGTGGCAGAGAGGCTCCTCAGGCAACTTTTTCCCCAGTCTTTGCTCTGCTTTGCCCGTCAACCCCTCGACACGCCGCCCACATTTTGCCTAGACGCCGATAGAACACGCAAAACAGCTTGCGCAAAGGCAGACACAGCCGCTCGACCCCCCTTTGATTTTAAACCACATCCGGCCGCCCTCTCACGATGAATGGTCACGCCGCCGTAGGGGCCAAGAGAAAATCCTCAGGGTCCCCAGGTCGCGCGCCGCCTGCCAAGAGAGTCCCTAATGGCACCTACTCTGAGGATCATGACACTTCAGAGGATGATGCCATGTATTTTGACGAGGAGTCGGACCTCATCGACGAAAACGAGATGTATATCGGCACACCGGTCAGCCTCGGCGAGTGGCAGGACACCATCCAAAAGGTTGTCCGCAACGTCGTCGCTATTCGTTTCTGCCAGACCTGCTCCTTTGACACCGATCCTGCCTTGACAAGCGAAGCTACAGGATTTGTAGTCGACTCTGAGAGAGGGTAAGTATTGCTGCTTCGCCGGTGCCGTTGCGTGGTGACCCACTGACCGAGAACAGATACATCATGACCAACCGCCATGTCGTTGGCTCGGGTCCTTTCTGGGGCCACTGCGTTTTCGACAACCACGAAGAAGTCGACTGCTACCCCGTCTACCGCGATCCCGTCCACGACTTTGGTATTCTGCGATACGACCCCAAGGCGATCAAGTACATGCAGGTAGATGGCCTCGACCTGACCCCGGATCAAGCAAAAGGTAAGTACCGGAATCTATTTTCTCGCGGAGATTCGCAGCTGATGTGATTTCATAGTTGGTGTCGAGATCCGCGTCGTGGGTAACGATGCAGGCGAAAAGCTCAGCATTCTGTCCGGCGTCATTAGTCGCCTCGACCGCAACGCCCCCGAGTACGGTGAAGGATACAGCGATTTCAACACATGTTACTACCAAGCCAACGCCGCAGCCAGCGGTGGCTCATCCGGAAGTCCTGTTGTTTGTAGGGACGGCACTGCTGTTGCGCTCCAGGCTGGCGGCCGATCCGATGGAGCCTCGACCGATTACTTCCTGCCCCTCGACCGCCCACTGCGCGCGCTGCAGTGCATCCAGCAAGGCAAGCCCGTCACAAGAGGAGACATTCAGTGCCAGTTCTTGCTCAAGCCCTTTGATGAATGTCGCCGCCTCGGACTCACACCCCACTGGGAGGCTGCCATTCGTAAAGAGTTCCCCAACGAGACCAACATGCTGGTGGCCGAGATTGTTCTTCCCGATGGTCCTTCCCACAACAAGGTTGAAGAGGGCGATGTTCTTATCAAGGTGAACGGCCAACTCATTACCCAATTCCTCCGACTCGACGACATCCTCGATTCCAGCGTCGGCAAGCCTATCAAGCTGCAGCTGCAGAGGGGAGGTCAAGACATTGAGGTGGAGATTGAGGTTGGCGACTTGCACAAGATCACTCCGGACCGCTTCGTCTCGGTCGCAGGTGCTAGCTTCCATGATATTTCATACCAGCAAGCTAGACTGTACGCTGTTGCTGTCAAGGGAGTCTACGTCTGTGAGTCGGCCGGGTCGTTCCGCTTCGAAAACACCGACAACGGCTGGATCATCCAGTCCGTCGACAACAAGAAGGTTCCCGATCTCGACACCTTCATTCAGGTTATGAAGGGTATCCCTGACAAGGCGCGCGTTGTCGTCAAATACAAGCATCTTCGCGATCTCCACACGCTCAACACGACCGTCATCTATGTCGATCGTCATTGGTCTGCCAAGATGAAGCTTGCTGTCCGGAACGACATCACAGGTCTGTGGGACTTCACCGACCTCGGCGATCCGCTACCTCCTGTGGCGCCCGTCCGACGTTCAGCGTCCTTCATTGAGCTGGACCACATGCCCGACCCCAGCATCGCGAAGCTCATTCGTAGCTTTGTCCATATCAACTGCACCATGCCTGTCAAGCTTGACGGCTTCCCCAAGAACCGCAGATGGGGTATGGGCCTCGTCATTGATGCTGAAAAGGGACTTGTCCTCATCTCCCGCGCAGTTGTGCCCTATGACTTGTGCGACATCACCATCACAATTGCCGACTCCATCACCCTCGAAGGCAAGGTCGTGTTCCTCCACCCGCTGCAGAACTACACCATTGTGAAATATGACCCGTCGCTTGCGGATGCCCCTGTCGTGAGCGCACGTCTCAGCAGCGAGCCTCTAACTCAGGGTGCTAAGACCTACTTCCTGGGCTACAACAGAATCGGCCGTGTTGTACACGGCTCCACAACAGTCACTGAGATTACTGCTGTCGCTATTCCCGCCAACTCTGCTGCACCGCGTTACCGTGCCGTCAATGTTGATGCCATTACCATTGACAGCAACCTGGGCTCCTCTTGCAATAGTGGTGTTCTCGTTGCTCCCGATGGCACCGTTCAGGCTCTTTGGCTGTCGTACCTTGGCGAGAGATCCTCATGCAACCACCGCGATGAGGAATACTATCTCGGTCTGGGAACACCCACTCTGCTGCCTGTGATATCTGCTATCCAGAACGGCGAGACGCCCAAACTGCGTCTCTTGTCCGTTGAATTCCGCTCCATTCAGATGTCTCAAGCCTCCATTATGGGTGTCTCTGACGAATGGGTCAAGAAGGTCACACAAGCCAACCGCTCGCACCACCAGCTATTCATGGTCAGCAAACGCACGTTTGAGCGCGGTAGCCACCCGGTATCTCTCCTTGAGGGTGACATCATTCTTACCTTGAATGGTAAAATTTGTACGACCATCACGGACTTTGACATCATGTACTCCCACGAGTCGCTCGACGCTGTGATTGTGCGTGAGAATGAGGAGAAACACCTGCAGATATCTACTGTTTCTGCAGAGGACTTGGAAACTGACCATGCTGTTTCATTTTGCGGCGCCGTTCTGCATCGGCCTCACCAGGCCGTGCGCCAGCAGATCAGCAAGCTGCACAGCGAGGTTTATGTTTCCAGTCGTATTCGTGGATCCCCTGCCTACCAGTACGGCGTGGCTCCAACCAACTTCATCACGCACGTCAATGGTGAACCGACCCCTGACCTGGATACATTCATTGCGGCGACGCGCAAGATTCCGGACAATACATGTAAGTCGGGCTCTCTCAGGAAACTTAAGATCGAAATACTGACAAAATTACAGACTTCCGCCTCAAGGCCGTTACCTTCGACTGCGTACCATGGGTCATCACAATGAAGAAGAACGATCACTACTTCCCTACGATGGAGTGGATCAAAGACGACTCGGAACCCTGCGGTTGGCGGCGCGTTTCTTACGAAGGCGCTGCGGTCGTGAATGGAGAGGCCACAGATGGAGTGCTTGTGCCAGCAGACGATGCTGAGATGGAATAGATTAAGACTCGATTACTTTTTTCGAGGCTGTGTATAGTGTTTGTCCTTACGATACTTCTTCCCAGGGCGATGCAAGCTTTTCTGTGCATTCTGAGGAAGCAAGGAACTCATGATGGCTTGTACTTTGTTTCTTTTCTGACCTTTTCTTTTCTTTTCTTTTTGCATTTGGCATTGGACTATGGCGTTATTTGGCTATGAAGGATCTCAGGGGAGCTTTCTGGAGCTGTCTCTGCAGCTGTAACATTTTCGGAAGGTGTTATAGGCTCGCACGGACATGATACCGTCGATAGTAGGCATTTGACCGATTCGTGGGAATAATTTTCTATAGCTTGGGATAGAGTAGACCATATAAAAAGAGCTTGTCTGCCTACTAATTATCGTCCAGTAAAATGAATTTCTTTACTTCTGAGAATCCTGGCATGTATCTGGGTGCTGGGTGCCTGGAGCTGGAAATTCTGAGGCGTAGACAAGCTCCGAGTTGGTGGTGGGGTAACTTGCCCCGCAAGCAGTTCCTATTGCATCACTGGTGGTGGTCAACCAAACCCCTACGCTGTCACCTCAAAAGCTGTTGCCTATCCTTCTTTTTTGATGTTCTACAGGATCCTCTTGTTGGTACACCGAAATCTTTGCTTCCAACATTACATCAACTTTGAACCATTCTTGAAATTTACCTTGCAGCATGGCCCCCGGAGCCACCTGGCTGGTGAGTGCGAATCCCGTAGTGCTACAGTTGACTGGCAGGCCACCCCTGGTCGAGTTACAAATGATTAATCGCAGGCTCTCTTCCACAGACAAAAGTCAAAGTCCAGCTGAAGCTGGCCATTGCGCGCTTGCGCATGGTGCAGCAGCGTGACGAGCAGCTGGGAAAGACGCAACGACGCGCGATGGCGCAACTCCTCGAGTCGGGCAAAGTCGACTCTGCCACGATCCGCGTCGAGAACATTATCCGCTCCGACATCATCACCGAGCTGCACGAGATGCTGGAACTATATTGCGAACTGCTGCTAGCGCGATCCGGCCTGATGGAAGGCGCGCAGGTCGACCCTGGCCTGGAGGAGGCCATCCAGAGCCTCATCTACGCGGCGCCAAAGACGGAAATCAAGGAGCTGGCGACAGTGCGGCAGCTGCTCGCGGAGAAGTACGGCAAGGAGTTCGTGCTGGGCGCGACGGACAACGCGGAGGGCAAGGTCAACGAGAAGGTGGCCAGGAAGCTGAGCGTGGAGCCGCCGCGCAAGGAGCTCGTGCAGGGCTACCTGGAGGAGATTGCGCGAGCATACGGGGTCGACTGGCCGAAGCGCGAGAAGCCAACGCCGCCCCCCGAGTACGAAGAAGATGACGACGACGACGAGCCCTCGGGCGGACAGGCGCAAAGAGTGCTGGAGCAGCCCATCGCGGCGGAGCAAAAGTCGCTGGCTGCGGGTGATGGCAAGGTGGCGGCGACGACGCCGGCGAGGCGGAGGGCGGCGGACTTGGAGGATCCTGCGAGCCCGCTTACGGTGACGCCGCCGCGGCCGACGACGGATAACGTGCACCCCAAGGTGACTATGGGGTCGGTCGAGCTGAAGCCGAGTCCGAGGAGAGGGAGCGCTGCGAAGAAGCACGAGCCCGACGGCTCCGTCCCGGATATTTCTGACCTGGAGCAGAGGTTTGCGGCGCTGAAGAAGCGGTGATGGATGTGCTATTGGTCGTGCAAGGTTGACACGTCCGGCCTGATTCCAATTTACATGTACAAGGCCCTCTTTCAGTAGCGACAACGCCCTTCTCATATGAAATACCAAGTCCACTATTCATTGTATGCTTCGGTTGGCAATTGCACGTGTCGCCCCCCCCCCTTGGTTGTATACTACCTACAAACGGCCAGTTCAGACCGTTGACACTTGGCAGCTGTCAGCTGCGAGCTGGCTGGTAGGAGGAAGGAGGACTGGTCAATGAAAACGAAGAGACTTTCCCCAATAAATGAGGAAGGCGCCTTGTTTCTACCGGCATTCCACTTCTTCCAACAGCATCACGCCGTTGCCAATTTGCTCGCCCCTTACCCGCCATTGTTCATTAGTAACCCATCAACCCGCCACGACAGTACACTCATGGATCGCCTCGATACGTTGCTCATCAACGCCCGCGACCGGCTTGGCTGCAGCGGTCTACGCAATCTGCACGACTTGGGCCAGATGCGACAGGAGACACTCGAGAAACGCATTGCGGCTGCCCAGCACCGGCTCACGGTACGCAACACCCTCTCCATATACACTGCCTGGCTTTGGGAGAGGGCGTTCTCCATTGCCCCCAAGAACCTTCAGCTCGTTATAGAGAAATGGTGCGTATATCTTTGGGGCATTGGATGCACACGCGAGATGGCTCGCGTTGCGTGGACAGAGGCCCAAGCCATGCTTGGGCCTTTCCTGCTCGCCCGACCGCCGCCTCCTGGCGCCGTACACATGAAGATCGGATCTTCCATTACCAACCAATTCCCCACGGCTCCCATTGCCAAGCGGAAGCTTGATGTGCTGGAGGACGGCGCCAGCCCGGACGAGCTGACGGTTGACGACAAGACCCGTCGAGATGCGTTACCGCCCTCAGCGAAGAGGCAGAAAGCTAGCCATACTGCTCAAGGCATTGCTGTTCCCCCGATGTATCAGTCGTTGCCCCTTCTACCTCTACCGACTCCTGCTGGCCGGGGGGACTTTCTCTCACTGTCTCCCCGTAATGGGGACGAGAGCACGCGTTCCATTGACAGCGCGGCACGTCGCGGTAAAGAAGAGAACGAGGCAATATGGGCCAGAGAAGACTTCAGGTTTAACTTTAGGAGTGAGTACAGCTTCGCCATTAGGCAGTTGGGTCTAAACTAAGCGTACGGCCAGGTACTCCCCCAAGCCGTTCGGTCGGTGCTTCTCACTGGAGCCCCCGCAAACGGCAAGCTGAGAGCCAGACATTTGCACAAACGCAGAGACAGCCAGTGCAAATCAAGGTTGAAGAGAGGTCACCCACGCCTCCGCCCCGGGCTATATCAGTTCGGCAGGCTTCAGTGCAACAGGCACCGCAAGGGCAGACGCCGACGCCGACGCAGAAGCAGAAGCAGAAACAGAAGCAGAAAGAAAGGCAAAATCCGAGTTGGCAGATCAACAACGTACAGAACCAGATTCTCAAGCATGCTAAGACAGCAGCGAAGAAGTCCAAGGCGCTTGCAGTCTTAAAGGTACCGAAAGGTTCGGCTAAGGATGAGCTTGATGCAAAACGGGGAGAGTCGTCCATTAAAAGATTCGGCGCAATGGTGGCTGAAACCGAGAAGAGAGAACAGCAAAGATTCAGCGATTGGCCTGCGAACGAAAGTGGCTGGCTTTCCTCTTGGGAAGAGGTGAGCGGACAAGTATGCATGGCAACTTGTGGCTAATCTTAGATGGCATAGGAAGATACTGCCTTCCAGACCCAAGCACAAGCCGGGGCGCAAACGAAACAAGACAAAGTTCCATTGAGGCCTATTACCCTCGGCCAACCTACGAGAGGCGCCATGAACACGCCGCTGAGCCGTTTTGGAACGCCAGAAGGCGTCTTGAAGCCAGCAAACAACAAAAATGAACCGCCACACCAGACATGCATTCCAAGTGCGCTGACTCTACCAGTGCAATATAATGCCGACTACCACGCACAGTTTCACGCCCATCTTCATCGGTCGATTTTGCCGCAGCACTATTCGCAGCAGTGTACGCAGCACTTTGAGCAGCACCTTGCGCAACACTTTGCGCAGCACCTTGCGCAGCACTTTGTGCCACCTCCTGCTCTGAACACTAACTCGGGGGCTCGCGTGGCGCCCTACCCAAGAATGCATAACAGTCCCGTGCTCCAGCGCTCGGTCTCTTTACAGCGGCAAGAGGCCACCAAGCCCGTGGTTGGTTATCACCCAAGCGTGACGCGTCTTTTTAGAAAGAGAGCAAATGTACGGGTCCATCAAACGAACCGTGACGTTGCCTTGGATACATGGGGCGACTTTTCTGGCTCGAACCAGCCGCAGGAGTATCGGGCACGGGAAGAATACGACCCATCCCGCCCGCTTGTGTAGGATATGAATGAGAGGCCCAGCTCCTGGAGCCTGAAAGCTGTGTATGGATTAAGGGATATGGGAACGCAGTATTGCAGGAGCGTAGTTCCTCAAGTATCTCGTGAACTTGATGGTATTTGTTAGCTAGTTGAGAGCAGGAAGTGCATAGATAAAGAAAAATGGAATTGCGCATTGCACAGCGACTGTCCCATGAGATGATTCTCCAACACCAAAACTCCAAGGTATGACGGCAGAGTATATACAATTTGGATGTGCTGATCCTGCGAAGAAAGCTCTGATATTTCTTCGAATTGATCTTTTGATCTTTGATAATTTGTCTCCCTCATCGCTACTTGATCTTGCCTCGCGGCGACGGGTCCATCATTCCAGCTTGTCCAAGTGCTCGAGCCTGGTGAGGACGGCCTGCTTGCTCGTCTCCTCGATCTCGCCAGCGAGGAAGACCTCGTCGAGGATGGCGTAGACTTTGTAAAAGTTGAAGACGAGGTCGAGCTCGGAGACGTTGCCGAAGAAGGCGTCGAGGACCTCGACGAAGAAGTGGATGGCCTCGAGGTAGGCGAGCTCGTTGTCGTTGATGTCGACGCAGACGCAGAAGAAGAGGCCCGCGTAGCGGCGGTAGACGATCTTGTGGCTGCGGAACTCGACAAAGTTGGACTGGTACTTTTGGTCGCGGGGGGCGACGAGGCGGTGGACCTCGCCCTTGAGCTTGATCTTCTCCTCGTCGCTAAAGGGCGCGTACCACTTGGCGAGGCGGGTCTTGCCCCTGTACGAGGAGAAGGAGGCGGTTGATTAGTTGTTTTCTTTCTTTCTTGATATGGATTCGAGAAGAGGGGGGAAGGACGAACTGCCGGTTTTGGATGAGGATATAGGAGAGCATCGTGGGATGGCGCGGCGGGGGGAGTTTGGCGGACTGGAAAAGGAGAAGAAGCGGCGGTGCGCCAGGTCGCCGTGAGCTTGCGGCTATCGATTGATGAGGCGCCAATCAAGGGGGCAGATGCTCGATTCGATATGCGATGTTAGATTTGCGACGAGTAGGAGCGGGGAGGGGCGGCGACGCGGCGGGCTCGGGATGGATGTAGAAAGACTTGGAGGGGTTGGTTGACCGGCCGGCCTGCGGCATGCGATCCGGGGTTCTTAGAGTTCAGCGTATTTTTGGTGGGGTCGGCGCGCGTCAGCGTAGATGAGGTACTTCGGACCTGCATATAACACCCGCGCAAAAAGGTGTTGCCCTTAACGCCATAAGGTTAGGAGAAGAAATTAAAGACGATAACTATCAAACTTGGGGAAAAATTAATCCGCCAAGTTGAACAGATTACTAGGAGTAACTGCTTATACCTAGAGGTAGAGTGAGTACATGCCTGGTCAATGGTTTCGAGCAAACGGCTGTTGGCAGTTGGCAACCGGGTACCTGGCCGTTGAGTTTCCAAACACCGACCCAATCTCCATGTTCTTTCTTCCACATACATCAACACATTCTATTCGACAAAGCCTCTGCTCGCCATTCTATATCGCTCATACGAAGAAAAGAAGCATCGCATCATGTACTCCAATGCACGTCTCTGCTGCCTGCACAATGCCGGCCCCAGCATTGGAGCCGCTAGCAGCGGGTATCATCCAAGATTTCCGCAGCCCCATGACCTCATACCAATTTTTGCACCTCCAGTATGTGTTGCGACGATTTTCTCCCTGAGCAAAGCACAGTGAAGGTCGAAATATCTTCTATGCCGCTGTACAATATAGACGGAGTCTTTTGCGCCACAACGACAAGACCATGGTGGCGATGGCCACAACCAGCCCATCATGGCCGCCAGCAAACCCTTCTGGACTCTCGTTCGCGTCCTCTGGGGTGACGTTCAGACGAATCAGCCGTGGCAACGCATCCTCAAGTACTCGATTGCCTGCGTTGGTGCCCTGATACTCGCCATTCTCCCCCATTTTAAGAGCCGCGAGACCTTCCTCATCCCCATGGTCGTCGTCTTTGGCCACCCGGGCCAGCGCATGGGCATCATGATGGAGTCACTGCTCATGATCCTCCTCGGCGCCCTCCTCGGCGTTCTCTGGTCGCTGCTGGGGCTGTACTTGGCCAACCTGACCGTTATCCAAGATCGCTCCGCCGCATACGCCGTCCGCGGCCTCTTCCTGCTTGTCGCGGCGCTGGTGCATGGCTTCGTCCGCTCGCATAGCCCGCCACTCTTCAACTTTGTCTTATTCATGCTGGTCGCTGTCATCATCACGGTGCAGGCTCCTACCAGCGAAACCGTAGGGCTCTTTACAAATATTTACGTGCCTGTGTGCATGGGGGTGGCAGTGTCCTTGCTCGCCAACCTGGCGCTCTTCCCTGAATTGTCCAGCAGCTATCTGGGAGACTCGGCCATTAATACGATTTCCGAGGCCATGGAAGCATTGACACGTTCCACCTACTGGTTCGTGACGCCGGGAGGAGACTGCGAGGAGGTCAGGCAGCAGCGTGCGCGACTATATAGCGCCACCTCCCGCAAAAGCCGGGCCTCGGATCCGTCGCTCCCGTTTCTCCGACGACTCACGGCCACCCGAAAATGGCGTGCATTTGCCGCCGAGTTTCCCAATCCATTCAAATCGCCTAGTCTCGCAAGCCAATTCAAGATGCCAGTTGAGCTCACATCCCTCGCCAGTTTGACAGACTGCAAAATCAAGCTGCGATCTCAGCTGCGCGCCTGTCGTGCGGCGCAAAATGAAGTCAATTTTGAAGTATCTCTTTCCAAACTGCCGCCCGATCTGATGAGACCTATTACCATGAACTCCATAACAAACCTTATACAGGGCATCATAACTGCCATCGGTGCCTGCGAAAACAAGTTTGTCCTGCTCGACGCAAGTACCGCGAAGCCGGCATCAACCAGGCCGCAGACCGCCAACGTTTCGTCCAGTACTACACAATCTTCCCAAAATCTTCCAAAATCTTCCAAAGTCCGAAAGCGAAAGGCCGGGCGAAGGCAACGCACAGAAGACGTCAAACCAACCAAGGAGATCGAGGCTGGCAATGCCGAGCTTGTCGAACATCTTTTGACCTGCATTCGGGATCCAGTCATGACTCTTCATCAATCTATCAAAGAAGCCGTCTCCACTCTTATGGAGTGCCTGGCATATTGTCTGCAAGTGACAAAGCTGCCATCCGGCCAACTGGCTCCAACATCGATATCGCTGAGTGATCTAGATACAAAAATTGACCGGTTTGCAGATGCCGTGGCGGCTTTTGATGTCCAATCAGCGGAAGCACTGAAAGCAGCGGCAACAGAGCCCGATAACCATGCTCTTGACTTTATGCCTCGCATGGAGACATTCCTCATATCATCCTTCATATTGTCCCTTCGCCAGTCTGCCGCCCAAGTAATGCTTATGCTACGCCACTCGCGCACTCTTGTGGAACTTAGACAGCAACGCAGCAGATCCCGTCTATGGCTGCCCAAGCTTTCCAGCTTGAGCCCATGGCCATACAGCGGTGGTGCTGACCCCGGTGCGCCTGTCACTGAGAGCAGAACTGGTCTGGCCGGAGATGGTGGCGATGCGCCCAGAGAGCTCAATCCCGCAGCTGCGCAAAATGTCCGCGCTGAAAGTATGCACCGCGCAGGATCTGGCGATGAGCAGATCTCCAGTCCAATTTATAACGGCGAGATACCTAATCACACGAAGAACCAAGCGTCGAGCTTTTCACGAGTTGAACGGCTGCGATATGCTGCTGCCGATGCACTAGAATGGACACAGAATTCGGAGGATGTCGTTTATTCGGTCAAGCTTTCCATTGCGCTCTTTCTCGTCACCTGGCCAGCTCTTGTTCCAACCTGGAATCAGTGGTATGTCGAAGTGCGTGGAATATGGGCACCGCTACAGCTAATCCTCGTTTTCGAACTCGCCATCGGGACGTCACTCACCGTCTTTTTTGTGCGGCTCTTTGGCGTGGTGTTTGGCGGTGTCATTGGCTACCTCTCTTACGAGATAGCGCGCGGAAATAGAGCCGGTGTCGTAGCCGTTGTGCTGCTTGGTATTGTGCCGTCCATCTACATTCAAATAGCTACCAAGTACGTCAAGGCAGGAATGATTTCCATCATTTCTATGGCCGTCGTTGCGCTGTGTAAGTTCAAAGACCCGCTGCTGCCAGCGAAGCTGCTGCTGACATGCTCTAGCCGCCGTTAATACCAGTGCGCCTGGCTACGAAGTGTTCTATAAACGTCTGGTAGCGTTTGTTATTGGAGGCGTTGTAGCGGTCCTCGTTGAGATCTTCATTTTCCCCGTGCGAGCGAGGGACCGCCTTGTCGATTCACTCTCTGCCGCCGTCTTGCATGTGCAAAACATGAACGCAGTCATCGCTGTCGGAATCGACCACCCGGAGCGGCCCAACTTTCGCTCTCGCAAGTTGTACGCCCGCTTCAAACGGGCCCGCGACAAGGCACAAGGCTGTCTAACGGCGGCAGAGTCCTATCTCCCATCTTGCCTTACCGAGCCTCGCCTGAAGGGCAGCTTCAAGCCTCTTGCGCCTATTTACAGCGAGATCATATATGTCCTGCATCAGATCACGGACCGAATGAATACCGTGGTTCAGCTGCGAAGGGAATACGGCTCCTCTGTCCTGGAGGACCTGAACCCGCGCGTATATGCCTATCGCCGAAATGTCATGGGAAGCTGCAATCTCATTCTCTTTTCCGTGCACGAAGCCCTCACCACCTGGCTTCCTCTTCCGCAATTTCTTCCCTCCGCCCGCCTCGCGCAGCTGCGCCTGATCAACCGCGTGCGCGAAGTGCTGGACGCCGAGAGCGCCAAGGGCTCAACATTGGCGCTGCGAAGGTACGTCGCCGGGCGCCTCGAGCTTGACGAGTTGACTGCCAGCACCATCACGAAGCGCAAGTTCCTATCATGGAACGCGAGCACTGCGGGCCAGATGGAGATTATCGAGTACCTCGAGGAGCTGACGGACCTGGTCAAGCTGCTCGTGGGCGTCAACGCGTTTCGGCGCGGCGTGCTCGAGGCGCCAAAGTACAGGCAGTATATGCAGCGCAAGGACGGGGGGGAGGAGACGGCGGAGGAGGGCGCCGGCGCGCCGGACCCGTTGGGGGAGGAGGATGAAGCGGCAGGAGGTGAGGATGAATACCCAGACGTGAGCGTCGTTGCCATCGTGGGCGGCACGAGGCGGTCCAGAGCGGCGACGGTCACGGAGAGGCCAGACAATCGGCTGCTCGAGCGCACGGGGAAGTACTTGCACGGCGCCAAGGACTTGGAGAGTGGCGCGGGAGCCGCGGCCAGTGAGATGGCCGTTGTCGACGATGAGGATGAGGTGGACGACATTCCTGTAAGCCTGCAGCGGGTAGGCACGCGCCTGCGGGAGAATAACGCAATGGTGCGCAGTAGAGCGTTTACTAGTAGCAGTGAGAAACGGCCTTGAATAGATGTAAAATGGGCCGGCTTTTTTATGAGGCCCCGTATTCAGAGTCCCAGGCATTCGCTTTATATTCATTACACCACTTTCAAAGTCCCGCGATACAGTACCAAATATGTCATACGAGGTTGTTAAAACGCCCACTCCGAGTTCCCAAACAAAACCCATCTCCGTAGCGCCATGCATGAGAGAAATAAATCCAACCAAAAGAAAAATTCTATCCTAAAAACAGGCAACGCCAACATCCCAGACCGAGAACGACCAAGTAAACAAAATCAAAAGATGTTGAGGGGCGTCTTTTGAACAATGCGGGTGTTGTTGAGCATGGCCCTCGTCTTCTTGGGCCGCTGCTGGAAGCGGCGAAAAGCCTCCTGCACGTGTCGCGGCTCGATGGGCGAGCGGCCCTCGCTGGGGGGATCGAAGAGCCCGTACTGATGCTTCCGCTTCTTCGTCGTCGTCCCGGCCCCCGCAGCACCGCCGCCGCCACCTTGGGAGGCGGCCGGGTCGCCGGTCTGCGCGCGGGCCATGTCCTCCTGCTCCTTGGCCTTGAGGGCCATCTCGGTGAGGGTCTGGACCATCTCGAAGGTGAGGAAGCCGAGGATGTCGACGATGTCGTCCGAGGGCTTGGAGTCGGTGACGATGCCGAAGCCGGCCCACTCGCGGAAGCGCTTGCCCTTGCGCCAGGTGAAGCTGGCCTGGCGGTACTCGGACCAAGTGACGTACTCCTCGCGGGTCATGACCTTTGTGCGCTCGTCGGCCTTGCGGAGGCGCTGGAGGGTGATGTAGTTCATCTCCTCTTCTTCTTCGTCCTCCTCGTCGTCGCGCTCGGGCACCTCGACGTTGAAGAAGGAGGCCGGCTCCCAGGGGAGGCCGACCTTGGCCTTCTTGTTCTTCTTGGCGGCCTCGTCGACGGGCCCGCCGGCGGTCAGGGTGGCGCTAGGGTCGTCGGCGCCGCCGGCGGCGGCGAGGTCGGCGTCGGCGCCCTTGTCGTCCGAGTCCTTGATGTTCTTGCGGACGTCCTTCCAGGAGAGGAAGGTGCGCAGGCGGGAGACCTTGGCCTGGTCGTGGCGGATCTGGAAGATGAGGTCGTTGGTGCTGATGGACTTGGAGCCGCGGCGGGAGGCGAGCTCGGTGCAGTTGCGCAGCTTTTGCGGTGGTAGGAGTTTGTCAGCCGGAGGAGAGGGCAAGGATTGGGGAAGCGCGGGAGGTAAGGTCATACCAGTTCGATAACCTGCTGTCGCACAATGTCTTCGATGATACTCGTGGTTTCGACCGAGGGCTCGCCAGTCTCGCCGGAGACGTACATCATCTGTCCAAACGTGTCAAGGAGGATTCTTCGGAACGATTCGGACGAGGGCGTGGAGTCGGGATAGGTAGCGACGGAGGCCATGTCGTCGTCAACGGGTCAAAAAGGCAAAAAAGAGACTGTGCTTGCTTCTGGGAACGAGACGATAGCGAGGGGAGAGGGCATGCCGCTTCAGGCCAACAGAGGCAAACGGGCGAGAATGTTTATCGGCCAGCAGCTAGCAGCTGGCAACTGGCAACTGGCAGACGTTTCGCGCCAGCTGGCAGGCCATGCCTCTCAAATTTCTCTGCATGGTCCCGTTTGCATTCACCCCCCCCCCCCCCCCCCCTGGTTGGGTGCTGCCGCTGGGCCCGACCGGAGCCGCGGTGCCTTGGGTCGGCTTACCTGGCTGATTTCCTGACGGTATTTGTACATCTTGTCCTTGGCGTCCGCCATGATGGGCAAGGGGGCGAGGCTTCAGCCTGCGACAACGGTGGGATCGGTTAAGAATTGACGGCTCGAGGTAAGGATGACGTAAATCGCGATTGGATGAAAGGCCGGGTCGCGGCGGCTGGAAAGGGCGGCCGAGCGTAGAGGACGAGTATCGGGCGGCGCGTGGAATATGGAGACACCGATTGGGCGGCCGCTCAGCGACGTATGCGTATGTAGGTAGTTCGCGATGCTCTCGCAACGATGCCGGGCCTAGTCCGAGTCGCGCTGCTGGGGGATGTTGAGTTGGGTACTGGTCGAGATGACAACACAGGCCTGTAGGCTAACTTGGGCGCCGCAGCCTCGATGCGATAGCCCCACGTGACCCCATTGCGAAGAAAGTCAACATGTAAAGGTAGAGAAAATTCGAACAGATTTGATTTAGTGCATTTTGCATCTTTGAATTATTTCATCGTGGTAACTTGTATTCCTGAACCGTTCCTGCAGTGCATTGTGGGATTGGCTGAGCGTGGATATCGGCGGCGCAGAATGCTGCCTGCCCTTGTCCCCTCCACGTCTACTGTGCTACAGCATCCCTGATGCAAGAGTTCCCAGCCCTTGACCTTTGACTCCCCATGCGACTATGTAGTGTCCGGCGAGTAGCTTCCACTCCTCTACCTCGTCCAGGCCCTCCAGTTGATCTACTCGCTCCTTTTCCGCGGTGTCGATCCACGACTCCCATATGGACTCGACAGACTTGCACTCTGCCGCCGCTCCGAAACCAGCCTCCCGCAGCCGCTGTATTTGGTCACTTGCGTTTCTGTAACGATCCATGCCCGGCATTTGAATGCTGCGCGCCGCGAGGTTCGACACCATGGTTTTGCCAAACGCGTCGTCGAGGTGCACGGGCTCGTAGAGGACGACGGCGACGCCAGCAGCGATGCGTGACGTAAAGTAGCGCAGCACCCTCTCGGCCTCCTCGACCTTTAGGTAGCACAGGCAGCACTCTGACAGCACCAGTGTGGGCACGTCAGTCCGGAGGCCGTCCAGCGGCTCGGTGATGCCGGTGTCGAGGTCCCGCAGGTCCAGGCCGTGGCAGTAGTACGCGCCAGCGCCTTGCGCGGGTTGGGCCGCCCACGTCGTCGCGCTTTTTGGGGAGGCGTTGGCGAGTATGCGTGAGAGCGGCGGGTTTCCCTGCACGGTTTGCAGCTTCCGGCGGCTCGTCACGTCAAAGTCAAGCTCGTGGTACGTGAGCCGTGGATGGGAGGCGCGCGCAAAGAGGCGAAACGGACGGGTGTCCGTGCCAGCGCCCAGAGAGACGATCTGCCGCTCCGACCCTGTGGAAGCGTCCTCCGTCGGCGAGGGTGATAGAAAGGAGCGAATCAGCCTGTCGAGTGCCGAGGTCCGCGTATACGTGCCTAGGGGGCAGTGTCAGATGCGCCGTCTCAACCCAAGCTCGAAAGCAGTTCCAGGTACATACCGCGATTGATGATGGGAAAGCGTCTCTGTGGAGGCCCACCCAGACGCGACACGAAGAATGCAGCATAGGGATCCTCGAGGTAGCCGACCTCGACGGCGCTGAGCCGCGACACAGCCGCGTCTGTATCGGTGCCTTGAATGGTGGCATCGTGATGGGCACCAGTAGCGCTGGGGCCGCCACCGCGCCGTGAACGAAGACCGCCGCCTCTGCCCGCGCGACCGCCGCGCAGGGAGAGGAGGTTCGGTATTGGCGATGCAGACATTTGGGGTGTGTGATGGGAGGTGGAATTAAAATTGCCGCTAAGGAGCAGTATGGCTCAAGGCCATTTACACATGGGATGATGTGTGCTGCCAAATTGGCGTGCGCAACTTGAGTACCAAAAGTTACTGGTTGGTACCTATGTGTATATGCATGTATGTACATACATACCTATGTATATACAGTACAGTATGTACATACATATGTACAGTACATAGTAGTGTCCCCAGTGGTGTCCCCACTATAGCTGTCAGGTACAGCAGCAATCACCCAAGATTCGGTTATCCCATCTCATTCATTTAGCAGCATAATCGGTTATCCTATCTCATCTACTTCCTCCATGTGCTCGTGTGATGTTGTGACGATGATGATGCTGGCTGACACGAAACACTACATACATACAAATCCAGCATCTCCATGGGATTTCGGTCTCTTCGGTCCCTCGCGCGCTGAAACTTGGTCTGGCATTACTCGCGAGCACCTACGACGGCGACGGCGAGGTATAATAGCTACGTTACCACGTCTGAGCTACTGCATGTAGTCCCCCATCACTCGCGAGCTGGCCCACCACTAATCATCAATCTTCTGTGCGTCCGTGGCGGTTGGTTCGTTAGCGGCATCAACAGCGCGGTACGGGGTTGTACGTTAGTTACACATTGAAAAGGCCACGAACGACAGGAGCGCGCTATAATGAGCCATTTGAACGACATGGGCCGTTTGATTGGATAGCCTTGAACAAGCTGGCAGGTGACTGTTCTTGCCTGGGACGGTTGCAGGCAAATGATTTTGCTAGTAGCAATTCATGAAGTAACATGGACGTAGACTAAGCCCGAGCCAAAGGCATCGTCCCCCCAACGGCGCGAGATGCTAGAGGCTTCAAGTTGCCCAACTTTGATCGCATCGGTACCAGGACGCGGGAAACGTTGCTTTGACGCTATGCCATTGACCCCGTGGTCACTTGTCCTCGGCTTGTTGGTCGTGCTGCTGCTGCTGCTGCTGCTGCCTCCGCCGCCACTCGAGCACCCTCGATATCCAGTCTCCCACCAGCGCCTCGAAGACGCCCGTCTCGTCCACTGGTAGGCCGTGCGTCGCGCGGTCCAGCACCGCAAACGTCGCCCGCGGGTACCGCTCCAGCAGGCGGAGGCCATCCCGGTACCCGACCACGTCATCGTGCCGCCCGCACAAGGATCAGCGTCGGCGCTGGAAACTTGCCTTTTCTGTCGTCGTCGTCGTCGGCCAGCAAGTGGGAGGAGATCTGGTACCGCGCCGGGTCCTCCCGGATGGGCCGCAGCGCCCCCCTTGTCCGCGGCCTCCGTCGCCGGGCGGTACACGTCCAGGATCTTGCGCTTCAGGGCCGCCACGTACGCCGCCGTCTGGACGACCAACGATGTCCCGAGCAGCGCCTTGTCCTCCGCCGAGACTCCCTTCATGAGCGCCTCACCCTCCACGAGCGGCCCGAACGCGTCCATGTCGCGCTTGCCGTCCTCGGGCTCGACGAGCGGGCACGCGCAGCAGCAGCCCGTCCACCCGGTCCGCGTACCGCACGGCCACGGCGCGCGCGCCAGGTACCCGCCGCACGACGTGCCGACGACCAGGAAGCGCTCCGACGCGCCGAGCCGGACGTCGACGAACCGCGCGAGGCGCGCGTAGACGTTCGTCGAGGTCGCGGAGGCCGGCGGCGGGCGTGGCGCCCGTGCCGGGGAGGTCCACGTAGATGCGGCGCAGGCCCGGCGGCAGCTTGGCGAGGACCGGCTCGAAGTCGGCCTGCTCGGCGGCGGCGGAGAGCTCCCAGCCGTGGATGATGAGAACGGGGAGGCCGTCGCCGAACTCTTGCGATGAGAGGGTGTCTGCCATGGTTGCTGCGATAATGATGGAATGAGCATCGCCAAAGTTGATGAAGGTGTAAGCGCCGGGGCGCGAAGGGACGGTTGTTGGCTGATTTGGTTGGTAATCACTAGCGCGGAAGCAGAGCTCCCGTTGCGACTAAATCTCAGCAGAAGAAGGAATGGCGGCAGTATAAGACCGGATTCTTTAATCGAAGTCGTCACCGAAATAGTTAAAAGAGATGTTCTTAAATTTCCGAAAAGAGAAAAGGCAAGGGGGATAAAGCTCAGAATATATACGGAATCACTATATTCAGTGCATCTAAGATGCACTTCCCCAGCCGCCTCCTCCAGGAGACTCAATAATCACCCTCTCGCCAGGCTCCAACCTCGTCGTAGCTTTGGCACCGAGATTCACCAACCTCTTCCCCCCAGACATCTTGTCCGTCAGCAGCACCGAGTTCAGCCCCGTCTTGCCGCCCTCGCCGCCATCCATGCCGTACGGCTGCCTGGACCGGCGCTCGCTCAGGATGGAGCACTGCACCGGCACGCGGAACTCGATCTCGCGCACCGTGCCGTCGCCGCCGCGGAACCTTCCCGCGCCGCCGGAGCCGGCCCGCAGCTCGAAGCGGCGCAGGACGCACGGGTAGCGCTTCTCGAAGACCTCCGGGTCGGTGATGCGCGTGTTGGTCATGTGCGTGTGGACGCCGCTCTGGCCGGCCCACGTCGGGCCCGCGCCCGCGCCGCCGGCGATGGTCTCGTAGTAGCCGAAGCCTTCCTTGTGCGCGCCCGTGACGGGGTCCTTGCCGCCAGTGCCAAAGGTGAGGTTGTTGCAGCAGCCCTGGCTTGCGGCGCATGCTCGGAACGCTTTGAGGACGACGTCGGTGACGCGCTGGGAGGTCAGCACGTTGCCGCCTACAACGGCGAGACCGGGCCCGGGCTTCAGGATGGTGTCTTGCGGCACGATGATGTTGATGGGGGTCAGACAACCTTGGTTGAGGGGGATGGACGAAGAGACGAGACTTCGCAGGCAGTAAATGATGGCCGAGTGCGTGATGGCGAGCGGCGCATTGGTGTTTCCCAGCACATGGCTTCCCGTCCCTGTGAAGTCAAACGTGGCAGAACCATCCTGGGCAATTGTCACTGTGAGTTTGATGGGAGTTCCATCGTCCATGTAGTCGACAGCAACGAAAGGCTCAGGGCCACGCTTTGCGAGTGTTGACAGCATGAGTCCACGTACGGCTTCTTCGGCCGTGTTTTGGATAGCATACATGTAGCGATGGACACACGGCAGGCCGAATTCCTCAATGAGCGCGGCTATTAGGTTGATGCCCTTGGAGTTGGCAGCAATCTGCGCCTTCAAGTCGGAAATGTTGTCCAGCAAACGGCGGGTACCGGAGCATCCATCATACTTGGCCGGCTCTTCCAGAAGTAGGCGTCGGACTTCTTCATCGTTGAATCTACCGCCGCTCACTAGCTTGGTTGATTCAATCGCTGCACCTTCTTGCCACAGGGCAGATGACGTGGGAGGCATGGAGCCGGGGAGAATGCCTCCAATGTCCGCGTGATGGCCACGCGAGGCGACATAGAACGCCAAGGCGCCCTTTTCAAAAACGGGTGTAATGACGGTGATATCGGGAAGATGTGTGCCACCGCATGAGGGGTGGTTTGACATGAGCACATCTCCTTGTTGCAGCTTGCCTTCCCACAGGCGGTGCTGGTACTGGACAGCAAACTGCATCGAGCCCAAGTGGACTGGCACGTGAGGCGCGTTGGCAACCAATCCACCATCAGGGCTGAAGATGGCACATGAGAAGTCGAGGCGTTCCTTGATGTTTGTAGAAACCGATGTCTTCCTCAGTGTGCGGCCCATCTGCTCGGCAATAGCCATGAAGCGATGAGCAAACACGGAAAGTTGAATGGGGCTGAATTCTTCCTCCTCCGCTTTCCTGACTGTCGGTGCAACTTCTCTGTCGATAATGACGTAATTCTCCAGCATGGTGGCCGTTGCACCCGGACTGACCAAGATGGTCTGCGTTTTGTCAATGACCATGGCCGGGCCAACGATGCGACTTCCCATAGACAGGTTGTGAAGTTCGTATACTGGTGTATCGACATGGCCAGCGCCCTCAAAATAAACGGTGTTGTTCCCAGACGGCTTTGCCGGAGGGCCATCATTGACACTTGTATTTTTGAGTTGGCTGTAAGGCGTTTTGATGCTCTTGGACTGACTCTTTCCAGTCGCTCTTATCCTAATGTCATCGATAATGATGTCCTTTTCAGGAAAGTGGAAGCCGAATCCGCGAATGTGTTCTTGTTCAAATTCGCGCTGGAAATCCCAGTCGGCGCCTTTCAGGATCATCAGGGAGCTGCTAGAACCTGCGTATCGCATACTCAAGTAGGAATCGAACGCGATTTGGCTCTCTGAGAAACCTTGCTTCATGAGCTCATGCGTGGCCTGGTCGGCAAGCAGCTGGAGCTCTAGTTGGATGGTCTTCTGCGTGTCTGGTCCCCATGTGTAAGCCGCTGGGCGCTGGACCTCCTGCACAACGTCTGCCAGTGAGATGCCATATGCTGATAGAATCGAGGAGTACTTGTGCATGATGATGCGCGAGATTCCAAGAACCTCGGCTACAGCGCAAGCGTGCTGCCCGCCGGCACCACCAAAACAGGCGAGGTGGTGATCGGCGGCGTCATAGCCACGGGCCTCTGTGAGGGCACGAATCGGACCAGCCATGCCTTCATTGGCGACTTTCAGAAATCCCAAAGCCACTTCCTCGGGTGATAACGGGGCAAGTCCGGTACTGGTTCTCTCCTTGTTGATACTGTTTGTAAGTTCTGAAAACTTGGCAACCACAATCTCGCGATTTAATGGCTCATTCTCCTTGGGACCAAATACTTTTGGGAAGTACTCTGGCAGCAGTCTGCCAAGAAAGAGGTTTGCGTCCGTAATGGTCAACGGGCCGCCTTTTCGGTAGCATGCCGGGCCAGGGTGCGCCGAGGCAGATTCGGGTCCGACGTTGAACAGCCCGTTCCTCCACGCAAGGATAGAACCGCCGCCTGCCGCGACAGTGTGAATGTCGAGCTGCGGCGACTGGATGTTCACACCGGCGGTCGTGGTTTCAAAAACGTGATCGTAGGATCCAGCATAGCGGGAAACGTCCGTGGAGGTGCCGCCCATGTCGAAGCCGATGATAGGGCATCTCTCTTCCTCATCCCAGGATGTTTGCGCGTAGCCAACCACGCCGCCGGCGGGCCCGGACAGGATGGCCTTGAGGCCGCTGAATTTTCGATAGTCTGAGAGGCCACCGTCGGACTGCATGAACTCGATGCGCGTTGCGGCGGACGAAAAGCCGCCACGAAAGTTGGCGGAAATGGAATCAATGTATTGGCGAATGATGGGTGTCAGGTAGGCATCAACGACCGCCGAGGTACCGCGGGGCACAATCTTGATCATAGACTGCACCTCTGCTGACAGGGTCACTGAGAAGCCCATCTCGAGGGCGATGCGACCGACTTGTAGTTCATGGTCCGGATATGCGTAAGAGTGGATGAAGGCGATAGCAACTGAGCGAAGCCCCTGAGACTTGAGCCGTAACAATTGGGATTCTACAACTGCTAGATCTGGCCTTTGGAGAACGCGAACGGTCTCTCCCGTGATTGCGGAAACCAACTCTGGGTCCGTACCGTCAACCTTTGTTTTGGAAGATTCTGGATCTTCGGTGTAATCTTCCATCGTAACGCGCTCATCAACCTCGACGACGGTCTCAAACAGCACATCTGGCCGTGATATTGACAAGTCAAAAATATCCGGGCGGGACTGGTTCCCGATAGCCAGGAGATCGCGGAAGCCCTTGGTGGTGATGAGTGCGACGCGCTCTCCTTTGCGTTCGAGCAATGCATTGGTAGCGACTGTGGTGCCCATTCGGATGGACTCAAAGTGGAAGAGGTCCAGAGGCTCGCCTCTTGGCAGGACTTGGCCTGTCGCCAGCTCCAGGATCCGCCTGATGCCTTCTGTCGGCGCATCTTGATAATTTGCTGGATCGACGGAGAGAAGTTTGAGGACTATGTCGTCCCGTCCAGGGATAGACGCGTGGACATCTGTAAAGGTGCCGCCGCGGTCAATGGAGACGCGGATGCCCAGGGGGTTGATGGTCATGATGAGTGATGATGGGTGTAGCAGTCGTGGTGTTGCGGCATAGGCAAACCGAAATGAGTGCAATCTGCCTTAGCCATTGCGAAATCTGCGAATCATGGCCTTTATAGGACATGCTTGCATTTTTTTCAAGTTTGTGTCTCTCAGCTTCTCCAGCCTGGATAGCAACAAGTTGGGAAGAGACGGACGCCGGTGATTGAGTCCGCCCCGGCGCATGTTTCAAGCCCCTTTCTCGCCCCAACAAGGCCGTTGACGGAGTTGAATACCCGAAAGTGGCGTCGGAGATCTCACTTGTCGTACTCGAATTGCCAATGATTGCTGCCCCTCACCTAGGGATGGGTCCCCGATCACCCGCTGCCCGACTCGACCCTCTCTGCAACTACAACCCCAGGTTGCTTGCCAACGGAAAATACCATCACTTTCGTTGCATCCTGGCTGCCCTCGTGTCATCTGTGGGGTTATCTCCAATGTTGCAGATGCAGGCACTCTCGGACGCGTGGGGTAATTGCGCAAAGACATACAGATGTCTGCCAAAGCTTCACCAGCCTCGGAGACAGCAGCGCTGCGGCCAGTCGCGTGCGTACCAAAGCCTTCTTTACCATGGCAAATTCGACTTCAGGACTGACAGTTTTCATTCAGCTGCCTCAATTGCCGGCAGCGTCGCTCATATTGCTCCAAAGACAAGCCTTCCTGTTCACGATGTCGCGACAGCGGACTGGTGTGCATATACGAGGATGCCCGGAAAATATTAGTGAACGAATCGTACGCTCGCTTACTCTCCTCATATTTTACCGGACTGACCTCTTGCAAGATACTTGCGAGACCTTGAGCGCAAGGCAAAAGCATTCGATAGTAAGTCTCACTGCCCGCTCAGGTGCGCAAAGGACGCGCTAACTATGTCGCCATTCAGAAACCGCGGGACAGAAAGGCACCGCGACTGTCTCCCCGGAAGCTACTACCGCCATCCTAGACGGAGATGATGAGGATGATTTTCAGGACGCTGAGCCACTTTTCGAATCTTTTACGCATCTTCGCCTCAATCGCCCATCGACCAGTAAGTTGAAAGCTGAAATGGGCCCAACTCGATACTCAGACTAAACAATTGGCAGCTTTCCAGGGACCAGCCTCGTCCGATACCTTTCTTCGCAACGTCGGAAAGGCCACCGGCCTCGGGGATGGGCACGACGGCCTGGACATCGACCCTATCCCTTGCGAAGCCCCCGTCACGCTGCCCTCCAAGAAGCGAGTTTTCAGTCCGCAGATACGCCCGGCGCCTCTCCATGTCGCACGCCGCCTCTTTGCCGCCCAGTACAGCTTTATCGGGCCCATATTCGCGTTTACCGAGTCTAAGGAAGAATTCGAAGAATCGCTGACCAGGGCGTACGGCGACCTACCCGACGCAGACGATCGGGAGGGCTGCCTGAGATACGCAAAGCTTCTCCTCGTCCTTGCATTCGGTCAGATGTACTCTGTCAACCAGTGGGTGGACTTCAGAGGTCCGCCTGGATTCGCGTACTTTTCCGAGGCCTTGAACCTTTTGCCAGAAACGCACGAGGACGGATCTTTGCTCTGTGTCGAGACGCTCGCGTTGGTGGGGTATTTTCTGCAAAACATGAACAAGAGAGATGCCGCGTTTCAGTACATCGGACGCGCTCTAAGAATGGCCATCTCTCTCGGGCTCCATCATGAGGTGAAGAGCATTTCCAGCACCTCGGGCGTCGCTCCGCAGGGGGCGTTGATGGAGGATGCCGCAAAGGAGCACAGGCGAAGAACCTGGTGGTCGGTCTATAGCCTGGATCGAATCCTGTCTGTAAAGTCGGGAAATCCCATCACGATACAAGACGAGGATATTAGTGTCCGCCTGCCCTCTCGCCTGCCGTCGGAGCCGGAATACTGCCCAGCCATCGTGTTGCGACAGTACACCAAGCTGTCCAGGATCCTTGGTGAGATACACAAGAAGATATATCACAGGACAAACAAGACTGAACAAACGTCGGGAAAAACTTTGATGGCCTCTGTTCAGAGGATTCTGATTGACCTATCGAACTGGGACAGCGAGCTGCCGTATGGCCTCCGCTTTGATCCCGATCGGCTGAGCATCGGCCGAGAAAGCGTGAGCACATTGGCGCACTACTATCAGTGCATAAACATGACAATCCGTCCACTCCTCTTTCACGTTGTAAAGGAGAGGCTCGCACTGATCCGGAAGAGACCCGAAGCCTTGATCAAAGAAACGGATTGGAAGGCAGGGTTATCGCAAACGACGGTGAATGTCATTGAGATGTGCATCGGGGCTGCACTCGATAATATCAACATCATGGTAATTGCGTCAACCAAAGATCTTGTCGGTAAGTGGAGCACTTCAAATATTTGTAGAACCAGGCAGTCTAATACCCAGCATAGCCACATATGGCTATATGGACGGAGAGCACATATTCTCGGCGACCATAGTTCTTGTCATGGTCTGCGCTGCCTTCCCCACGAACACAATCAACGTGTCGGCCATGAACAGCGGGCTCGGACTCCTTCGCACCATGTCGGAGAGGGGCAACACTCACATCGGGGCTCGCTACGAGGCTCTCATTCGCCTCCTTTCCACAGTCATGCCTGGCGACTACTCCGTACCCGTGAGCACGACGCCGCAGAACCCAGGGCTCTTCTTCCCACCACCAGCAGACCCTTCGGCATTCCTGGGCGCGGTGTCGCTCGGCGAGAGCGGGGGTGTGGCATCGGACATCAGCGCATACCCGCCGCGGTTCCCCGTCATTGACATCCAAGCACTATCAGAGCCATTCTATGATGAGAGTGGCACTGCAGGTATGGACTTTGGACTCTGGGAAGAAGGCTTCGCGTATCCGACCATGGACTTGGATCTGGACTTGGCCAGGCAGCAACAACTGCCGGCGGACCTCGTCGGCGACGGTGGCCACTGGCATCAGGCCCCCGGTGCACAATAGGAGTTGCGCGATTGATACCAGCTACAAACAATGTGATGTGATGGGCTTCGGGGTCGTTGGCCTGCTAATATCCATAGGTCGTAGAGGCAGATCAGGCAAATAAAAGTAAGACGAGTGAGTCCAAATGTTTCAACAGCCCCAATTTCCCGTAGTTGCCTAGACCCAACTGTTAGTTGCGCTCGCCTTCTTCTTTTCGGTGACGCAAATATCTCCGTGATATCGTCGGAATCCTCACATTGTGATGGCCATGAGACACTGGATTTCGAGTCTTTTCGAAGGCTACTGCAGCCAGCATTGTATCTCGCATGAGTATTTTGGTGGCGTTATCGGTAGCCGACCGCACAGTCGGGCCAGGCGGACTTGTACCCGCGGGCTGTTGGATCCAGCCAATATCTGGGCCGCAACGTTTAGCGTCGGTGAAGCACTCCGACGCCACTCACCAAAATGCATTGTCGCGATCCACCATCCTCGTATCATTGGACGGATGATCCCTTCCGTGCCTGCATGGCGGTGCGTGGCTTGCCTGCAATTGAAGTGTACCCTTATCAGAGCGCGGGAGAGGCAGAAGCCACTTACCCCACGGGGTAGGGTTTGAGATAATGCCTTGACCATCTCCTCGCGGCCATTTCCGAATTTCCGGGTCCTTTCGTTTTGAAGTTCCTTCCCTACATATAAAGCGCGGTTGGATCGCGAGTCGCTGCGGTGTGCTCCACGCAAAAAGGACGACCATACAACGTCGCCATGGCAAGTCCGAATACAGATACCTACCTGGAGAAAGATCCATCAGCTGTGGACGAATATGTCCACAGTCATGTCGAGGCCACCGGGGGCAGCATCGAGACAATTGACGTCCGCTCCGAACGAAAGCTGCTGCTGAAACTCGACATGTACTTTGTCCCCATCATCATGCTGGTCTACCTCACCTGCTTCCTCGACCGGAGCAACATCGGCAACGTCAAAGTAGCCGGCATGCCGGAAGACATTGGCGCCTCGCCCAAGGAGTTCTCAACGGCCATCTCGATCTTCTACGCCACCTACGTCGCGTTCGAGCCGCCGTGGACCATCATGATGAAGTGGATGACGCCGCGCATCCTCCTCACCAGCCTGTGCGTGATCTGGTCGCTGTGCACCATCTTCACGGGCTTCGTCCACAACGTGGCGGGCCTGTACGCGGTGCGGCTCATCCTTGGTGCCTGCGAGGCGGGCTTGTTCCCGGCGCTGAACCTGTACCTGACAATGGTGTACAAGCGCCAGGAGCAGGCGATTCGCGTGTCATACCTGTTTGTGTGCACTGCCATTGCGGGTGCGTTTGGTGGCCTCTTGGCATACTGCCTGTTGAAGATGGACGGCATCGCGGGTTTGGCGGGCTGGCGATGGGTGTACATCATCGAGGGGATTTTCTCGATTCTTATCGCCCCGCTCATCTGGTTCGGCCTGCCAAACGACCCGTCAAATGCGTATTTCCTCACCACCGAGGAGAAGCACATCATGAAGGTTCGTGCGATTCAGCGAGCCCAGTACATGGGAAGCGAAGAGTTTAGCTGGGAAGAGATCCGCATCGGACTGAAAGATCCGAAATTATACCTGAGGTATGGTTTGCCGTGCTACTTGTTTTCTCACTTTCGTCAAATCGATACTGACTGATTTCTAGTGGAGCAATCCAGTTCTGCCAAGATATTCTCCTGTACGGCTTCAGCACCTTTCTTCCATCAATCATTGTCAGTATGGGCTACACGGTGATACAAGCCCAGTACCTGAGCATTCCGGTGTACATCTTTGGCGGTCTCGCATTTCTCGGCGCGGCCTTTCTGTCGGACCGTTACTGCATCCGCGGTCCGCTTCTCTGGCTCGCCAACCTACCCGGTATCGTGGGGTACGTGCTCATCATTTGCTCCGCCAGCAACGGCGTCAAGTTTCTTGGGACGTTCCTGTGCGCCATTGCTGTGTACAACGGACCGGGCTTGAACCTAACGTGGTTGAACGTGAACGTGGCGCCTCACTACCGTCGCGCGACGGCAATCGGAATGCAGCTTAGCATTGGTAATTCCGCGGGCGTGGTGGCGGGCCAGATCTATCGCACCGCGCCGTACAGACTGGGCAACATTTTCTCCGTGGCGGCGCTGGGGCTCGCGCAGATGCTCATCATTGTAAAATGGCTGTACCTACGACAGCAGAATCGACAGAAGGACAAGTACCTGGCAGGGTCGGAGGATAAACGTCGGGTGAGAACGGGAGACCGGGCGCCTGATTTCAAGTATCATCTCTAGAATAGTTGCGGGAATTCCACGATGCTATCGTCCTTGATCATTGCACTTCAACGTGAGTTGGCGAACTTGATGGAGTATTGGAAAGCAAGGGGAAGAGCAAACAGCAAACAGCTTCCAGAGTGCAAGTACCTGAGCGCTTAGTCAACACAGCTGGTGGCGTACCATTTGTCCCTGCCATTTGCCTGTTGGCCGCGTTGACCAACTGGCTTTATTACTCGAAGTAGCTGTAAAATGTAAACTGGAATTTATAGCTTTCTTTAGAGCTCACAACCCAAGGCAAGCCTCCGGTGCAGCTCTGAAGCACCTCCATCATGTGCCGAGCCCAACTGTGCTGCCTGTTGTCTCATGTCTCATCGTCTCTTTTGATGCCAGACAAGGCTGTAGCTGGAGCTGCGCCACCATAAACCCCTGTACCCAACAACTTGGCCTCTTTTATCCCCCCACCTCCCACTGTCCTCATCGTCGATCACTCTCCATCATCATCATCATCATCAGACGGACTTTTTCTCCTTGTTAAATCTCATTTACATACTCCATCCTTTCCATTTCTACATATCCCATAAGCTGGTCCTCTTAGCTGAAGGTACCATTCAAACTTAAATAAACGCCGACGCTGCAGCTAGCCATGCTCGCCACAACCGTCCCCCTCTTCCGGCGCTCCGTCGAGGAAGGCGGCAACATCAACTATGAGCTGCCCGCGTGGTCGCTCTGGGTCATCCTCATCGACCTCGTCGTCTTTGTCCCTCTTCTCTTCTTCGTACGTGTTTTCCGCCGCGTCCGGTCCAGCGCGCAGCCCCTTTGGACAAGCTCAGCCCGCTAACCGCCCCATTTTCTATCTAGGCCGAGTACACCGTTGGCACCATCTACCCCATCTACTCCATGGTCGAGGACGAGAACCCGCCCGCCTACGCCGCACTCTCCGCCGATGACGAGGAGCACGCTACCGCGACCACCCGGCCGACCGACGGCGCGCCCCGGACCGTCACCTCGTCCCTGCGCGCCGTCACCCGCCTGCTCTACGCCGTCGCGGGCGTCCGGGGCTTCTTCCGCGGCATCCTCTTCCAGGCGATCCAGTACCTGATGACCGTCATCCTCGTGGAGCTCTTCACGCAGGCGCTCGGCCTCTACTTCACCCCGATCGCCACGCTTCTCGCCTCCCTCACGCTGGTCCAGTTCTCCGCCGCCTGGGTCCACATCGTCCTCACGCACCCGGTGCCCGGCGTCTCCCACTTCCGCCGGCTGCCGACCTTCACCCGCGCCTTCGACGCCACCTGGCGCCCCGTCCTGCTCAACTGGCTCGCACTCGAGGTCGTCCGCTGGGTGCCCACGGTGCTCTTCGAGATCCTTAACGTGCACATGCCCGAGTACAAGAACGGCGGCCGCACCGACGTCAGCGATGTCTCCGGCGCCGACCTCGCCAAGCTGGTCGCCATTGCCTTTGTCTCTGCCTTTGCCGGCATCGCCCTCGTCATCCCGGCCCGCGTCATCCTCGTCCGCGTCCAGGCGTCGCTGCTCCCCGAAGAGGTCGACGCCATCATTCCCTTTGACCGCTCCTTCCAGGGCAAGGTTGTGCCGGCCGTCGCGGGTGGCCGCGGCTACGCTACCGTGGCCGAGGCTTGGACTACGTTTAGCCGCGCAGGATGGCGCCGCCTCATCACGCTGTACATCAAGGCGTTCCTGGTCACCGTCGGTGTCTACGCCCTCATCGCTGCGGTTTCGATTCCCGAGTTCCTCCTTATTGTCCAAAAGACGGGCGACAACGGCGATGAGCTGTAGTTTAGGATGGTCCGATTAGTGGCCATTTAGTATCCTATGTTTGTGGAAATCTCTCTCCTTTGAATTTATTTGTAGACCGAATAGCTCATTGAACCATTGACAACCTCAATTGAATTATATGCGACAACGTGAGACCAGTGAGGTCACCTCCTGGTTAGCTAAACATTTATCATTATTAAACTCTAGCCAACTATACAGCGTGGACTAAACTTGTCTCGTGCAGATGAAGTATTCGTCGCTTCTGTTTGCTTCATTTTTTTCTCACTGTGCACAATTCAGACGTACTCAATCACATCGAGGTTCTTTCGACTGTGAGGGGTGATATACCAGTTCATATATGTAGTTGTGGCTACTCTAGCTCTAAGTAGCCCTGTGTCGCCACGCACACCCATTTTCACTTATAAAGGATTTTGGTCCCGGGTACACAAAAAAGTCTCGGTCCCCTGCAGAGAGCCCAAAGTCAAGGCGCAGTTGCGCCTTGTGGTGATATCATTCCGGCCCTCGCAGCCCTCGGCCGTCAACTTCTTCTTACTCGGTCTTGCCGTGGTTCTCAGCCGCCTCCAGGGCCAGCTTCTGAAGCATGGCGGCGGTCTCGGCGATGGACTCCATCCACTTCTTGAAGTCCTCGGGGGAGTCGGCGGCGGGGGTCTCGGGCTTGGGGACCTCCTCGGCGTCCTGGCGGGCGCGCAGGGCGGCGGCGTTGGCGGGGACGGCTTCGGAGAGAGCCATGGTAGAGACGGCGACTGCTCCTGTGGGTTAGCTAGCGGCGACGACAATAACGGATCACGAGGCAGTAGGTGGTTATACGTACAGGCCAGGACGGCGGCAGCAGCGATGCGGACCATGTTTGCGGTGATGTAGTTTATGTTGGTAAAAGTGAAAAAGGGTTCAAAATAGGTAAAGAATGAGGAGTTGGGTTGCTAAACGAGTGTTTGGCTGGAGTCTGGTTCTGTGAATTACTGTTGCTTTGTAAGAGGGCATCTCGGCAGTCTTATACTGGGCGCGGAACCGGCATTTCGGTCGACGAGGACGCCGAACTTGACTCGAGCGTCTGTGAAGAGACAGAATCCGTTTTGCTCCGCATAGACTGATAATCTTAATCCGGCATGCGTCTTTTGCCGAAGCCGTCCAAGAAAGAGGCAAGGAAATCGCAAAACTGGACAAGCCAATAGCCGGAGTGGAGGTTTGGCTCAGGTACCGATTACACCGGTGATGGATGCCGGTGAACTACCGGCGAGGCGCGATCGGGCGCCCAAGGTGAAGAAAGTAGGGTTCTTGTTATGAAAGATGCCGGTATAGCGCTTAACGGATCAAAGAAAATAGAAGGACTCCGCGGATCAAACAACTGCCGCACACGCTGTAGGCCTGCTGGACAGCTGGACAGTTTCGTATTTTAGTGGGGAGTCGCCTCACTATATGTCGGGTGGCCCGAATAGCTCTATTGTCATAGTTGACAAGATGCTATGCCGAGACGTAGGAGCCTTTTCAACGTCTAATGCAGGAACCAACTAGCCTTTCAAGGCATGGAAGAAGAATCCATGCTGTGCAAAGGGACCTGCAACCGGTTCTTTGGTACAGCAGGTTGTTGGTTGTTCATGATTCAGTCAGAGTTATAACAGCGCGGCAGTTGCCACACCCGCATTGCGTGCCTGAATTGGGCGGGTCATTGGATACTTTAAATATGCTTATAATTGGCTCTATTAATCGAATTAGAGCCGAGGCGCTTAGGTCATTGCAGCAACATTCGTATTAATGGATCGCGATAGTGGCTGAAAAGGGCCATGTTGTCTGGTTGACTTGCGGAGACGAAGATTGTTAGACTGACAAGACAATAAGTGACGCTTGGTACTGATGTTCCATTTATTCAAGAGAATCATTAATCTTTGTTGATGCTGTACAAGAACCAAGAGGATCTCTCCCTGGGAGCAACTTGGAGCCCGTACGAGTCTATACGAGGTACCACACGAGGCACGCTTAATGCATTGGCTAATGATTGATCGGTAGCTTGGGTGAATTCGTCAACTTCTCGAATCATCCGAAGGAAAGAGAGAGAAACTGGGCCCAGTGGAAGCAAGTGTCACATGGGCCGTAATCATTTGTCAAGTTAGTTTTGCACCGCCAACCAAGCCAGGGCCGCGAATATACCACAGGGGGCACAATATCATCGGCATCGACAAGAAGACTCCCAACCCTAAGAACACTTTAAAGTCCTTGGCGTGAGAGTCGGCCAGCCGGGCATTTCCTACGCCGTTGACATGATTCATGACAGGTGGGTTGCCCAGACCTTTGCTGATGGCACTGCCTGCGGCTACCGAGTTCCGGTACGTGCCGAGTATCATTTGCCAGCATCTTTCTTCTCATCGATTGCTTCGTGAACCTGCCGCGTCCTCGGTGTGCGGAATTTGGAGCTTCATGCTGCCGACTCAGGCCACCGTCCATGGCCCGCACGGTCGACGTCGACGGAGGAAGCGACGCTCTTTGCCGGCCACCGCGCGAGCCGAGATTTCTCGTTGGCTTCATTCATTGTACGTCTATCTATAGAGTCGAGATTACAAAAAGCTCAAGAGAAACTACTATATATATGTGACTCCTGCCGCCCTCTTCCATCGATAACTCACCCAACCTACACTCACTCACTTACTCATTCACTCATCCATTCTTTGATCGTTTACCCCTACACTCACTTGACGGAAGCTTACGCCTCCAATGCATCTTTTCCAACCCGTGATAGCCCTTTTGGGCTTCGCGGTCATGGCAGCCGGGTATGCCTTGCCCGGCGCCTACGAGCGTCTCTACTTTTACTACGCGTATCGCCTAGACCATTTGACCAGCGAGAAACCCATCATTGCCGTCGGCTGCAAGGGAAAGGACGGAGGTCTATGTGGTCTTAACGAATTCATGGAATACATCTCCAAAAAGAAAGTCACCGCCTCCGTCACAAACGATCTGCATCCTGAAATCGAAGCGACTGCGCAGAAGATCTTTGAGAAGGAGGAGCTGACTGCCCAGGTCGAGTTCAAAAAGGTTGTTCAGAGCGCCAAGAACGAATACGCCGATGTCTTCAAAAAGGTCGGCGACAGGTTCGTCGGAAAACTTGACCCCGACACCGAGCCACTTGACAGACCGCCAAAGGATAAGAAAGGAAACCTCGAGCCTGAGACGGCCGAGCAGACAGCGGCCCGGAAAGCACAAGCCCTGGAGGACGTGAAGCTGTGCCGGCAGAGAGGCTACGATTCCATGCACAAGGTCTTCAAGGCACGCGTGGAAGCTGCCGTCGACGCCATGGTGAAGCTACACCCGGATTGGAAGATTGAGGCGCCCCTGAGCAAGGACGGTGTTCCGATCTTCAACCTGAAGAAGACGGTCAAGGCCAATCCCACCGTTTCCGAGGGCGACATCGCAGCGGCCTGGCTGGAGAACATCAAGGGCGGCCACAAGGAAAACATCAAGACGCTCAAGGGCAACCTCGACGGCGCCGAGGTCCTTGGATTCTGCCTGCCTGGCGGCGCTTTGCGGATGGCCAAGAGGCAGATCACGGCCTGCAAGAAGTTCCCGATCGAGGACGAGATCCTGTTCCCCAAGGAGGCCAAGCTCGGAAAGGCGGCGCAGATGGCTGAGGAGATCTCGGAGGCGGAGTTCGAGAAGCTCGCGACTCAAAAGGGCCTGAAGAAACTCGCACAGGAAAAGTGGAAGGGCACGACCCTGGCAGACGTACGCACGAAGCTGCACTACGAGAAGCTCACCTCGGAATCGCCCAAGGTTAGCGTCGGCAAGGGCGGCGGCTTCAAGGCGCCCTCGGTCGCCTCCGGCATCGGCGAGGTCGTCGGCATCGGTCTCTGGGTGTACGGCATCGTCGAGGCCTGGCGAGACAACGTGTCCGGGCTGGAGCTCGGCGCCGCCGCGTCTTCCATCATCCCCATCGTCGGCTGCACGGTTCAGGCCATCGCGGACCATGCCAAGGGCGCCTTCGAGACCATCGACACGGCGCTGTGCCTGCTCGGCGACGGCCTCATGCTCACGGGCAACGTGCCCGCGGGCATCGCGCTGCACGTCATCCGCGCCATCCTCAGCTTTTTCCGGCCTCCGCCCTACCCCAAGCTGGAGCATATGCAGGCCGCGCGCGACGGCGTCTGGAACCGCTTCCTCAAGGACGACATCTACTCGTACATCTACTCGCACCCGGGCTACGCCAACATCACCGGCCGCCGCGTGAACTCGACCGAGGTCGACTTCCGCGACAAGCTCGAGGGCGCCCTCGCCATGGAGGGCCTGGCCGTCCTCTCGCACGGCGCGCAGACCATCGGCGCCGCCGTGGCCAGCGCCCAGGACAGCCTTGAGGCCAGCACCACGCCCGAGCAGAAGGCCGACGTCGAGAAGGCCATCGCCGACGTCAAGACGCAGCTGCTCGAGGCCACGGACCGCGAGATGGTTCGCCGCCAGCGCCAGATGCTCATCGCCCTGCCCAAGACGCTCAAGGAGACGCACGACATCTCGCTGCAGCCCATCGCCGACGAGTTCAACCGCCAGTTCAACGACAACATCACCTCGTCCGAGATGGTCGAGAAGTACCACAAATGGCTTTTCATGGGCTTCGGCGCCGCCACCGAGGACAACCAGGAAGAGGTCGAGCGCGACCTGGGCAAGATCGCCGACGCCCTCTACGCCAACCCGCCCCAGCTGCCCTCCTACTTCGACCTGACCTACATCCTCGGCCAGAGCCGCGGCCTCGCCAACATCCACAACGACACCCTGTCTATCCCGAGCTACCTCCGCGACAAGTTCCCGACCATGTCCGAGGCCTCGCTGCAGGTGCACGTGCTGCACCACACGCTGCAGATCGCCAACCTCATCATGCGCACCAACACCGAGGACAAGCTGTCCCAGTACTTCCCCGACTCGGACGCCCAGGGCGTGCGGGACCTTCAGACGCTCATCGCGCTCAAGTTTGGGCGCATCTCCGATGAGAGCAAGCTCTGGGTCGCCCGGCTCGACTACCCGGAGGGCAACTGGGCCTGGATGCTGACCGAGGAGGACTTCCGCGCCGCGCGCGCCATCGTCAACCCGTACGTCCCCCAGTGCAGGCCCCAAATCGTCGCACCTCAGCCGAAGCCCCTGTGCACGCCCCTCCTCACCGGACCGGCGTCCATCTTCCTGACCATCGGCATGAGCAAGGCGCTGGTGGCGAGCCTGTCGGAGCAGGAGCGCGCGCTGACGACACGGGGCGTGTCGGAGGTCAGCCAGAAAATCAAGGACTTGGCGAGGAAGCTCGAGGCGGATGTGACGACGCCGAAGCGCTTCTGGCATGCGATGCTGGCGGCGCAAAAGGCCAAGGACGACGAGGACGCGGCGTTCCTGGCCCTGCCGGCCGGGCCGCCCAAGGAGGGGGAGAAGCCGGTCAGGAGGGCGCTGCCCCGTTCGGCGGCCGTCTACCGTGCCAACTTTGGCGCCTCGCTCTAAGTGAAGCTGCGCCACATGAGCTCATCAGAAGAAAGACGAGGAGGACAGGGAGGAGGAGAAAGGGTGGAGCGAGGATCAGTCCAGGTAGTCGCATAACTGGACTTGGCCGGGGTCGGGTACAGACAAGGAGATGGATACACACGCACACTCGTTTCTTCACAGCGTGAAATGAATATTGACAATTCTTGTATCTACCTTTATTCGCATATAGACACGTACTTGGCTCTTGAAATAATAATTTGCCCTCGAGAAAGAACAGACGCCGGAAGTTGAACGTCATCTGCTCCGCGGTCAATATGCCCGCCTTGGTTCTATTGTGTGTGCTATCCATCCCATGTGAATAAGTGGCAATTTTGAATATGTGCTTATATCTACATATGATATAGATATCTACATGCGTCTATACGAACGCGAATAATTTCTGCTTCGGAACATGCGACTGCCGCGCACAACCACATGCGGGCGGGTCCCGGTCCAGCATCAACGAACGCACCGGCAATCCGGCGTATCGCGATAGCCGCTACGCCGATGCTCAGTTATTAAATTGAGCATAACTATAGGGCTATTAATTTGATAGGCCTCATGGATCTTGACTTGGACCCTGCGCCACGCCCCCACCGACTTCGGCAGTTGATTCCAACCCACCCAGGCAGCGTCATCTCAGCATGACGAGAGCCGCCATATCGTGGAAGTAAATTCCGAATGGAGTCGTGCTTTCCTAATTTCCCTTTCAGTTTGATTCTCGGAATGCTGTCTCTTACCCCGAGAGCTCGTCGAAGAAGCCCACTCAAGTCTGCCTCCACTTACACCTAGCTACTTAGACGCGAAACCACTGCCGTCGTATCATTCAAAGCACTCCCTAACCACCACCTGGAATGAATGCAAACTTCCTTTCAAGCCCCCCCCCCGTCCGCCCACGCCTCGTTGTAAATCCCCGGGTCCTGCATCGCGCCCACCACCACCGGCCCGTCATGCAGCCAATTCCCCGTCGGCGCCGTCCCCGAACACGCCACGTCCGGCCTCACCCCGAACCGCTTCCACCCCTCCGACAAGCCCCATCTGCCTCCTCCGCTCGGGTCCCGGATCGCCTCCGCGAGGCCCAGCTGGTCAGCGCGCTCCAGCAGTCGCCGCGTGTAGTACGACGGCTCCCCCTCCTCAGAGTCGCGCGCCCGCGCTTCGCTCAGCACAAACGGGTCCGGCTCGACCTCGCCGACCAGCTCGTCGAAGAGCCCGCGGTCGCGCACGTGCACGGCCGCGCGGAGCACCGCCGCGCGCATCGCGGGGACTCGCCGCGCCACCTCCCGATACGTAGAGGGCCGCGCGACGGCCGGGTACCAGATGAGGTACGGCAGGTGCGAGCGCGGCGTGGCGGGCGTGAGCCGGCTCAGGTCGTTGCTCATGATCATGCGGGCGTGCACCGCGCGCGCCACCCACGCCGCGTGCCGCCGCGGCTCCCCGGACAACAGCCGCTCCTCCTCCTCCGGCCGGCCTTGGACTGCCGCGGTCGTGGCCCACCAGGTCGCGAAGAAGGGGTTGTGGTAGATGCCGCGCGCCGCGCAGGCCGCCTCGCCGCGGACCATGCGCGGGCGGCGCAGGCGCGCGTACCGGTCCACGTCGCCGGAGTAGGCGGCCGCGAGGATCAGCACGTCCTTGTTGCCGGGGGGGAGGTCCGCGGGGAGCGGCTTGTCGAGGTACGCGGCCATGGCGAGCTGCTCGGCCGTGGGGGGGCGGTCGTCGTCCTCCGGCGAGGCGCGCTCGTCGATGCAGAGGTCCTCGGTGATGTCAAAGGTGGCCTCCTCGAAGCCCGCGTTGGGAAACATGTCAAATTCGTCGTCGCTGTCATCTTCATTGCCGTCGCTGTCACCGTCGATAACACGCGTCTCGTAGCCAGAGGGCGTCTCCAACCGTTGCCTGACCTCTAGCATCGGCCGCACGGCCGTGTCTCCGTTGAGCCCCGACGGCTGCGGATCCGCCCGGATCGACCGGCTATAGTCGTCCATGACGCCGTACCTAACCGGCTCTCGCATCACCGCCTCGTAGATCTCCACGCTTCCACACGCCCTCGCCTCCTCCGCGACCGCCACGTCCGGCAACACCGTACCCGTCGCGCGCAGCTCCCCGTACAGCGCCGCGTACCCCGCCACCGCGCACGCGCGCGCCACCTGCTGCGCCATCCGCGGGTACCGCCGCGCCAGCTCCCGGTACGTCTCCTCCGCCGCCGTCTCCGGGTACCAGATGCAGTATGGGACCTCGTCCCCGTCCCCGTCCCCGGCCATGTCCGGGATGGCGTCGCTCATGATGGCGCGCGCGTTGAGGGCGCGAGCAAACTCAGGCCACGCGCGGAGTGCTTGCGCCTCGGGCGTGCAGGCAAAGGCGGCGTGGTGCCGGATGCCGCGGATCACGCAGAGCCGCGTGGCCCGCCGGCCGAGCGCCGAGGGCACGGCGACGCCCCGGAGCGCCTCGTGGGCGGCGGGCAGGCTAAAAGACAAGTCGCGCAGGCGCTGGCGAAGGGCCGCTGGGTTGCTGTCGGCCATGATGAACTTGTGCTGTGCTTCTTTCTCACAGTCAATTTGTGCACAAACGTAGACAAAGTGTGTATGTGCGTTTGTAAGAGGACAAGTTGTTCTTATAGGAAGGAGTGGTCTATAAATGTACGCATTATTAAGGTAGGTAATGCGCTAATGGCTTAATACTGAGAGGCAGCATGGAAAACATGGATCACTATTAAGCTTATAATTGAAATGATATCGCTCAAAACCCTTCTATAATAAATAAGAACACGTTCGGCAATCCAAAAAAAAACACGGACAGTTCCGAAACCAGCCCCGTCGTCACGGCAGTTGTTGGCTCCGCCTTGGTTACTGACTCAGAACGCCCAGCGAATAATTGAATACTTCTTTCATTTTTAGCATTGTCTTTTCTTTACCCTTACATATTGTCCCATTCGTAATTCTCTGACCATCCATCCACATTGTTTTCTATTCGACCGCTTCCCAGTGCCAAAGTTGACAAAAAAAAAGACGCCAGCACCTCACTTTCGGCGCAGAAATAGACTATCAAGACAACGATAACACGAAAAAAAAGGTGTATATAAAAAAGACGGTTATGATAAGCTGCCATAAAATCGCAATCTCCCCACAACCGTGAGGATTTTCAATCCTCGGGTATGATATATTCAACCACCATCTATGATATGAAAAGGCGCTTCGGTGAGTTCTACGGTTCGTCCAGCCATGACAAGAGGCACCGCGTGAGTGAGGAGAGAGATGGGAGACGACGACCTGTGACCAGACAGCCGCTGTCAAACCAGATATAAAAAACAAAAAAGAAAGAAGAAATCCTTTTTCTCATCAGTACGCCTTGGAAGTGGAACATAAAAAGGCCTCGTTTCATTATTGCATTCGTCGTCGTAGTCGTCTCTGTTGTTTTCCGAGGGGTAGGTAAGTAGGCAAGCCGGCGCCCAGCGCAGTCAAAGCCTGTTATGACTTGTTAAAGAACCAGCTTCCGCGCTTATTGCTGGGCGCGCCATCCGTCTGCTGAATGGTTTGGATCGTCGGCACGACAGGGCCGTCACCGCCGCCGCCGCGAAGGGGCTTGGCGATGCGGCTGCCTGCGTTAGCGAAGCTGAACCCGCCATCACCCGAGTTGAGTCCACGGGTGCTCCCGGCCTTGGCCGCCTCGAGGCGCTCCTTGACTGAGTTGAGTTGTACTTCGAACCTGCAAGCCGAGTCTGTTAGCATTCTTCCATACGATAGCGAGCACAGCAGATACATACTTGTGGTTGGCAGCAGCCATCTTCTCTTGGCTGTCTTGCAACAGGCCCTCGAGGCTCTGGATACGCTCGTTGCGAGCAATCAGCTTGCGCTCCGCAATCGCAACCTCCTTCTTCAGCGCCGCATTTTGCTCGACAAGCTGGCGCTGCACTTGCGTGAGCTGCTCCAGGTTTCGCTCCAAAAACGCCATCTTCTTCTGCTGGGCCCGGTTGTTAGACGACCGCAGAACATTGTTATACTGCTCGCGAGTCTCGTCCAGAGAGATTTCAAGCTCCACGACACGCTCGCAGCGGTTCTGCAAATCTCTCATCAAGCTCTTCTTCATCGCGTCAAACTCGGCAATCTGCTGTTGGACCGTCTTGCCGTTTGCCATAGGCGCAGCACCACCCGAAGTCACGCGCTGCTGAAGATCATCAATCAGCGTCTTCATCCGCGCGTTCTCACTGGCCTTTTGTGCAGCCTCGGCCTTGAGGTCATCCACGAGCTGGATTTGCGTATTTTGTCGACTGGCAAGGGCACTCTCCAGGCGAGCCTTGACTTCCTCAATATCGACCTCGCTCAGGTTCTTGGCGAGCACGTCCTCGTACTCTTGCTGCAGACCCTCAAGTCGTACTTCAAGCTCGTGGCGGCGGCGCGAATCCATGTCACTGGTGGGCGCACTGTACATGGACAGCTCAGCCTGTCTTACGATACCTTGCGTCTCAATCAATTTGGTCTTGAGCGCCTCGAACTCCTCAGGAGCGATATTGTCGCCAATCTTGCTGTGCTCGTGAAGAGTTTCGAGGTGTTTAATGGCCTGGGAAATTTGGTTGTCGTTTTCGCTGAAGACATCACCGCCGAGATCAAAGCTGGCCATCATCTTGGCCATCTTCTCAGCCTTCCTCTTCTCCTTCTCGTCAAAAGCGACGCCGTTCTCCTTGGCGCTCATCTTGACATCGAGGAGCTGCTGCTTGACGTCGTCCAGCTCAGTGGTGAGCTCCGAGTTGGCCTCCTTAAGCGCATCCATTGTGATTTGGGCTTCTTTGCTCTCAAAGTTGATGCGCTCGAGCTGCATCTTGAATTCATTGGCTTCAGTAGTAAGTCGTTCATTCTCCTTGCCGGTCTTGGCATCGTGCTCCTTGAGGAATGTCAGTTCGTCCTTGGTCTCGCGCAGCAATTTCTCGGCGGTGGTGGCGTGCGACTCTTTTTCGGCGAGCTGATCCTGGAGCTCGTTCTCGCGGCGGAGGAAGTCTTCGCGCTCATCCTTCTCCAGAGCAATGACGGGCGTGCTGGCGCGCTCGGATGGAAGGGGTGTCTCGGAACGGTTCTCGGCGGATAGGCGCGACGGTGTCGAGGGGCGCTGCGGCTGTCTCGTCTCGGTGGGCTTCTTTGCGACCACATCGGAGGTGGGGAGAGCCCATTTGTCCTTGGGGACAGCCTCTCCGGAACGCCATTGCTGAATTTCAGTCTCGAGGTTGGAAATGTACGATTCGAAGTTGGTAACCTGGCCTTGGGCCTTTTTGAGGAGCGCCTTGAGCTCTGCAGGGCTAAGCTCGGCATTGACCTTGGCCTTGTTCTTGATGCTCTTTGCTCTGGTACCAAATCGCAGAGTACCTAGCGTCTCAGCGTCGTTGTAGCTGCTGGGGGAGCAGTTGATAATAAGGGTGGTGCGACTGTTACCACCGAGGGATTCTTGCAGAATTCTGGTCAACTTCGAGTCGCGATAAGGCACGTGAGAGGATTTTCCGTCAGTGAGGGCATTAATAACCATGCCGAGAGCACTCAGACTCTTGTTGATCTTTTTGGCCTCCTCCAGAGTCTGGCCGCTGGCGCCAGTCTTCCCCACCTTTTCGCTACCCGCCAAATCGACCAAGAAGAGCTGACCGCTCTTCGCCGACCCCGTCTCAACGTTCTTCTGCGTGATGGTAATGACAAAAATGGAATGCGATCGCGACGACTCTTGGTTCATATTTGTTGCAGCGACAGCCCGGGCGTTGCCGCCGCGTCTCATGACCTCGTAGACCTCTTGGACGCTGGAGACGTAGATTTCCAGCAGACCCTTGACGTAGACGCCACGATTCTTCTCCTCGTGGACAGGCAGGTTGTCGTTTTGCGGGGCCAAAAGATCTCGGATGCGCTCCATGTAGATTTCCATGTAGCTTACGCGTACTGTGTATTCGATTGTGCTCGGGCTGGACATGATGCTAGCGAATATTTGCTCAACGATGCGGGGAATGACACCGCGACCAGACTCGTCCTCGATGCTGGTGCCCATCATAGTGTATGATTTACCGGCACCGGTCTGGCCGTAGGCGAATACGGTTCCGTTGTAGCCGTTAAGGATATCATCGACAGTCGGGCGGATCGAAAAGTCGAAGATGTCTTGTTGTTGGCATTCCATATCAAAGACTCTGTCAAAGGTGAAGGAGCCCTGTGCTTCTTTGGACTGGAGTTGAGGGCTATGTTAGATTCCCGATGCGAAAGTGCGCGAGACGAGGCAAAGAGCCGACGCTGTCGGGAGGCTACATACCTCGAGCGAGCAAGTGTCGTCGCCTTGGAAGGTGACGATGGGCTTGCCCCCAGACTCGAGTTCAATCCGATTCTGGGGACGGAAGCGTGCGACGACCTTGATGCTGTTTGCCGCGGACATGGTGATAGCAGCCTGACCGTGTCGAGGCCGTGAGTGGAAAACAAGTTGGAAAAGCAGAAAACGAGAGAGGTGAGGTCGAAAGGGGGGATTATTATTGTTTCCCAAGGTTATGCCACGCGTGGGCGAGGAGCTGGTGGACGAAGAAGCGGGTACTAACAGCAGCCCCCCAACAATGCGGGCAAGCTGGTGGAGGTACCTGGAACAAGTACCTTTTGTACCTGGACAGTGCGGTCCGGTACGGCCCTCGCGCGGCGTGGCGGGACGACTTGTCGTGGGTAGGACAATACGGGAGGTAGATAGGTACTAGCGGTCAGGGTGCGGGTTCAGCGCAAAATGAGGCAAATAATCAGAAGAGATAGATCAAAAGGCGCTGGCTCAAGATAAGACGCGTGGGATACTTGAGCGTGTTATCAACGTGTTTAAGTGGTGGGAGAGTCTTCATGCCAGCCAGCAACGGGCAGATGCCAATCGTTCGGCACTGACGTTTCAGCCACGGCCCTGGCCGGAAAGTACATTATAGCGGGCTTCAGTGAGGAATAGAGGGCAACGGGCCCTGAAGAGAAATTCAATTTCGGGGCACGCGGGCGGGCGCTGGTTTGCGCCATCTTGGCAGCTCATCTGGCCCCGTCAATGCAATCAAATGCCCAAATGAACAAAATCTTTTCAATATAGGGAACCTATATTAAAGAAAAAAAGGCACGTTGACCTGAGCAGTTGCAAATCATGAACCTGCCAGAGATACATGTGTTGGCCACTGACTGACCGTAAAGTCGTACCTGGTACCTCTGCGGCCACTGCCCCTCCTTGGCGTTGCATTGGGCGACTCTCTCACATGCACGCGAACTACTTACAGAGTAAACCCATTCGATCTGGCTAATGAATGTAGACAATACCTACAACTTTCCGGATAAGGCGAGTGCGTCTCGATCCCGTCATCATTGTCATCAGCTCTGCTCTTGTATATGCATGCTAATCCACAAACAGCACACGAGCCCGTGGAGGCAAGTCAGATCTCGCTGTAATGTTAAGCACCGTAGCATATTCCCAGTCCAGATCTTCCAGGCTACAGATGGCACTCAAGTAAACTCGAAATGATTCTTGATTCTGTTTTCTTCTATTTCTCGCTAGCTCGTCTTGCACTTAATACACGACTGAACTCGCTAGATGGAACAAAGAACCCATGGTATGTATAATCACGATCGCGTACGCCTAAAACGCCTTGACGAAAACGCCTCGGTCCTGCAAGGAGAATGGGCAGCAGCAGACAGTTCTCTGGACAATTTGCCACGCGCCACTTCCAAACACAGGCCACATGCTGTAGAGGGCCGGCGTCAGATTACATGCGTAAGCAAGTCTGCCGGCCGCTGGTCACCATCCAGCATCAATCTTCCCAGCTCTTCTCCACGGTCTCTCTGACGCGCTTAGTGTATTCTTTCCGGTTATCCTTATACAGATTCGAGGCTTCGACATTGGCTGGCGAGCCAGTGTTGGGATCGTTGAGAAGACTATGTTCGGGTTAGCACACCGATTCTGGGGACCACTTGTTCACGCTTTACCTTTGAATGCTCGTTAACACCGCGGCGACATCATACGTGGGACTCCATCTGTTTTGTAGAATGTCCAGGCAAAGCTCGCCAGTAGCGTACACGTTGGGGTGGAACATTTGGCTGATAAACTTGACTTGGGGAGGCTTGTTGGGATACTGTTCCTCAAACTGCATCACCAGGCGAAATGTGCCATCCTCGAACGGTGTGTCTGCGGGCCCGATAATCACGGCGTTCCTGCGAGATTGCCAGGTTAGCAAGGATCGACCCCCCGGGTGACGCAGCGGCCGCATCGGCCAAGGTATATACCAACCATGTCATGACGTTGTCGGGGATCGGGGAGGCAGAGACACCTGCAGGCGGGTCGGTCTGCATGCGCTGCGAGAACTGTGAGTCAAGAGCCAGATCGGCGCGCGAACGGAGCTGGCAGTTACACACCTTGAAGTCCCGCATTAAGCGGCGTCTGGCGGCGGTTGACATTGTGATGGGCTGAGCAGGGTGCGGGCAACAGGGTGCGCCGCGAGGATCGTGCGTTGTTGGTGCGTGTTGGTTTCGACGAGTACAAGCTACAGCGAAGGCGCTAAAGGGCGTACTGATATAGACAGAGATGAAAGTGCTTGGGTCGTGAAGCGGCGAGGAAAAATATATTTTGGGCACGAGAGTCGCCGCCTGTCACCCTCTTCTAGATTATGGCAGCATTGAGGGACCACCCTCATGGTGAGCCTGGCCAATGAGGATGGATATTGCTCGAGGTCGGCGGGCCCTGCGTCTCGCCATCGTTTGCGTCACGTGAAATCGTGTTTGTGAGGGAACCAAGGGTTGTACGGGCGGCGAGGAGAGGAGATGGTTTATAAATAGGGTCTGGGTCTATTCCGAGGCTGTTTCAAAATGGCTTTTTCTGTGACGCGTGTGAACATCATCAGCCGCCAGGATGTAGGCAGGTAGCCTGGATACTGGGATGTTTGGACGATTTGTCTGCTCTGCCAATAGGCTGTCCGAGGTATGATTACCACAGATAGTTAGCACCTCCGTCCGCCCGCTAGCAAAGGCAGGCAAACAAACAAATCAAAGGCGAAAAAAATCCCCACAGCACCAGAACAGCTCGGAATGACCACTGGAATCATCCCGACCACCACCCCGAACTGCTAAAGCCGGGGAAGCCCATGTACCTTGCAAGCTCCCCGCGGCCTCTCTAAGCCGACGTCGCCCGACATGCGCCGACCCACGTCGCCTTTGTTTCCGAACATCCAACCTTCTGCTTCCGGCCCTTTGACGTTTTATTGAATATATTCTGCATTACGTGCCGCCACACTCGTCTCACTTCTCCTTCCCCTCGCTGCGCTGTCCTATTATTTTTATCCCTTCCTCCGCTTGAGCTTCCGTGGTCCCCTCCGTTCCCCCAGTCGCGTCGCCCACATCCGTCACAATGCCTGCCGCGCCGCTTAGAACCGCCAGACTAAACATGCTGGCCCAGCATCTCTCTGCTGGCGCCCGCTCCTTCTCCACGGGGTCGATCCTCCGCAAGGAGATCCAGGATGCCTACATCCTCAGTGCCGCCCGAACCCCGACGGCCAAGGTGCGTCCCATCTCTCTTCCCGCCCAACGCTTGCGCTCGCGTCGACGGCGCTCTAACCCTGTCCGTCCCTACAGTTCAATGGCTCCTACCTCAACGTCAGCGCGCCCCAGCTCGGCGCCGTTGCCATCAAGTCCGCCCTGGAAAAGTCCAAGGTTCCCGTCGAAAAGATCACCGACGTCTACATGGGCAACGTCCTCGCCGGCAGTGTCGGCCAGGCGCCCGCCCGCCAGGCCGTCATCTTCGCCGGCCTGCCCGAAACCACCGAGGCCATCACCATCAACAAGGTCTGCTCTTCCGGCCTCAAGGCCGTTGTCTTTGCTGCCCAGAACATCCAGATGGGCCTCGCCGAGGCCCAGATCGCCGGCGGCATGGAGAACATGTCCCGCGTCCCCTACTACGTCAACCGCGCCAGCGGCCTGCCCGCCTTTGGCCACGCCAAGCTTGAGGACGGCCTGATCAAGGACGGGCTCACCGACGTCTACGCGCAGTTCCACATGGGCAACTGCTGCGAGAACACTGTCAAGAAGCACAACATCACCCGCGAGCAGCAAGACGAGTACGCCATCCAGTCCTACCGCAACGCGCAAAAGGCCTGGGCCGACAAGGCCTTTGCCGAGGAGATTGCACCCGTCACCGTCAAGGGCCGCAAGGGCGACACCATCATCGACACCGACGAGGGCTTCAACGACATCAAGTTTGAAAAGGTCCCCACCCTCAAGCCCGCCTTTGTCCGCGACGGAACCGGCTCCGTGACCGCCGCCAACTCGTCCACCCTCAACGACGGTGCCAGCGCCCTCGTCCTCGGCAACCGCTCCATTGCCGAAAAGTACGGCAAGGACTCGCGCGTTCTGGCTAAGATTGTCAGCTACGCCGACGCGGCCATGGCGCCCATCGACTTCCCCGTCGCCCCCGCCAAGGCCGTCCCCATCGCCCTCGAGCGTGCGGGAATCACCAAGGACCAGGTCGCCGTCTGGGAGTTCAACGAGGCCTTTGCCGGTGTCATCCTCGCTAATTCGAAGATACTCGGCCTCGAGGGCGCCAAGGTCAACCCTCTAGGAGGCGCCATCTCCCTCGGCCACGCCCTGGGCAGCTCGGGATCCCGCATCCTGACCACCCTTCTCCACCAACTGAAGCCTGGCGAGTATGGTGTTGCCGCCATCTGCAACGGTGGCGGTGCTGCTACTGCCATGGTCGTGCAGCGCATCGAGTCTGTATAACCAATGAAGATATAAAAAAATGATTTGCTGAAAAAACAAACAAATGCATTTATTTGTTTGCTGCTGGAGTATCTGCGGGTTTCATAGCACTTGTACTTGAATACACAACGCATCCAATTGAAGCGGGCAGCTCTACTGAGGGAAGAATGTGAAATGGAAAAGACGAAGAGGTTCATGCTTGGCTTATTCCAAGCCCTTTTCAAACGAGCCTACGAACATTGCGACTGGCTTGCAATATCGCAGCTGGTGCAAGCTTCAAGTAATTCAGCGGCAGGCAGCTTGCTGCTTCAGTGGTATCTGACCAGGGTGTGCCGCGCCATTGGCGGACAAAACTCACGTACAGCTATTTCTGACGATAACTAGATTCGATGCTCCAGTAGCGGTATGGGTGGCATTAAGTGCCCAAGGTTTTACAGCTCGATGAGCTGTCGATTGGCATGTTGCTATATTCATACCTGAGTTACCACGGCCCGACAACGATGTAAACTTGGGAGCTGTTGAAAAATGCAATTCGCTTTTATTATTAGAGATTGAAGCGAAAATTAGACTTGGCTAAACGAAATCAAGACAGAAACATGAATTGCTCATCGGCGTTTATAATCAACGACATCGGCGCAGACCCGCCCGCTTCGCCCCCAAATCTCGAAGACACCCAAGCGCGACAAGCTTTCCTCCAACCACCAACCATCCACATTACCACCACCACCGACCCGCCTCATCTCGCCGAGGAACACAACTGACCGGAAGAAGGCGAGCGACAAGATGGCGCTCGTGCGCGAGTTCCTCAGCGCGATCCGCGAGCAGGTCCGGCGGCAGCAGGGCGACGCGCTGCGGGACTGGCTGCAGGTCGACTCGAGCAGCGGCGCACAGTACCACAACCTGGGCACCGAGCTGCGAGCCCGCTTCCCCGCGGCGGCCGACGTCGACGGCGTCGTCGAGGAGTGTCTGCCACTGGACGATGACAGTGACGACGACGGGGACCAGACGGTGGCGAGTCCGTGGCCTGGCTTGCAGTCGTTCATCAAGGACTACCTAGTCTTCTGGCGGGACATTGACTACGACGACTTGCTGGGCGCGCATCAGCTGCTGAGCGGGCTCGTCAAGTGAGTTTTCCCTTTTCTTCCCCCGGCACTCGTCTTTCCATCGAATTCAGGACTGCCAAGGCTGACCGAACAAAAAAGCTCGTGTGCTACCGCGTTCGCCCACCCATCGTACGGCGGCATGCTCCTCCAGGCCAGCATGTCCCTCTCCGAGACCCTCGCGCGCCTCACCATGATGCTCAACCGCCGTCCCGACCTCACCCGCAAGCTCCGCAGCGCCGCCCCCGGCGACGAGGACAAGGCCTCCGTCGCCGAGTCGTCCGCCGAGATCATCCAGAAGATCTTCACCACCTGCCTCAACGACCGCTCCAACCCGCGCGCCAGCCCGCCCGTCGGCCGCCGCGCCGGCGTCTACATGTTCGCCAACCTCGTCCTGAAGCTACTCTTCGCCTGCAAGCGCGGCACGAACCTCGCCCGCATCGTCTTCTCCAACGTCGCGGCCGCCTCCCCCCGGCTCGCCGCCTACCCGGCTGCCCAGCGCGTCGCCTTCCTGTACTACCTGGGCCGCTTCAACCTCGCCAACGGGCACGCGCGCCGCGCCGCGCTCTGCCTCGAGGCCGCATACCTGCAGACGCCCCCCGTCTTCCAGCGCCACCGCACCGCCATCCTCACCTACCTGATCCCCGCCAACGTGCTGCTCGGCCGGTTCCCGTCGCGTACGCGGCTTCTCGCGCGTCCCGAGGCCGCGCCCACCCTCGCGCCCGTCTTCGGCCCGCTCTGCGACGCCCTCCGCAAGGGCAACTTCCCCGCCTTCCAGGCGCACGTCGCCGCCCACGAGCGCTGGCTGCTCGCTCGCGGCCTGCTGCCGCTGCTGTCCTCGCGCCTGCGCCCGCTGCTCTGGCGCGCGCTCAGCCGCCGCGCGTTCCTGCTCACGTACGCGCCGCCGGCGCCGGGCGACGACGCAGGCCGCGCCGGCTGCGGCCCAACGAGGGGCTGGTCTGGGGCAACGCCGAGGTCACGTACGAGGACGTGGAGATGGTGGTGGCGGCGCTGGTGCAGCAGGGTCTGCTGCACGGGTTCGTGGCGCACGGGCAGGCGCGCTTCGCGGTCATGGGGGCCAAGGCCAAGGGCGGCCCGCTGCGTGCCGGCTGGCCGCCGGTCTGGCAGGCCATCCGGGCGCGGCAGTACGACGAGGGCGAGTTTGACATTGACGAGGTGCCTGGATGGGTCAAGGGATGAGAGGGGAGGGAGAGCTTGGGCGCAGTCCGGCAAGGGAGAAGAAAGCCGCTCTATAGGATTTATATGATTAACCATGTATAATATAAAGTATGATACCCGTCAATGATAAAACAATACCAGGGCGATGACCACGTTCACAAAGTACACACGCATCAGGGCAGTCGCAACATCAGCGATACAAGAACGAAAGGTACAAGGGACGAGGGCAAAGATTGTTGAAAAAGACTTTATTTTATTTCCATCCTCTCAACCATCTGATAAAAAAAGATGGTCAAGGTCAAAAGATCCGCTCCTACATAACTCGTAAGGCATTTAGTCCCAGCCATCAGAGATGGCCAAGTCTGGTGAAGGAAGAAGTAAAGGCCGTCGTCCTAGTAGATGACACCTCGCAGAAGCTAGTCGCTCCAGGTATATAAAAAACTTCAAGCCGCTTTCGTCTCCGTTAGAAAAAAGTAAGAGAAACAAGTTCTGTCGGCCAATCAAATAATTGGTACATTTTTTCCCATTTCCATATCTCCAAAGCTCCGTTGGAAATTAAATCCCAAAAAAAGAATCAAAAAACTCTCCAATGCTGTAAATGCGGGGTATCGACCGTGAGCAGAATGGTATAAATGCCGACAGGGTCAAGCTGAATGGCCAAATTGTTCCACAGGGAAACAACAAACGAAGGTTAACCTCAAATTAGAGGGGTAGAGGAATGTCAATCGACATTTGCGATGAAGCAAACGCCATGTACGACATAGAGGTCAATACAATAAACATCATCGCCGATAGATGTTTGGCAGATATATATGGCAAGACTGAAAAAAGGTCCGAAATAGACATGATGTGGACTGGGGAAGAGGGGTCCAGCGCGAGGAATCAAGCTCCAGCGCAAGCACGAAGAGAAAGAAAAAATGACAACCTCCGCCAGCCCGAAGCATTGGCAGACGCGACTTCAGCTGGTTAGCGCTGTCAATGTTGGGCAGAGGTACAAGAAGTGTAAAGCAAAGATGTGAGCAGAATCGAACATGATGGGTAGCCACGGGCTAATGGGCAGGTCGCTTGCGGTTTGTTCCTAATAAAAGCAAGCGGCGGCGACCAGCGCAACGACCAGACCAGCAATAGCAGTGCTGCCTTGCTGACGTCCAGCGTCGTTCTTCTTGTCCTTCGTGGTAGGGGTGGTCTGGGGGCTTGTAGGAGATGCTGCATAGGTGCTGTTGGAGGTGTGGGTGGCAGTGCTGTTGTTCTCTTCGTGGAAGATGCCAGGCGAAACGGTAGGTGTCTCGCTCCTGGTTGACGAGGGAGTGTTGACAGTGGTAGTGGTGGTGGTGGTGGTGGTAGGGGGATGAGAAGAACTGGGGGTGGCAGAGGGAGTGCTCTTGCTGACACTGGTAGGCGTGGGCGAATGCGTAGAGCTGGGAGTTGACGTGCTTGAAGGCGGAGGCGGAGACGCAGTTGAGGAGCTCTGGGGGGAGGCAACCGAGGCCTCAAGAGCATTGGCGTTGCCAACAGGGGCAGAATGGCCGCCAGAGCCATCGGAGACAACAATGTTAGCCGACTTGCCCTTTGGCACAGTAACGACGCAAAAAGAAGCGTCACCCGCGCCATTTGCAGCATTGTTGCTCACAAGAGTACCATCGCTCTTGATTTCGCAAGGCAGACCGTTGCAGCCGCCATCAGGGCATTCAATCTTGACGCCGAAATTAGGCTTGTTGCGGAAAAGTGCCGGTGTTTCCTGCCACTTGGGGTTGATGCCGAGCTTGACAAAGGTCTGGCCATTGGCATCCGTGTTGGCACCAGCATTATAGCTTGCCCAGTTGCCGATGGGGTTGGCCTCGGTGCCCCAGATACAACCTTCAGGGCCAACACCAGGGCCGTTGATGTAATAGTGGGCGGCGGTGCTCTCCCAGTAGGAGGCTCCAGGAACGGCAAGGTCGGAAACAGAGTCGACAACTGTAGGGATGAGCATGGCCTCGTTGCCAGGCAAGATGGTCTGACAGAAAGAAATCTTCTTGGAGCATTTGTTGATGACCTTGAGAGCGCCGGTACCGGGGACACAGTTGGGCTGGTCCGCGAAGGGCTTTTGAATGTTGCCATTCTCGTCACAGAAGAGACCACCGTTCATAGAGCCAGGATAGCTGTACGTAGAGCCTTTCTCCCACTGATTCATGACCATGCCCACTTTACAGGCAATGGGGCAGTAGTGACCAGGCTGACAAGGCTGATCGGGGCTCATGGCCCAGCCGGCATTCTTCTCATTCGGAGTGACGGCAAAAAGGTTAGAGTCGTCGGTGGGAAAAGCGCAGGTGCCGCGCTTGACAACGGAGGAGACGGGGCTGGGAGGGCTCTCGACAGCACGGTGGTGGTGGTTGTGCTGCAGTTGGGTGTGTCGACGGGCCGAGTGGTGGATGTTGCGGTGGAGGAGTGAGGCGGCGTCAACGGCCGGCGCGAGCATGAGGACGGCCGAAGCAACAAAGGCCTGCAGCGTAGCGAGTTGCATGATGGCGGTGGTTTTGCGTGTGCCAGAGTATCGCGGAATAAACAGAACGTAATGAGCGCGAGCTCGTCAAGAGCTAGGCTGGTGTTAAAGACGGGATGCAAGGCTGCGTTAGCACAAGCCTATTGCGAGCGAACAATGATGGCGATATCGTGCTCGGAAGCGCTATTGGAAGTAGTAGAAGATTTCGAGCGAGAGCGAGCGCGCTGAGAGCATTTGTAGCAAATAGTTGGAAATAGTTGCAGAGTCGTCGAAGTGTAAACAAGAGGCGTGTGGGCCGATGGAGGTTAATGAATGAATCGAGCAAGAGCCGAGAACCAAAGGAGCGAGTCGAACAAGGCGGCAATTGAAACGGCGGCGGGTGACAAACAAGTCGAGAAGAGAAAAAGAATGGACGAGGGCGTAAAAGTTAGGCAGAAGATCAAACAAAAGGAGTGTGAGAAAGAGGGCTTTTGGCGAAGTATTAAAGTTGGGCGGGCCGGGTTGGGAAGAGGAGAGGAGAGGAGAAAAGGTACCAGATTGACGAGAGAGAGTTGTGGGTCTGACTGGGTGGGTTTAACAGTACCTTGTACAGGCGGTCTCGAACAAAGAAGAGAAAAGGCAGGAGGAGCAGGAGAAAAGGGTCACTCTGGGGTACTGGAGGGAGAGGGGGTACCTGAAATTGGACTTGACTCGGTCTGCAATTTACTATATACCGGGCGGGCGTTGACAAGGTACCACTAACCTTGTCTGGTGGTGCTGCTCATTCTGCCCTGCCGTCCTGCCTGCCAGCTGTCAGCCAGTGGTTGTTACCATTTATTAGCCCTGTGGTGCCTGTCGAAGCGGACAAAAGGTAAAAAAGGGTACCTGCATATTGGTGTTCCAATCGGACGCGGGCCGTCATCTCCCAGGGCCGTCCATTGTCCAATCACAGCTGGCACTCGCCACACCGGAAATGAGATGTGGATTCGTCTGTGGCAGTCGGTAGTGCAGCCCAGTCGCGTGGACTCGCGCGCCACACTCATTTTGTAGGTGTCATTGACTCTACCAAGATTCAATCAATGAATATTATCCGTCAGCACCATCCTGCACAACTCTTTTTTTATCCCTCATTTGTACCATGTATTATGCCGACTTGTCACCATTTATGCGTCTTGTACCTTTTATGCCGCTTGTACTTGCATTATACACTATGCAACCCGCTCCACCACTCTCAGCCAACTACGGAACATGCAGACACTAAAATAGCCTCCTGGATGGTGCCTGAATGTCGCTCTTGTTCCTGGCAATGGTGAGTCGTGTAGGCGGTTTTAGCTTCTCTTCTTCTTGTTACTTTTCACTTAATCCTTCCCTTCCTTTCTCTCCTTTGTCGTCTAGTCTCCTTTCTAACCAGTTTCACATGCTGCTCTTCCTCCCCAAAGCTTCCATGTGCTTCTCGCGTCCCCCGTCCGCGCATCATCACGTTCCAGACGAAGAGTCATGGCCCGTGTTGATGCCCAAGCCCAATGGCCAACTCCAAACCCTGCACTGGCACGCACTCCTACATACCCAGCAACAATGGGCACATGACCCAGGCCCTATTCCGGTTTCCAACAACGCGATCCGCCCTGGCGTCAGCATCCTTCCCGGTGTCGCATCCCACATGTAATTACGCTGAGAATCATAATCCGTAATGGCAAGGCTAACCAACCCATGAATAACTTAGGATCCCAGTCAGCTCGGATAGACTGGTGGCTTGACACAAGTTGTAGTCGACCCAAAAAGGGATCACGGAAGCAGCCCTGGACATTGACTCAAGTTTTGACTCTCTCGATGTCTTGTTTACCGCTCTCCTTGCTTCCTAGCGCCGGTTGCCTCTTCCCATGTTTGCTGTGTCACACAAAAATGTGGCCCGACTATTCCTATTGTGTCAGAGAGACCAAATCGATGATGAGGCAAATCAAAACAAAGAAAAATCGTGCAAAACTTTACAACTGTTACGAGCAAACGACAAGTTACCCAAAGCAAAGTCATGGCGACACGCCTTGGTGAAGCATCTTGTCCTGATGCCAAGCTTCGACCCTAATAAAATTGAGTATCCGTACGGAGAAAGAGGGCCATCTCTGAAGGGTCCGTGTCTCCTCCCCCAGCTGGAGCGGGCCGTTGCCTGGCCCAACTCTTCTTTTCAAGAGTGCAACTACCGACGGCTACTAACATTGCGGGCTAGAGGTTTACTTTACCCAACTATTATTACCTTCCCCATTGTGGCGGCTTGCGGGCTGAATCTCTTCATCTTGCCAACCAGCAACACGACACCGCCTTGACAGACTATAACCGAGGTATGAAGTACAAGCCGTTCGCGATAACTCTGTGAGAACTACACAACCCTGGGCAATAAGTGACCTATGCTATTATGTGATGAAAATCGGGGCCGGAAATGTGGTTTCAATCGCTGCCCACAACCGTGCATGGTCCTTCATTCTGTAACGGCAGCGGAGAAGACAAAAGCATCGTGCGGTTCCGTGAATGTTGGCTCGGGCCACAACTTGTAACAGTCGTTCCTCTTCTTCCTCGCAGCAACTCGCCCCTCTCCCTCAAAGGCTGCGCTGCACGCATCACCAGTTCCAAAGCGCAAAGTCTGAAATAATGCCGCGTTTTGTCGCGACGCGTGTTTCAAGGCGTTTAATCAGATAGAAAAAATCACTTAGCGCAGTTTTTCTCTTGGTACCTCTCTGCGGCATTTTAGCGTTAAAACAGGCCAAAGTACCATTGTCGAGGTGTCATGACAACGAACGGGTCAAGCAACTCGAGCAACCTTTTGCTGCCTCGCTTGTATTTGCTTACCTTGGGTCTGGTAATAGCTACATAGCAACTTCTTCCCTGGTCTGTATCCCATTGCCATCAAGCGCTGATGAGTTATCACTTTTTTGGTAGTCTTGAAGAGATGTACAGGCGATCCACCGGTCTGTCGAGCAACGGGTTGCTACCCGGCAGTACCAGTCGCCACGACAACAACCCAACAGCCTTTCGCGTTTCTTGCATCTCCTCTGGATCAGTCTCGAATTTTCGTAGAGGATGATTTTTTTTCCTTCGTGATAATATTTACGGTGGTCTTCTGGATGGCGATAGTTTGTTGGGACTATTGCTCACGCATTGAACTGGGAGATTTAGTACGACTTGTAAAAGCTCACCCAACTAGCAACGGAGACGTCTTCAACAGGCCAGGTTTTCGAAGAGCACACAATACCGAGGAAATGTTTCTTTACCATTTAATAAAGACTGCATCATCCAGTTGTGATATACGTGGCGCAGCAGAGCAACCAAGATGACAAACACCAGGGCATTCAACCAAATCCCCAACAACGCCGAGACTCCTCCCATGAAAAGAGCGCCATTCCGCCGCTTCACGACCAAAACTCGCGAACCTCGTGCCCCTCATCGTCCGTCGACGCTCCCGGCCTAACCAACCACCAGCCCCTCACCCTCACCTCTCTACCTCTCTCGCCGTCCTCCCGCAGCGCTTCCCCGACCGCCGCCTGCATCTGCCTCCGTATGACGCGCCACTCCACCGGCGCGCTCCCGCCACCGATCTGCGCTAGCGCCGTCCCCGGCGCGCCGGCACCCAGCACCAGTGCGCCGCCCTCGACCGCGGCAGTGGCGGAGCAGCAGCGGCGCCATCGCCGCGCGCCACCGGCGGCCTGACGCTCCCTCGCCGTCGTGGCTGCTGATGCCGCTTGACGACGGAGGCCGCGGCACGTCGCGGAACCAGGCGCGCCACTCGAGGCCGACGTGCAGCACCCGATCCAAACCGGGCACCGGCGTCCGGGTGGTGTTGAGGCGGTGACGCATGTTGCGGTCCAGGTAGAGCATGTCCCGCCGCGGGTTGAACCACGGCCCGGCGGCGGAGGAGGAGAAGAAGAAGCCGCGCAGCAGCGTGATGGCGCGCGACTCGCGACAGATGCCGTGGCTCGCGGGCGGCGGGTGGCGGATGTGAAAGTCCAGCAGCGTCGTCGGCCGGTCGTCCTTGTCGTCCTTGTCGCTGTTGTCGGATGTCGGGGGCGCGGCGAGCTCGCTGACGTGAAATATGCGCGGCCCGGGCAGGGTAGCCTCCCAGACGAGCTGCCGGACCTCGGGCGGTAGGCGGGCGAGTTCGAAGACCATGGTGGTTAGGTACACAGGGCTGGCTCAATGTTGCATCTTGGGCGAGTTGATGACCAAGTGATGCGGACAGCTTTCAAAGTAAAGAGAAAAATTGAGAGGTCGTGGAAATGTCACGCCAACCTGTCATGCGAGAGTCGTCACTCATATCTACTGCGCTTTAGGCAGCAGGAAAGAGCATCAGGTGCAAGGGCCGCGACCCATACGAGGGTAAAAGTGTAGGAGCCCCGAGGACATGCTGACGCGTATAGAGTGGCTGTATTTGATTTGATTCGATTTGAAAACTTTTTTTTTTCGGAATTTTCTTCTTCACTTGCGGTGTTTCGTTTATTAGACCGTGATATCAACTCCGCAAACTGTTATGGAAAGTGGAACACTTCGCATTCCCAATGAGGAATGCGAAAATCTATTTCCAATCGGCGAATAAAAATAGCCGACCAAGGCTGCGCTAGCCTGAACATGCTTGGCGATCCGCTCATACACGCGGCAATCATGTCCGCCAATATGAGGGTTCGGATCTCCCAAGCTCCGTACCTCCATGATCGAGACATGTCCGCCGACCCCATCACCTTGCTCAGTCTTGAAAATACACTGGAGGAAAGCGTTCCTTGGTCCGGGGCGACGTGTTCCTTGCGTCAGTTCCCCTCTCCACCAGTCTTAAATGGGTGCCTGGAGGACTTCTCATCATTCTGATCCTGCCCAGCCAGCTCCAGACTTTTTCGTCTAAACTGCTGCCTGCTGAGTAGAAATAGGCATCTGAATTATACATGGAAAGTGTGGGGCGAGTCCGTTACCGTCCACAGCCGCAGCGGTTGCTTTTCTCCTCCCCTCCCTCACCTACCACAACAGGTTCTTGTGCGTCCTCGCTGGCAATTATAGTGGTGCCTGCTATTCGTAATCATTGAGCTTGATGTGACGGGGAAATCTGAGAGACCCGCCATTTATTATGTGGCTGTGTGCCGCTGCCCTCTTGCCATTCTTGTGTGATTCTTCAACTCTCCACGCTTCCTCGTCTAGAACTTGCATCGCCATCGCGAGCATCTCCATCTTTCATTGCTCAACTATTGTTTTTGCTGTCAACGGATTTTTCTTTGTCCCCCATCCTGTTGAATCATGGATGACGACGTAGCTGCTCTCGTCATCGACAATGGGTAAGCTCTAGACTCAGAACACAACACCAGGTCAACGCATGCTCAAAAGGCCCGATGCTGATCCAAGTGTAGCTCCGGCATGTGCAAGGCCGGATTCGCCGGCGACGACGCCCCCCGCGCCGTCTTCCCCTCCATCGTCGGCCGCCCACGCCACCACGGCATCATGGTCGGCATGGGCCAGAAGGACTCGTACGTCGGCGACGAGGCCCAGTCCAAGCGCGGCGTCCTCAGCCTGCGGTACCCCATCGAGCACGGCGTCGTCACCAACTGGGACGACATGGAGAAGATCTGGCACCACACCTTCTACAACGAGCTGCGCGTCGCCCCCGAGGAGCACCCCGTCCTGCTCACCGAGGCCCCGATCAACCCCAAGTCGAACCGCGAGAAGATGACCCAGATCATCTTCGAGACCTTCAACGCGCCCGCCTTCTACGTCCAGATCCAGGCCGTCCTCTCCCTGTACGCCTCCGGCCGCACCACCGGCATCGTCCTCGACTCCGGCGACGGCGTCACCCACGTCGTGCCCATCTACGAGGGCTTCGCCCTGCCGCACGCCATCGCTCGCATCGACATGGCCGGCCGCGACCTCACGGATTACCTGATGAAGATCCTCGCCGAGCGTGGCTATGCCTTCTCGACCACAGCGGAGCGCGAGATCGTGCGCGACATCAAGGAGAAGTTGTGTTATGTGGCGCTCGACTTTGAGCAGGAACTGCAGACGGCCACCCAGAGCTCGAGCTTGGAAAAGTCGTACGAGTTGCCTGACGGCCAGGTCATCACCGTCGGTAACGAACGCTTCCGCGCACCTGAAGCCTTGTTCCAGCCGTCCGTTCTTGGGCTTGAAAGCGCCGGCATTCACGTCACCACGTTCAACGCCATCATCAAGTCCGACGTTGATGTTAGAAAAGACCTGTACAACAACATTGTTCTGGTACGTTCTCTGTTAAAAATGCTGGCTATTTATTTGACCATAGACTGACTAACCTTGTGTGTTTCAGTCCGGCGGCACCACCATGTATCCGGGCCTGGCCGATCGCATGCAAAAGGAACTGACGAGTCTCGCGCCATCCGCGATGAAGGTCAAGATCATCGCACCACCAGAACGCAAGTATTCCGTTTGGATCGGCGGGTCCATCCTCGCCTCTCTCTCGTCGTTCCAGCAGCTCTGGATCTCCAAGCAAGAATATGATGAGGCTGGTCCTTCCATTGTTCATCGCAAGTGCTTTTAAGAACGCGGTCCGCTGTCTTGGGGAGCGTTTGTGGCTCATCATAGCCAACTTTATCCCTTCGTATCCATTTGTGCAATCGTCTGCAGCATGAAGGGCACAAATGGCATGTCGGTGTGAAGACAGAAACGTGAGACCATCAGTCGCTTAGCTAGTCGGTAGCCGGCCATTGGGGCTTTTGTGTAGGGAAGATAGATTTCAAATTGCTATGTTTTCCTCTCTAACCTCTTGCTCAAAGACTGGTCGCAAACATGATGATCGGCAGTCCGCGTCGTTGTGATCGAGCTTTTCGACACGTGTGCTCAGTCCTCGAAGCATGAGCTCGCTGGTGATTAAATGTTCCATATTGCTCGTCCTTGCTCTAGCCCACCAGCACCTCTCGGTATCGAGTAAGATCTGGGCTGAACGATAAAGCTGTAACAGTAATACTAGAGCGCGCGAATCCCCCTGCTGTATTAGACTGGAAAATGGTCCACAGAGGAGAATAGGAAAGCCGTAAATGAGCTGTTCGATATCATCCTGGATAGCCGCAAGGTTGCTCAGAGCTTCTGCATTTGAGCTTGACGACACATACTGGCAGCATATCAGCGGAGATATGCGACGGACGACGTATGCAAAAGAGGCCTGAGCTTGCGAGGACGACCTGGTCTCTGATGACGGAAGTGGATTGCCGGTTGACATGGAGTTGCTCGTGATTTTGGTGACCTCAAGTTTATACTTTTGCAGCCGTTCAGGCTCGGGACACTGGCCAAAGTTTTGCTTTGGCAGAGAATTGGCCGGTAAGAGTTCGCTCTCCAAGCCTTGAAGCAGGCGCCACGACCGATTGCTCGCGGGTTCATGGACGGTCGTGCTTGGAGCCAAGCTCCTCGATGTATGGTAGCGTGGGTCATCCCACATATCCATCAACGGCTGCTCGGCCAGATTTGCGCTGTGCTCCGGAGCGAGGGCCTGTTCGATAACTAGCCGTGGATGACGGGTCATGATTTTGAGAAAAATGCTGTTTCCTTCGATGAGAACCGGTATTGTTTGAAACCAAGCGTGTGTGATGCCTGAGCTGACCAGCAACAATGGATCCTGGACAAGGGCGTCGATGGTGTTGATGCTGCCCTGCAGAAAGGATAGATCGAACCAGCATACGTAATTGATTAGGAGAGCTGCGCCGACAATGGACTCGGCGTTCGTTTTGGTGAGAGGCCTCGATAGGCCCTGGCGAAAAAGCGAAAGCGCCCTAGGCATGAGCCAGCTGGCCAGGTCCGAGTATTTTCTGCTTTGTGGATGGAGCGTGGAGAGGTGCATTGCAGAAGTACACAACACGGAAGCCATGACAAAGTGTTCCTAGCAAAGATTCAGTATGAGGTGTAGTTCAATGACCGATTCTTGACAGAAGCTGTACGTTGATTGCGTGCTGCATGACGACGGACCATATTTCAGGATACACCAGCGTCGAGCGCGTGTGCCTGTCCCAGTGATGAAACAGTTCAAGCTGTAAGAGACTCATTTGAGGGGTCATTCCCAGACCCGGGACAATGATATGCCGCGCTTGTCCCACGGCAGTCTCATTATTGGGCGGCGAGATGCATGCGATGCCGCGCTTGAGGCAGCTGCCGCAAGGCTGACGTTCATCGCACTGCCATCTGCTATGTGAGCCCAGATGTCCGAAATACAGGCCCTAATATAGAGCGAGAGTCTTTGTTCCAGGTGTATCATACCTTGACTTTCCGGATCTTGCATCCGATACAACCGCGTCGGCTTTTCTTATGACGCCGAATCTGGCGTTGCGCGCCGACATCGACCGTTTGCGCGACAAGAATCGGGCGAGTTTTGCCCGGCTTGAGGATGCTGTTGATGAATATGGGTGATGTTCTCTGATCTGCCATTGGAACGTATATAGAGGGAACCCATGGCTCGGTGGAATGCCGGATGGGAGGGATGGGATGGGATGGGAGGGGGAGAAGGTGTGAAGTGGAAGACTTGGTTGACGCCATGACTGTGATGATTTGGGGACGCCCCACTGAGGCCGGGCCAAGCTGAGGCTGCTGCCAGCAATGTTGACGAGGTTGTCGCGTTTCATCAGGACATTGATTTTTTGTTTACAAATTTATTGGCATGAAGTTTTATTGAAATATTTCCTCAAATATTTCTCAAATATTTCCTCCCATGATTTTCCCACTCACTTCGGCCATCGAGTAGCATTTCGTAGCTTTTATCGACATCACTGTAACCCGTTGGCTGGCTTCAACCCAGTACGTGATGGCATCTACCTCGGTCGTCTACATCGGTCACTGTACGTATGGAGCGTGTCGATTGGTAACTGACGGTTGACTGGTTGCTTTATTATTGCTCTTCTAATCCAGACCTGGATTGGGCGACGTCACTCACTAAGTCACCTCATTGAAATCACCAAAGTGCAATGGAAGTGTTGCCGAAACACCGCCATCGATCAATGTCCGCACAACACTAAATAGTACTCCGACCGCCTTGCCGAATACAGTAAAAAGAGTCATCCAAGTTGCTGTTCGACATGTCGGTGGCGCATGGCCACGAGCGGGATCGCCAGTCGCATTTCCGAAAATGGATAAAGGTGTCAGCCAGGCTCGATCTCGGCCATCAGTCCACGGAATACCGGCATTTACATAAATAAGTGCATATAAAGCAACCCCTTGGACTATCTTTTGATAGAATTGGATACGTTCACTGCCACAATCCTTCTCATCCTCTTCATTCTCTGTACATCTTGCCTATACTTTGCACATCTTCTCTTCACAATGGTTACTCTAGAAGATGCCCAGGCCTCCAACGCCAAGATCGCCACCACCCTGCCCTCCGGGATGGTCGCCGTCTTCGTCGGCGGCACCAGCGGCATCGGTGAGCACACCTTGAAGCGCTTCGCCGAGCACACCAAGAGCCCGCTCATCTACCTCGTCGGCCGGTCCCGGGAGGCCGCCGACCGCATCACCTCCGAGTGCGCCCGGCTGAACCCCGACGGCCGCTACATCTTCATCCAATCCGACGTCAGCCTGCTCAACAACGTATCGCAAGTCTGTGAGCGGATCCTGTCCGAGACCAAGACCGTCAACCTCTTGTTTCAAACACAGGGAGGTCTGCAGATAGACAGTGAGTCCTTGCCATATCAAGCCAGGGTCTTATTGTATCTAACAGCCATTCCATCAGGGACCACGGAAGGGCTCACCAAAGCGTACGTGCTTCCCGTCACCTCGCGCATCCTCTTCGCGCTCAGCCTCCTGCCTGCCCTCCAACGAGCGTCCGGCCTGCGGCGCGTCGTCTCCGTCTTCGCCGCCGGCCACGAGGGCCCGTTTGGCGCGGACGACTGGTCCGGGTACGCCTCGCGGCACCCCCTCGGCGCCCGCGGCCACCTCGCCTCCATGATCACCATGGCGCACAGCGTCCTGGCGCGGCGGGCCCCGGAGGTGAGCTTCGTCCACAACTTCCCGGGCGCCGTCAAGACGCCGTTTGGCAAAGACGCGACGGGCGCCATGGTCGTGGTGCGCGCGGCGCTGGCGCTGCTCGGGCCGCTGCTGCTCAAGTTCCGCCCGCCGGAGGAGTCGTCGGTGCTGCAGCTGTACTGCGCCACCAGCGCGGCGTTCCCGCCGGCGACGGGCGAGGCGGCTGGCATTCCTCTCGCGGAGGGGACTGCCGTTTCGGTGGGGAGTGGGGGAAGGCCGGGGAGCGGTAGCTACAACGTGGGTGAGGTTTGTGAGAGAGTGTCCGAGGGCGTCGAGAAGCGGATGGTCGAGGCGCGCGAGAACGGGGTGGAGGATCGACTGTGGGCGCATCTTGTTGGGGAAGTCAAGGAAATCACCGGAAAGGTGTACTGAATGAGGTGCTGTCCATGTTTCTTTTTTCTGTGTTGATGTGCCAAATTCAGTCAGAGATATGATTAGAAAAGGCGTTGTCGACGCAATTTCCCTCCGTTGCGAGGACCCTTTCATCGCTGGATATGTAGAGACTGTGTCACCCCGAAAGCGGCTCCTCTCCCCGAGCCGCCCTCCAGCGATTGCTCGACTCGACCAACCCCCCTCGGCAGTCCTTGACCAGCCAGCCCCATCGCCGGAGGAAACCCGGCGTCACCTCCCAGCTCTCCGGGCGGTGCGCCTCCCCCCACAAGATGAGGCCGTTGCGATTCGCCGTGTAATCGTCCTCCCCCTCCCCCTCACTGCCGCCACCCGTCATCGCCGGCGGTGTCGTCTCTGGTCGCGGCAGCGAGCCGTCCAGGAAGTAGGCCGGGTCGACCAGGTCGCCGACCAGGTCCGCCACGAGCGCCGCCAAGTCGAGCCCGCCTCGCCCCTCGCGCGCGATCATGGCGTCGCGGACGCCCGGGAAGGGAAACAGGTCGATGCACGCGGCGTGCACGACGGTGCGCTGCAGCGGCGTCGGCTCCAGCGACGCGGGGAGGCCCACGGCGGCGGCGACGGCGGCGACGACGGCGGCGCGGCAGGGGAAGACGAGCTCCGCGGGGGTGGGCTGGAGCTCCGAGGCGGCGGAGGTGACGCCTCGGGTGAGATACTGCGCGCAGGCAAGTAGCGCCATCTTGTTGGCGAGTAGGCCGCGCAGCACGTTGACGTGGATGAGGTGCAGCAGATGGTCCTGGGTCGGACAGGGCCGGAAGGGCCGCACGGAGGGTGCCAAGGGAGAGGGCCCTGTTCCTCTGAGACTCGAGACTCGGCTGCTATCGATGGTGTCATGCTCGATGAGAGTTGACACAGATGCTACTTGTCTCCGAGTAGTAGTAACAGGCTCGTTGGCGTCGTGCTGGTAGACGTGCCGCCACCTGTCCACTTGGTATGGGCGCTGGATTTGACTCTGGCTACTGGCTTGCGCCTCCTCTCTCTTGCGCGATCCTGCCAGGTTAAAGTGATTAGAACTTAGTTCGAAAAAAATAACAAACCAAACGTTCTACATATTGGGGACCAGAAGACGCGTACTTCTCTGTCGCTGGTTGATGCGGTTCTGCAGCCGCTTTCGCTGCTTCCGCTCCTCGGCATCCTCGGCATTCATGGCGGCGATCCGCATCGTAGAGTCGGAGGCTGCGGAAAAAGGGCAATGATAGTATAGCTTCAGAGAACCCTTGTACCCGCACGTTACATGCACTAATGAGAAGTGCAGTCCTTGTAGTCTCCGAGGAAGCCCCAAGATGCCAGCCACATGGCGCGAAGCAGGTGGCGTGGCGATGACGCCGGTTGGCGCTTATTTCAAGGCTAGGTTTCTTTGACCAGCCACTTTTATCCCTTTGTGTGGTAAAGCTGAGAAATAATAGGTTGTTGATAGAAGCGAATTGCGTGCGGTGAACTGATTTCATGGCTTATCGGCCACCGCCAACCTACACGCAAGTGTCGAAACAGACAAGTCGAAGCTTGGTGCCATGATTCCAGTAGAAATCATCATGTTTGAGGTTGATCAAAAATTAACCCTGTGGCTAGACTAACGGAAGATGGCTCGCGACTTGAGCCTCACTTGACTTTTTTAAGTTTCTCCGGCGTGCTCTTAACGCGGTCTAGACAAACCAACAGCGCGTCTTGTTAGTAGAGAAGTTCTCGCATGACCGTTTCACTGTAAAAGTAAACCAGGCAGGCTAGGCTTTTTTTTCAGTGCGCGTTCACTGCGCGTAGATTTTCTTTCTTGAATGAATGTTGGGCAGGATTATCCTCTCTTCTTCTTCGTCATCTTCCTCAGCCTCCTCTCGCCCCCGGACCTGTAACCACCCCAAGCATTTTCTCGACCAACCATGGAGCCCGAAGTTCGCTTCCGTACGTCCATTCATCACTTTTGCTCTCCTCCATCTCCCCAGACTGACCGCCGGAAAACCGTAGTCCTTCACTGCGTAACCGTCGCACGCGTCGTGCCCACGCTCTGTACCCTCTTCATCTACCTTCGCCGGCGCGAACGCACCTGCCTCAAGCCCCTCTGGCTCTTCATCGGCTTCCTCTGGGGCACCGGCTTCCTGTGGTACGCCCACGCCGCCTTCGTCCTCGAGGACCTGCGCCTCGCCGGCCGCATCCTGCTCGGCTTCGGCGCCGCTTTCGACGGCGTCTTCTTCCTCCGTGAGGACCTCGAGCGCCTCTGGGCCAAGATCGACCGCGACGACGAGGACCTCCTGCTCCTGTCCTCCCCGCTCGTCCCCCCACCACCACCGCCGACGCCGACGCGACGGCCGTGGACGCGACGGCCTCGCTGGCCTCGCTCGACGTTCGGCCGCTACGGCCCGCCGCCGCCGCGGTACAGCGAGTTCCCGGAGATGGGGGAGACCGTCGTCGAGCTTGGCACCATCGACCCGGCCGTGCTGCGGCCCCAGCGAGACCAAGCGGATGCCCCGAGTGTCAGCAGTTCGAGACGCTAAGTGTATGCCTTTGGTGGCAAAACGAGGAAGTTCTTTCGGAGTGTGCGGGGGGGAACGTGTTACGGGTATAGAGAGCTTCAACCAGCATTTGAAGCTGGTTCTCGTTTGAGCTGGGCCAGCAGGTGAACAGGTGAGTTCCTCACCCCAGCGATATTGCCCCGCTGTGCTTTTTTAACCCTTCCGCTTTTATACAGGATAAGACGGACAAGTTTCTGGGGGTTGCTTTGCGCGGCGAGTTAGGTGGGCTCACGTAAGTGCCAGAGCGCTGGTAAAGACGGTATTGGAAGATCACACAGCTCGCGGCTTGGTTGGGTTGCATAGCGAGGCGTTCCGGGGATGTTGCGATGGAATCCTTTGATTCTTTCATTTTATTGTTGAGTTTCTCCTCATTTTCTGCAGATGATACCTACGAAGTTTCAGTGGTTTTTGTCAAAACCTGTGTCACGTTCAGCCCAGCAGACACGATCTTTAGCAATCACATCGCAGTGTTGATTGTCATGAGGCTTGTTCGGCGGCACCGTGCCACTGACCAGAGCTAGATATGAAGAGACGCAAAAGTACACTTACAAGAGTTGATCGAGCCTCTATTTCGTGGCATGTTCGCCTATGTTATACACTGGCTATCAAAGGCCCTTCTCGCGATGTCCCACCACCCGAGCAAACGAGTCAAAGGCCATGGTCATCGAGTGCCGCCCCGACGTCTTGCTCCGCAGATGGTCGTCGTAGTCGAGCATCTCCTTGTACGGCACCTTGGCCACAATCTCCACCATCCGCGCCGCCGAGCGCTTCCCGCGCAGCGACGTCACCGAGTCGTACGGGTCCGGTGGCGCGTATATGCGGCTCACGTCGATCGGCTGATCCTCCTCGCCGGCACCGGCAGCGCCGCCGCCGCCAGCTTCCGCCGATCGATCGTTTACCTCGAGCACCTGCCCGCCGGCGCCCGAGGCAATGTCATGCTGCACCGTGCCCGCCGCCTGTTCGGGGCACGTAATGTGCGCCAGCATGATGGGCTCCATGACACCGACTTGCCCCTTGTCGAAGGCGTCGCGTAGGCTGCTCTGCACACCCGCCCGGGCCGCCGAGCTAAAGTGACCGCCGGTGGGCGACGCGCAGGCGCCGTCGCTTGTGTCGAGCTCGACTGTCGCAAGGCACCCGTGCAGCGGCGCTGCTCGGCGCGGGCCGCGAGCGAGACCAGCAATGGCACCGTTGAGAAGCTGTTGCTGAGCCTCGTCAACGTCGAAGTCGATCGCGTTCTCGTCAGGTATCACAATGTTGAACATGTTGCCGTCTCGCTCAACGCATGATTCCTGTAGTGTTTCTCTGTGGTGAGCCTCCAGCGGCTCTAGAGTCACGAGGCAGGTTACTTTACCAGCCTTGCTGGCTACCGGCCTGTCAAACACAATCCTCTGCGGCTGTGCGGCTACTGTGAGGCACTCTTTGTAGTCGACCTCGATAGGCCCAAATTCGGCGTCGATCTTGTGCTTCTGCCTCATGTTGTATAGCGAAACGTCAAGATGAAGCTTGCCCATGCCCTGCACGGTGAACTGCTCCGTCTTGGGGTCTCGGCTCCATCGCAGACTTGGGTCTTGCCGCGACGCATTCTCCAGCGCCACCTGTAGCTGCCGCGCAGCCACAGTACCATACGGCTCAACCTGTAGAAACGCGACGGGCGGAGGGATCTCTGGCGGCCGGACTTGCAGGCTACGGAGCGCTGCATGGGGGGCCTTGCTGTTTGTTGTCGTGATCAACGTGTCCCCAGTCCGGGCCTGTTTCAATCCTCGAAGAGCGCCAATTTGGCCAACCGATAGTTCTTGAACGTCATGCGTCTTGTCGGCGGATATTTGAAGAATACCCATTGGGCTCTCACTGACTGCCATGTGGGTGTTGAACGTGGCTGCGCTCCGTGCCAAGGTACCGTGGTAGACTCGCACGAAGCTGATGATACCCTCCTTCGGATGCTCAAATACCTTGAACACGGATGATATCGATGCAATTTGTTTTGCTCCGGCCTGTTTTGAGCCACCCTGGAGAGCTTCACCTAGTTTATGGTTTGTACCGCTTATGCGCACGCTTACGTCGGGTCGGTCAGACGGGTTTGGGAGATAGCTGGCAATGGCGTCCATCAGAGGCTCGACTCCAATGTGACGAAAGCTTGAACCGGCAAATACAGGAATAGCACGACCATTGCCGCTCTGGATTGCTCTGCGAATGGCCTCCTTGATTGTCGAAGAGGGGATATCCGTGTTTTCGGCAAGGAATTCGTCCATGATAACCTCGTCGAATTCAGCCAGACCTTCAATCAGGTGCTGGCGCGCAACTGCAACCTCTTCCACAAGCTCAGCATTGGAAGTCGTGAGCTTCCTCAGCAGCTCATCCTTCTCATATTTCACCGTCTTCTTATCGTTGTGTCGGTAGCCGACGGAATCGATAATGTCGATGACGCCGACAAACTGGTCATTCTCCCACCACGGGATCTGGCAAACGAGCGGCCACCCCTTGAGCCGGCCGCCAATCTCCAGCACCGACTTGCGGAACGACGCGCCCTCGCGGTCCAGCTTGTTGCAGTAGACGATGCGCGGGATGCGAAACTCGTGGGCCGAGCCCCATACGCGCTCCGTGTGCGCCTCGACGCCCTTGACCGAGTCAATGATGCAGACGGCGCCGTCGAGGATCGGCAGACAGCGGTCGACCTCGAACCGGAAGTCCTGGTGGCCGGGCGTGTCGATCAGGTTGACGGTCTTGGGGCCGGTGCCGGGCGGGCAGTGTTCTTTGCGCGGCCAGGGAAACGTGATGGCGGCCGACTGGATGGTGATGCCGCGCTCGCGCTCGAGTTCGAGAAAGTCGGTGACTGTGTTTCCGGAGTCGACGTCTCCGACGCGGGACGTGACGCCGCTGTAGAAAAGCATGCGCTCCGTCGTCGTGGTTTTGCCCTGTTGTGAGCTGTTAGTCTGGCTGGAGGCAGTGGCGGGACGGATAGACCACGAACCGCATCGACGTGAGCGATGATGCCAATATTTCGGATATCTTTTAACCGATTGGTATGGTACTCTTGCGCTAATGAGCTGTATAGCGCGGTTCTGCTGAGGTTGAGCGTCACGGTGGGCTTGCAGCGGCGACTGGTCACGGCGAGCCTAGGGGTTGCACGCGCGACCGTTAACAGAATCATCGGGATTAGGGGAAGCCAGAGGCTTCATAAATTTCATAAGACCATGCGAAAAAAGCCCGACGGTAAAGTACAATATCAACCGTAGCACTCACAATAGATAGAGTATCTGACGAGCTTGCCAATGATGATCTCGCAGCTTCAAACGGCACAAGCGGCAGAATTCGAGCATCATACAACTGGTATAGGAAGGCGGTAGGAAAGCAGTTTTCATGTGGGACAACCTGCAAGTGACAGCCTGCTTGCAGCCCCCTTGGCCAGCATTTAGAGTGGATCCACTACGTAGTTTCATACGTACATAGGTGTTTGGAGCTTCTTGGACAACTCAAGCCACCAGGTTTTTCGCTAAAGAGCTGCCTGGAGCCATCTTCTGCCTTATTTCAGCTGCCTGAACTTTCCAATCGCCATCGAATCCCCCCTTCCATCACCGTTACCGCAATCCGTTCGTGCCGCTCAGTACCCGTCGTCATGGAGCTCTCCGACATCTTGTATGTTATTGTCTTCAATTTGTCGCCCAGCCGACTGCGCTGCGCCCAGATGAAGCTGTTGCTAACCAATGCGCCCGCCGTCTAGCCGCATCGTCAACTTGGCCGTTGGTGCCATAACCGTCCTTGGCGGTGTCTTTGGTTTCTTTGGAGGTGGACTGTACGTTATCTTGCCGCACGCGGCGCCTGCCAGACTCGCCAACGTACTAACCCGACCGAAACAGGCGCGCCATCGTCCTCAGCGTCTATATGATCATCTTTGGTCTCTCTATTGGTCTCCTCGGTATGAACGAGCCTCCAAACCACGCGCAGCCCCTCGAAGCCGTTGCTAACAGCCGCCGCAGAGTTCCAGATCCCTCCCCAGGTCTCCCGCTACGCCAACTTTCTGTTCTCCTTTATCGGCCGTGGTGTCTGTAAGTTCTAGTCATCCCCGCTCCTCTGGCCTGGCATGCTCCTGCGTTTGTTGCGCTGGTGCGCTAACAACGTCACCAAGTCTACATCTTCCTCGGCTGCCTGCTCCTTGGCGAAAAGATCATCAGCAACATTGCTGGTGGAGTCGTCGGTGTCATCGGTATCGCCTACATCGCTCTCGAGTTTGTCCCCTCCATCGAGCCCCCTGCCAACATGCGCGAAGCCGATGCCGCTGGATGGGGCGCCGAGCAGGTTTAAAACCGTCTCCATACAGTTTTAAACTCGGCGAACAACCGATCGATAGTTTCAAGCGGATCCCGAGCTTCTACGAAACTTTGGCACGATACAAATTAACTAGAAATGGGGTGGTAATAGAGGAGGAAAAGTCCAGCACTTAATAACTGCTGTGTTTACGACCTGTACTTTATGGAATAGGAAACCGTCGAGATATGTGACGCGGATTGCGGAGTTGGTTCGAATGACCGTGGGCTTCCCGCGATAGTAAAATACCAGATATGAAGGGAATGGGATAAATATTAAGGTGTTTCCATAAACCTCATTGCTCTAATGTGGATATAATATGTTTCTGCGAATGACAAGCAAGCAGTCCTTTACTTCTGCTCCTTCTTCTCACCCTCCTTGGCCTCCTCCCCACCGGCAGCGGCGCCGCTGCCCAGCTTCCACTGGCCGGCATTCTCAACGCTCTGCGACACGCTGCCGAGGCCGCTCTGGATGCCAGTGCCCAGGCCCGAGACGCCGTCCCCGACAAACTTGGCGCGGTCGCCCGTGACGCTGTTGATGGTGTCGCCGACGCCCTTGCCCGCCGCGCCGGTGACGTTGCCGACGGTGCGGCCCACGCCGCCCAGGGTGTTGCCGAGGGCGCCCGTGACGAACTTGGCGGCGCCGGTGGCCTTGTCAGCGGCGGTGTTGCCGTTACCGGCCGCGACGGGGTTGTTGCTGTTCTCGTTGGAAGACATAATTGTATGCGTTTGTGTTGTCTTGGTAAGTAGGGACGATTCTGAATAATCTGGTCAATATTGTGATAGGACCCGAATGAATAGTAATAAGAAAATGAGTGTTTGGTAATGAATGCTGAATTGGACGGACGCTGTTTGTCCTGATCCTTTATACTTGGAGGCTTGTAGGGATGTTGGCCGCCATGACGAATATGACGTCACATCCGAACGTCATGAAATGCTCATATTGAAACGTCGCTCATATTCTCCACAGATTCCTCACTTATGCATAGGCCTTGACAGTCCGGATCAACAGGCACACAGAGCAAAATAGTTTAGGAAAAATGGATGACCTTGCATTAGCTGGACAGTTGGTGCCTGTTGCGCCAGGGGCTGCTGGGGCGTGCCAAGGAACGTCAAGATTGCGTATTGAGGCATCAACGACGAGATATTATGTTTAGGCGCGAATTCGTCTCACCTGGTCAGTTATGCATAACTTCTTCTTTTTGAAACTAGGAAATTACTGTAAGTTTTACTGGGCGGGCTGCTCGCTTTCGACTATACACGATATCACGAGAGTCTGGCGTTGTCGCGTACGTACTTGATTGAAATCTCAATATTCTATGTATATTCGCTTTAATAAATGCAAATCGCTTTTAGATATTCCACCTTGACTGTCTAACCAATGTTGAACTCGTCCGCACCCGTCATCAACATCATGCCCTTCTTCCGCAGAATGCTCTTCGCCACGCCTTCCTCCACAGGCTTATCCTTCTCATCGTCCTTGACCGCGGCCGTACCGCCACTCTTTCTGCCCTTGCGGGCCTTCCTGTCGATGCCCGCACCGACGCCGCGCGGCGGCTCGCGCAGCGCGTAGCTCTTGGCTGTGTGGCCGAGGTGCAGCTCCGCAATGTCAAAGTGGACGCGCTCCTCCTTGACGTGCGTCGCGTACGCGCGGATGTGTGACTTGAAGCCGTTGCGGGCCAGCTCGAGGCGGTTGGGATCCTCGAGCAAGCGCTGCTCGAAGTGCAGCTGCATCGTCTCGGCCTTGTCGTGGTACGTCTGTCCCTCGGCCAGCTTGGCGGACGTCTCGACGGGGAACTCGAGCTTGGACATGAGGCCGGTCCTGAGGATGGACTCGTAGGACTGCGCGGTGGGGGCGCCAGAGGCGCGCAGGAGCTCGACGTAGCCCTCCTCGCAGCCGGGTAGCAGGAAAAGCATCGCTTCACCGGCGCGACCGGCACGCGCAGTTCTGCCGATGCGGTGGATGTGGTCCGCAAAGCTAAAGGCGGGGTCGTACTCAATGACGAGGTCCACGGACGGAATGTCAAGACCTCGCGAGGACACGTCGGTCGTGATCAATACTGAGGGCGACTTGCAGGCGGAGAATGTACGCAACGTGGCTGACCGAATAGGCTGAGAGAGGGAGCCATGCATCCTGTGCAGGACTACTTCAGGGCTAGCCGCTGAGGTGATGTAAGAGGCTCTAGCAACAGTCTTGGAGACCAATTCTAAATCTTTCGATTGTGCTGGCGGTGCTTCGGTATCGTTGGGGTTCCGTAAGAGCTCGTAGTGGAAATCAACGGCGTCGGCGCAGGACATGAACAAGATGACCTTCATGGTCTGCCCCTTGCGTGAGAATATGGACTTGAGATAGCAAGCAAGGGTAACTAGTCGAAGCTTTGCTGGTACAATGACGTGTGATTGGTGGAGCTGCGCGGGAGCCTTGTGCTCAATATTCTCGTCCGCTGTCATCTCACCCTTTTCGGCGGAAAGGAAGACGGCGTCAGCCAAACACATTTCGCCAAGCTTCTGTACATTCATCTTCATGGTGGCCGAGCAGAGTATAGTGACGCGACGATCAGGAAGTGCAGCCAGCGACGTTCCGCTGCTCGTCTCCTTGATAATTTCAACCTTGCGGAGAGCGTCGATGGTCTTTTTTAGGTCGTCCTCGAATCCCAGGTCCATCAGCCGATCGCCTTCGTCGAGAATGAGCCATCGCACGGTACCCAGGTTCAAGGCTTTTGTGTTGTCGATGTGATCCGCCAACCGACCCGGCGTGGCGACTAGAAAGTTGACACCCTTGCGGATGCGCGCCTTTTCCGCCTTTTTGGACTCGCCACCAGTGATGGCTGTGGAGACGAGCCAGGGAAAGGGCCTGATGAGTTGCTCGAGGACGTTATGTGTCTGCTTGGCCAATTCGCGAGTGGGCGCAACCATGATGGCAAAGATGCCGGAGTCGCGGTGCACTTGCTTGCCGTCGTTTTGCGCACTGAGCTGCAGAACGCGATGAAGGATGGGAAGGAGATATGAGAATGTTTTGCCGGAGCCAGTCTCTGCCTGTACAAAGGCATCAGAGCCTCCAGTAATCATGTGAGGAATCACTTTTTGTTGAATGGCAGTCGGGCGCTCCAGCTTCATCTTGCCGAGCTCCTCGACAAGTCGAGAGGAGAGTGTGAGGGTGCCAAAGTTGGCCACGTCCGCGAGCGGCGCATTGGTGGGTGTCGGGGCTGTCCATTCCTCATCCTCAAATACTGTTTTTTGCTCAGGGTTGAAGCTGAAGAGGCTCGAGACCACTTGCTTCGTGCCCCTGCCGCCGGCGCCGTTACCATGTCGGCGGTTGTCGAAAGGCGGCCTGCTCCCCGCGCCGCCGTGTTCGAGCTTGATATGGCTGGGCCGGGTTCTGGGCTGGTAGTCGTCGGCGGACTGTTGATCAGTGTCGGCTCTGCGGCGTTTAATAGGGCGATCGGAATCGTCGAAGCGGTCTCTGGGAGGGCGACGTGAGGGTGGGCGGCCGTCAGGACCAGGGCCTCGGGCGCCTCGCTCGGCCTGTTTTCTGTCGCGCCAGCGTCCGCCTTTGAACTTGACTTGGGGCTTGATTGGGCCGCTTCCCAACTCAAAGTTCAATAGCATGCCATCATCGGCCATGTTTTCGAAGAAAGACAGGCGCGAGAGAGAGCGGTGAAGAGTTGATATGCGTGTGTCTAACTACAAGGACAGTGGCGGGCAGTGATATTTTCGACAACTTTTTTCTGGGTCCTCTTGGCCGATAAGATGGATAAGATAAGGCTGCGCTGGTACGTGAACCTCGTCACAGCCGCTGAAAAGGACGTGAGAGGTAATATTATTTTACATGCTTGCGATGAACAATGGTTGAGTCTTCTTTTGTATTAGAACCACCGATTTTTCCACTCGATGAGTACCAGTTTGGCCGTGGTGCTGGCACCGCTGGGGGCTGTGGTGGACTACAGTTTGGTATCCCGCTGCGACACGAGCGGGAGGATCATGACATATATGCACTGATCATTCTCCATCTGAGAAACACCAGATGTGTGTCAGTGGGAAGGGTAACAAACCACGAGGCTGAAAGGAGCTCGAGCTGGGCGACGCGCAACGCGCTGAGGAACCACCAAGAGATCGGTGTTTCGAGGAGAGGACAGATAGATGAAATCGGGTCGGCCAGAGCAGCTCGGGCCCGGGCAAAGACAGAAGACCGAATACAAAGCAAAGCCCTACAGGGCCGGCGGGATGGTTGTTTTATTGGCCGGCTAGGATCCGGCTTTGCGGGCACACTGCCGACCATGACTGAGGTACCAAGTGTGTGCCGCTCCGCTCCGCAGCATCCGAAGCCTAGCTACTGGTAGTTGTAGGTTTTTCGGAGTGATGCTTTTGACGGGACTTTTTCGTGGGCGCAGCCATGTGACGGCGCAGAGCTTGCCGCACAAGGGCGAAGAGTCCACTAAATCAATCAATGCTGACGTTGACGACCACCAACGATACAACGATAGGTGAGCGGCACGTTAGCAACTTACGTATGCAGGTCGTTATTGTTGTTTTTGTTATGATTTTAGCTTAGGTTTGTTTTGTGTTAAAGGAGTGGCTGATTTCAAAGAGACGTGGCATTTTCGACCGCGGCTCAATGAATGGATTCATATGCCTGCTCTGCAGTCCGAGTTCACTGGGGCGGCTCCCCCCTTTGGATTTTCTATATCCTTAACCTATTTTTAACCAGCGACATGTTTGAGGGCTATAAATATTCTGTATTAATGAGGAAAACGAGGAGCCCGTCCGAGTCGCCACTCTATTTACTCAGGACTGCGGACCGGAGTAGTCCATCGTGGTCCGCGACAGGATTCAGGATAAAACCAATGAATGATGGTGGATATGTTATTACAACTGCTCATTTCGTTCTTGTCGTGGGAGCTGGGCTGGGTGGATCTGGTATGCTGCCAGCATCCCTTTCAAATTTGGCTCGCGTGAGTGGCTCGTCGTCATGTCCAGCAGCTTGAGCCTATTGCTCCGGAGCCCTGCCCGTCAACTGTCGGGGCTGAACCAAGGGTGTGGGAGCGATGTCCAGTGGTTTCCGGCTTCTTCCACGCCCCCACAACGACTCAGAAAGGTGTGAGAGAAAAAGGACGAGTCGTCTACGTAAGGAGGTAACTGCGACGCGACAGCTTGGAAGCCTTGTTGTGAGGCACCTATGTCGTTCGTTCTGCTCGCGTGCGATCTTGTTTGACTGCTAACAAGTTGGTCGATCGCTCATCAGGCCACAACAGGCATCAAGTTTTCAAGCCGCAGAGACAGTCTTCAGACTCCTCCTCTTCTCCTGCAAGATTCGATTTATGCTGTCGACGCCACTCATTTTACTCGCAGCGGATATAGCAGAGTATCTGCAACCTTGACTCCTATTTTCTAGGTCAGCATCACCAGAATGTTCTATTTTTCGGGCGGGAAAACGGGTACGTGAGGAGGGGCAGGGGGCATCTCCAGCGGGTTTAGCGGGTTCAGCGGGCTGAGCAGGCAGAGCAGGCAGGGAGTTACCTGTTCAGCCCAGCAAGCGTCCACTAGAAAAACAAATAATTACTCTCTCCTGGCAATAATAGCCAGAAAAACCAGGCCTGCAGGTGCAGAGACAAGAGACAAGATCCAGTCGAGGCGGGGCTTTGCATCGAGTCATTCCGTAATGCCCCATGTCCAGCACCCTAACGCTCCCGAGCCCACCCACCCAAACACCGCTGGCGCAGCCCGCACGTCAGCGCCGCCAATCCCCTGCAGGTTCACGGCCCAAGCCCTGTATCCCGGGAGGTTTAGGCCTTTTCTCCCCGGATTCGGGAAAGCCTTAGCGCATGACACCGTCTCCGTTAGTGTATTGCTTCCCTGTAAGCCGCACTTTTCACGCTTCCACCAGCACTGTAATTTGCCCTCGTCCGCTGGAAATCACACCTGTTGCCCCCCTCCCCCCTCTTGAATGCCTGAACCTTCATCTACCCCCGTTTCCCAGGCCACATTCTTTCTTCCAGTCCAAGCTTACACTTTTTTCCCCTAACAACCGCAAAACACCAAATCCGACCATCGTGTGTGCTGGCCCATACATTCTTTTTGAATCCAAGGGTCACGGTAATTGAACGTAAACACTTTCGTTTTCGTTCAATTCCTTCATCTTTCTATTAATTACGAAATTACAACCCTCTAATTATTTTTTTTCCATATCGCGCGTTTGTTTGACGGCTTCCATCGCTGTCAAATGAACCTGCAATCGCATTTACCTTCATCTCTCGTGAGTCACCTCCCCACCAAATTTTTACCGCGCACAACTGTCACGCTCGCTGCCACAAGCCCAACGGCGAAGCTAACAACGTCTATAGCCCTCTCTTTCCCTTTTCTCGTTCTAAATGCCCATCTACTCCAACCTTTACTCGAATTTCATCCGCCAAGGATCTCAATTCGCAAAGTCCATCACCTCTCACGGTTACGCACAGTCCGTCGTAGCCGCCACCCACCCTCATGTTCTAAACAGCCAGAACCGCCCCGTCTTCGCACGGAGGCATGCAAACCGACAGGGACGTTTCGCCACCTTCCAGCTCAGCTCCGCCTTCCACAGCGACCGCACCACTGCCGCCCTCGTCGACCACCGCTTGACCCTCAACCATGGCAGCCTCGACGCCTATTTTGACGCCCTGCAGAAGAAGGAGGCCGCCGGCCAGGTCGAGAATGAGGAATGGGAGCAGTACGAGTTCCCCAAGCTCCTCGAGTGGAAGCCCGACGCCGACGCCGTCCTTGCCAGCGAAGACGCCCTTGCGCAAGCCAGCGAGCACGATGCGAGCGCCCAGGCAGAGAGTGTCCCTCGGCCTATGACGCCTGAGGAGGCTGCTGCCCTCGCGCATATCGACGCTGCTCTTGAGCGAGAGATCGAAGCCCGCCGAACCCGCGAAGAAGACGAGGTCGCCTCTGTCCACTCCCGCGCCGCCAGCCCTGTCCGCATATCTCGCAGCGCCACTCCCGTCGACCCCCAGTCCCAGTCAAGCGCCGATCACTTGCTCAAGCTCTCCTCGACCGGACGCTATGCCGAGATCCCTGCCGTCTTCGAAGCCATGCTGGCTACTGGTGTCAAGCCCATCGCCGGTGCCTACAATGCTCTTTTGCTTGCTGCTATCTACATTCCCATCAAGAGAAGCGAGGTTATTTCCAAGGCCCTTGATGTCTACGCTGACATGCTCCGCCGTCGCGTCACTCCTGACAGCCAGACTTTCGATATTCTGGTGAGCATGTTGGCCTCTCGCTGTTTGGAGGTTGCTAGCATGAAGGCCATGCTCGAGGAGAAGCGCGTACGATTTGGCGGCATGGAAGAGCCTGGCAAGTTCATGCTCGCGTCTCATGAATTCGAGCATGCTATTCTTTGCGAAGATGATAGACTCGATCTTGCTATCAAGCTGTTCGATACATCCGTTGATGCCAACACTGCCAAGTTCTCTTCCAACACCTACTCGCAGCTTATCTCTGCTTGCGCACAGGCCGGCCGTGTCTCGGACATGCTCCGGCTGTTCGCTCACATGGAGGAGACGCGCACTATGCCTCACGCAGAGGTCTTCCCCACTATGATCACTGCCTATGCTACTGCTGGTGATCTCATCAGCGCTGTCGAGTGCTACAATGAGTATCGCAGTCTTGCCATTGCCGACGACGCTGGTCCCTCCACATTACGCGATCGCGTGGACGCTCAAGTTTACGCCTCTGTGATCAATGCGTATGTAATTTCGGACAAGATTGAGGGCGCCATGAAGTTCTTCAAGAAGATTGTTGACGAGTATGGCGTTAAGGTCGCCGACATCAAGGATGCCCTGATCAGCACTGGGTTCGTCAAGGGCTTCATCGCTCGCGGCATTCTTGAGGAGGCCCTGTACTGGGCTCAATCAATTGAGGCTCAGGTCCGCCCTCAGGCCCTTGCTCGTGTTGCTATCGAGGCCGCCGACAAGAACGAGGTTTTCACCGCCACTGAGGCCTACAATGGCATCAATGGCTCCCTGGACGTTATACAAACCCCTTCTATGGCTATGCTCGCCATGAGCGTCCGTGAAGGCGACGTCGCCTCCGCCACCAAGTACTGGCACGTTCTCACCCAGCCTGAGATGCGTGCTACAGCTGCCTTCATTGAGCCCACGACCATGTACGCCGTCGCCTTGATCGGCTCTGGTCAGGTTGCCGAAGGTCTCGCCCAGTCGGAAATGATGTTCCAGAGAATCCGTGCCTCCGAATCAGGTGCCCATCCTGAGCTGGGCGAAGAAATCGAGGAAGGTGTCGACTTCATCGCCCGCTTTATGGAGAGCCGTGGCATTAGTGACCCTCGTGAGCTGGCTTCACAAGCCTCAAGCGCGCCCCAGCAGGCCATGAGCGCGTCCCCTTTTATGTCTACCCCCTCTGTCTCGTCTTTCGAGGATAGCTTCGACCCCTACGCCCACAACACCGACTTCAAGGGCTCTTCTCTCATTGCTGACGATCTCGAGGGCAACCACGGCCGTAAAGGTCCTCGCCTGAGCGATGCGTTGAACCGATTCCGCAACATGCGCCGTGCTGGCCGCCATCCCCGATACATTACTTACGCCAAGCTTATCTCGGCTGCGGCGAGAGAGGGCAAGATGGATCTCTGCCACGATATTCTCGGCATGGCCCGCGCTGATGTTCCTCTGCTCGCTCAGTATGCCGTCGTCCGCTACGGCTGGTCCTCGATTCTTGATGCCATGGTTGGCGCCTGCTTGACCGTCGGTAACCGTGGTCGTGCTGAGCAGTACCACCAGGAGCTGCTGGAGATGGGCGCTGCCCCGTCTGCCAACACCTTCGGACTGTACATCACTACTCTCAAGGACTCCACGAAGACTTTTGACGAAGCGTCTGAGGCCGTCCGCATTTTCCACCGTGCCAAGACGGAAGGCGTGGAGCCCAGCTCGTTCCTGTACAATGCTCTGATTGGAAAGCTCGGCAAGGCCCGCCGCATTGACGACTGCCTGTTCTACTTTGCTGAGATGCGTGCTCTTGGCATCAAGCCCACTTCTGTTACCTACGGAACTATCGTCAATGCCCTGTGCCGTGTCAGTGACGAGAAGTTTGCGGAAGAGCTCTTTGACGAGATGGAGGCGATGCCCAACTACAAGGCTCGCCCTGCACCATACAACAGCATGATGCAGTTTTTCCTAACCACCAAGAGAGACAAGGCTAAGGTCCTAGCTTACTATGAGCGTATGAAAATCAAGGGTATCGCTCCCACTTCGCATACCTACAAGCTGCTTATTGATACGCACGCCACTCTCGAGCCCGTCAACATGGCCGCCGCTGAGGAGGTGATGGAGCAGATGACTGCTGCTGGCCAGCAGCCTGAGCCTGTTCACTACGCCTCACTCATTCATGCCAAGGGCTGTGTCCTGCACGACCTGGAGGGTGCTCGCAAAATTTTCGATTCTGTGGCCGAGAAGAGGTCTGTGCCTGCCAACGCCAGCCTCTATCAGGCCATGTTTGAAGGCATGGTGGCCAACCACAACGTGACCGATACGGAGCCTCTACTCGCCCAGATGCGTCAGCGTCGGGTAGAGCTCACTCCTTACATTGCCAACACTCTCATTCACGGCTGGGCTGCGGAGAGGCAACTCTCCAAGGCTCAGGCCATCTACGACGCTGTGCCCCGAGAGAAGCGAGAGCCTAGCACATACGAGTCGATGACCCGGGCTTTCCTGGCCATGGAGAAGCGTGATGAGGCTAAGTCGGTGGTCAGCGAGATGCTCACCCGCGGCTACCCCAGCGCTGTTGTAAACAAGGTGCTGGAGCTATTGGGCGGTGGCCAAGAGCAGGCCCAGCTGTAAGCTTGTTCTCACGGTGATTGATCTATACATTTGTTGCATTGGCAGAAGAGAGAAGTCTGTTTTGGTTTTGATTGTTTGCGGTTTTCCTTTGTCTACTTTGGTTTTATAGAAGCCTCTGTGATTGATACCCCATATTGGCATGCAGAGTTGTGGAGAAGGGAGGGGGTGTTGTCAAGGAGACCGGAGGCTCGGCGGAATGAGACCTGAGCGGTTCATTTTTAATATTGATATCAACGGCATGGCGTTTGGATTTCTTTTTTTTTTCTCTGTTTTGAGTTTCGTCATCATGCTTGTGCAAAATGGTTCATGGCCAAGGGATTTGACGGCCCGGGTACAGAAGGGGACAGGAAACAAGGGAACGGGTTCGGGTTCGGGTTCGGGTTCGGTGTTGCATTTTGCGTTACATGGGTTATAAAAGTATCCCACACATAGACCATCTCCACTCGGCATGAAAAAAGGCCAAAAACATTTGACGGCAAGGATTGGAATCGTGGGCGAGGCGCAATGATTCTGATAGACATGCCTGTACCAGCACTAGCTAGATAGTGAATGCAAAAAGCAATGCAAGCACATAGTACCTTGGCGACATGGAAGTGACTGAGCTGTAGGGGTTGCTTCCAGAGTAGAAATATAGATGGTAACTGTGATGTGTTTTGACGTGACGATACGCAACAGCGACGAAGTTGTCATGTAAGGTTGTGCTGCCCCACCTCATCAGGGACACCGCTCCCACAGCTCCTGGCCGAGACCTCAGTTAGCCATCTAATTATTTGACCTCTACCCTCTACAGACCTATTCCCTCGGACAGCCCTCGACACATCCCAAGGACTTGATTGAAGCTTCCTCTAATATATAGACTCCCCCCCCCAACGGCATCATCGCTCACGCTTCTGAGCCCCTCCTCGTGCCCCTCATCAGTTTACCCCTCCAAAAAGCTACATCCACCGCGCAACACCAACAAACATGTCGACAGCGACTCACCCCGACGTCGCCATCTCCGCGCCGGGCAAGGTCCTCCTGGCCGGCGGTTACCTCGTGCTGGACCGCAAGTACACGGGCCTCGTCTTCGGCCTCGACGCCCGCATCAGCGTGATCGCGGGCCAGATTCACTCGAGCGCCGGCGTGCAACTCAACGAGATCGTGGTGGACAGCCCGCAGTTCCTTGAGGCGCAGTGGCGGTACGGATATCACCTCGCGCCCGAGGGCGGCGGCATCAAGGTAACGCAATTGCAAGTGTAGGTGCCCAAGCGCGCTGGCCGCGAGTCGCGACGACGCAGGTTCTCAAGTCTTTGCCACTAACAAAAAGACTCTATCAGGGGAGGTCAGGTAAACCCTAACCCTTTTGTCGAGACGACGCTCAACTACGCGCTGACGTACGCCAACACGGTCACCAATTCCACCACCGCCCCCAGCTCCAGCCGCCTCGTCATCCTCGCCGACAACGACTACTACTCGAACCCGGCCACCACCGACGCGCCCGGCCGGTTCGCCAAGTTTGGCGTGACCCTGCGTGAGGCGCACAAGACGGGCCTCGGGTCGTCCGCCGCACTCGTCACGGCGCTGACGGCCGCGCTGCTCACGCATTACCTGCCGCGGGACCGCTTCGACGCCTCCACCGACGCCGGGCGGGCGGCCCTGCACAACCTCGCGCAGGCGGCGCACTGCGCGGCCCAGGGCAAGGTCGGGTCCGGCTTCGACGTCGCGGCCGCCGTGTACGGCTCCTGCACCTACCGGCGGTTCTCGCCCTCCGTGCTCGCGGGTATCCCCGAGGCGGGCGCGCCGGGCTTTGCGGCACGCCTTGTCGAGGTGGTGGACGACCGCGGTGCGGCCTGGGACGTCGAGGTGAAGGCCGCGGACGGGCTGCGGATGCCGCGGGGCGTGACGCTGCGCATGTGCGACGTCGACTGCGGGAGCCAGACGGTCGGCATGGTCAAGCAGGTGCTCGCGTGGCGCGCGCAGGACGCGGCCGGGTCTACAAGGCTGTGGGACGAGCTGCAGGCGCGCAACGAGGCGCTCGCCCAAGTACTACGCAACGACGCGCTGGGCGAGGTACCGAGCAGGATCCAGGGCGTGCGGGAGCTGATCCGCGCGATGGGCGAGCGGAGCGGCGTGCCGATCGAGCCGCCGGCGCAGACGGAACTGCTGGACGCGGCGGCGCGCGTGGAGGGCGTGCACGGCGGCGTGGTGCCGGGTGCGGGCGGCTTCGACGCGGCGGCGCTGCTGATGGACGACGACGAGGCGACGGAGCGGAGGGTGGTCGAGTTCCTCGCGCGGTGGAGCGCGGAGAAGGGCGGTAAGGTGAAGCTGCTGAGCGTGAGGGGCGAGATGGAGGGCGTGCGGAGGGAGCAGCTGGACGTGTACGAGGGGTGGCTGTGACGGGGAGCGCGGGCCACTTGGGATAACAGGTGAACATTGGGTAGGTTCATTCGATACGACGTTGTATTTTCGCTAAACTAACAGAGAATGAAATGGCAAAGATCGAGACCAGCGCTCAAATTTGCGGCTGTGCGATTTCACGCGCAGAACATTATGAATCAAGTAAACCGAAAAAAAGAACACCAGTTTGCACCAGGCAGATCTAGCAGAAATGCAAAAAGCATCTCACGACACTTGTTCAAGGGACCATGAAAGAAACTCCGCAAGTCACAGACCCAATGGATTACCGAATATCAAATACCAACAAAAAATAACTGGGTTACCAAGACCGGAACCGAAAACAGCACTGTGTACCAGTTGTGCGTGTATGTGTGTGTGTGCGTAGGTCAAGTCCGACGCCGAGCGATGTGTGAAAGAGCAACAAGACATGGGAAATGACATGATAGGAGACCGACTTCTGGCGTCAGGGAGAGAGAGAGGGGGGAGAGATTGCTTCTCGCGTGTGGCGTGCTTTATCTTGTTCGTCCCTTCTACCAGACGGGTCGGCGGGCGTGGGCGTGCGGCGGCGTGTGAGCGCGGCTGTACGGAAACGTGCCACCCCGCGGGGACGAGCGCGGCCGCGGCGGCGCGTCCCACGAGGTCATGGAGGAGGAGGAGCGCGGGATGTACTCTGCGATGCCGACGCGGCTGGCGGTGGCCTTTTCGCGGAGCATGGTGATTTCGTCGTGGGAGATGCCGGGGAGGGAGACCTGTCCGAGCCGAAAGTCGAACGGAGCAGACTGTTGCAAGGGTGTTGTGTTAGCATGGAATGATGCAAGGGGAAGGAGAGCAGGGAGGGGGGGCTTACGATTGCAAAGGGGAGGACGCGCCCTTGTTCTTCTTCGGGCTGCTGCTTGGGGCGGCGGTGGAGGAGGGTCTGGACGCGCGAGCAGAGCATTCGGACGTTGTCGCGGACGTGCATCTCGGCGGCGTATCCGGACATTTGGTAGGCTGGGGTTTGTGTTGTTGTGAGAGGGCAGAGTGCCAAGATGATGATGATGATGATGATCGAGAATTGTTTTCTTCGAGTGAAGAGAAAGAACGAAGGGAGTTTATTCGAGGGGAGAGAGAGAGAAGCAAGAGAGCAACGAAGAAAAAAAAAACGTGGCAATGACTTGGTTCGTGCGTATATGTTTGCAAACGAGGTTGAGACAGGGATTTTTGGTTGCGTGCGTTGGCTTGGCAAGGTTGGAGAGAAAGAGACAAATGCAAGCTGCCGAGGATATGAAGATCTTTTTATAAAAAAAGATGAACAAGGATGGCGGGGGAGAAGGAGGAAAATCGCTGACGAGGTGTTGAATTCCAATGGGTGAGATCTTCTGGAACAAGCAGGTGGTGCTAGGCAGGATCGAGAGTTATGTAGGTAGGATCGCAGTCTAGAGAGGCCCGAGCTTGTAGAGGTCAAGAGAGTGACGGGCGGTTAAGAATAGGATGGATGAGGATAAAAATAATAATCGATATGATGGAGCAAGAAGGAGTCGGTCGCGTCACTTGTTTCGCTTTGTCGAGGTGTGGTCGATGAGGATTAGATGGACAGTGCAGTCAGTGCTGTGCTGTGCTGTGTGTGGCTGTAGCTGCAAACGCCGCAGGATGGTATGTATGAGAGTTGAGCGGTAAGAACTGTGCAGTAAAGGAACGAACAGGGCCGAGAAAAAATTGATCGAGAACAAAGAAGGTCTGTTGGAAAGAAGAGTCCGAGGGTTTTCTGTGGTTGTATAAAAGGAATGTACAGAGAGGTTCGGGCGGCGATCGGGCGCTAATGATGATGTAAATTATAAAGAAAAAGAAGAAGAAAAAAAAAAGAACGAATGGACGAAGCGCGGCGAGGCTTTGCTTCGGGATATTCTCCCAAACGATGAGATGATGTGATAGAAATGAATGATAGCGATGCGAGTGGTGAGTGAGTGTGGTTGGATAAGAGGCGAGTGATGAGGATGAGGAGGCAAGTCGATGGATGAAGACTGGGCAACAAAGGGATATATACACCTGCTCCCTTTTTTGTGTTTTATTGTTTTGTCGCGAAAGAGAGAAGGAATACAAAACGAATTAAAATAAAATAAATAAAGTAAAAAAAGTATCGACTCCGCCCTGGTGCTCCTTGCGTATCACCATGGGAGAAGAAGGCAAGGCAAGGCAAGGCAAGGGAGCGAGGCTGCCGCCCCAGGCATGGATTGTCGTGGCTTGTACCAGACCAGACACATGCATGGGCGTGTGCATTATTCCGCCTTTTTGGGGCGCCTAATGAAAGCCTCTTTCTTCCTGGTAGTTGCAGTCTGTACGTACTTTTTTTTTTCTTCTTCTTCTTCTTCTTCTTCTTCTTTTTTATCTTTTTCCTGGAATATTCCAATGAAGCCACGCTGCCCAAACTCTTGGGACCTCGTCCAGTCAGTCTCCCTTGTCAGGACCCATGCCGTTTCATTCATCCTGTGCTTTCCTTCAGTTCGAAGTAGAAAAGAGGACTAGAAAAAAATTGTAAAGAAAAAAAAAAGAAAAAAAAAAAAGACACATCGGTCTGTGCGCTTTCAAAGCCCGCGTCGATTCGGGCTGTGTCTGTCTGTCTGTCTGTCTGTTCCACCCGTCTTCCCGGTATAAACGGTGGCCCCCCCCCCCTAGCTGAACAGGTCAGTCATTGTCATACGCGTGTTTCATTTACCTGCAGGCCAGGGCAACTGGGCGGCCGTCACAACGATCTCGGGTGAATGCCGTCTTCATTTGTGCATGGCAGATTACTCAACCTCAGTACCTTACCCGTCTGTCCCCTGCAAATGCCTCTGGGGGTGACTGATTGATTGACCAGGGCCTGGGACGCTGGTGCCGATCATGACAGCCTTGCTGGGGGATTTTCGTTGATTAATCATGGACGAACAATAAGTCAGGTAATAAATCATTCACTGTTCGGTGTCTCTTGTCCAACCACACACAATCTCTCACCGTCGCCTCTCGGATCGCCCTGTGACTCGTCTCTGTCCGTCTCTCTCTCTCTCTGCCGGCGACAAAGAGGCTACACCAGATCGATTGGGTTCTCGTCCATCCACCTTCAAACTATTCGGTGGGTGGCGTTTTCTTCCTCCATCCTCATTTCTCATTATCCTTCCCCTTCTCACCTCGGCCTTCCCAAGCCCATCATCATCCTGTGGCTTCTGGCTTCTGACTTCCTTCGGGATCAGACGCACAACGCCCAATACTTGTCTCAGACCAGCCTCTCCTGCGCTTTTTCTTTATTTCAATTATTTCTTTCATCCGATTTCGCGCAACTCGTCTGTCTCAGCGGTAAGATGGCGCTAGGGGATTTATCCTGTGGCCCCAAATTCCAGTTACCCGGAGTACGACTTCACGAGATCCTCGCTGGACAGGGGCATGGGCTCGCCTCGTGATGCACTTGCTTCCTCGTATCGCCATTCACAAGCTCCCTGTCCTGTTTGACGATGCCGAAACCGACCACATGCAAAAATCTTGGGATGTGAGTTGTCACGTCCTCTCGGTTACAGAAAGAGACAGCCGCATTCCATGAAAGAAAAGGCGCCGCTGCTGTGAAGGCTCAAGGGTCCCGGAACTCTTGCCTATTTCAATACACGGCCCCGAACTTTGGCTGCATGTAATCATGTAATCCAACAGCAGCCCGGCTGCAACACAAGCCCGACGCTGTCGCTGTCGCCGTCGCAGACGCACAGTACCGCCCGGCTTCTCATGAAATGATCAACCCCCCCCCCCCCCCCCCCCCCCCCCCCCGACCCAAGCCGCTGGGAATGCTGCTAGTCGGAGAGTGGAATAGTTGAATGGTCAATACTTGATACCCTCGCCAAGGACCCCATCAGCTAACTTTACGGAGCAGTTATCCGTTCTTCCCTTTTTTTTTTTCTCCGCTTGGCCCCCCCGGCCACTGCTCTCAACGTTGGAGCTAACATTCCAGGAACCTGGGATTGGGGAAAACTGGAATGCACTTTAACCAGTAGTTGGATATTCTCCGCCCGCAGAGATTGACTAATTGGACTGACCACGTTGCCGCCAAGGCAGCCAAAGTACCAAGTTCTCGGCTCTCCCTGTGAAGGAGTGAGTCCGCGCCTTGGCAGCGTGTTGTCTGACCTTGACCGTCGCGAATCGCGAATCGCCTGTACTCTGTGCGACGCCTGCTTCAGTACGGATACAGATAGATACACACGGCGGCTTATTATTACAGATGCAGACTACACAGGGCAGGGCACAAGATCCATGCCCAGCCTGGACTTTCAGGCTGCGGCTGATGGATGGTCAAGTCAGGCCACACACAGCGAGCGCGCTTCGGTTTCCGCTCCAGACGGCACTTTTGCAGGTTCGTGCTCCATCCAGCATGATGCTTCAGCTCTTCTTGGTTTCTCATCTCATCAATGTTTCGCTGATATCCGTCGCCTCACTTATTCCGCTCAAACTTTTCCGCGTGGTCTGATTATGCTGTCGTCATGACTGCATAGAGGGTGCGCCCAATCTCAGCTTCCCACTGCCAGGCGCGGAACCAAGTCGACTTCTAATCTGCAAGTAAGCCGCTCTGTCTCATCGCCTTGCTTGTTTGTCTGTGATGGCCCGACGGCAAGCACCAATCACACAGGCCAGCTACGGTACGGCCCTTTCCATGGCACGGCATTCGGTGTGTGGTTGTAGGCGCATTATTCTTGTTGCCGCTTCTAGTCGACTGATGCCCGAGCCAAAAGAAGGAAACGAGGAAGGAAAGAAGATAGTGCACACGCGGCCTGGGACGAGGCCCTAAACGTCTCCTTGATTGGTAACTAGTATGTACTGTACACCAGGCTTAGACGACGCCACCGGTCTGTTCCCGAGGTGGCTTGCACCAAGATGTACGAATAAACGCCAGTGGCTTCGTTAGTCCTAGAGGCGTCTCTTTTTATAGAGTCGCAGCCGTAATCTTTTTATCAAAGGTAGGGGGGTACATACACATTGAAACGGCAACGATGGGTTGGATGAAGCTATCCGTAGATTGAGCCGAGTTCCGTATAACGTCGCTCAGGCCACCGTTGATTTCACAATTTATTAAGCATACATGTACAGATTATTCACCTTCAAATTATATGCATGATTTTAATACCCTTGCTTCCCCAACCTGACCTGCCTTGTCACTTCAGCTGCGCAAGCCCCACGCCCCCTGACCCGACAGGACGGTCACATCATCAATCGGATATTGCCACCTGAATTAATAACAAGCAAACAAAAAAAAAAGAAGAAAAATCCCCTTGCTTGTGCCCTGCAAGCTCCCAGGCAACCACCACCCTGCGGAAACGATTCCTCGCAACACCACCGTACTTTCCTTTTGGTAAGCAAGTTGTCTAGCAATCATCAAACAACAAGGCAAGGAGAGAAGAGGGGGAGGGGGGGGGGGGGGGAAAAAAAGGCCCGGTTTTTTTTTTTTTT